TTCTCGGGTACATCAACCAAGATCCTCCACCTCCAAGTCTCAGGGCTCCAGTCCTTTCCATCCAGGGGCTTGACTTTTGCAAAATGGGGTTCAGAATCCAACCACCTCTGCTGTCTTCATATTTAAGCCCCGGGCCTGATCCTGAGCCGTGCCTTAGACCAGGTGTCTCAGGAAAGAGACTATGGGATGCCAAGGTAAGCGCAGAGGTATAAGCAGTAGTGCTGGTCCCACCGCGCCTCTAGGGGTGTGGAGAGAACAAGGATGGCCAGAGGGAGGAGCTGAATGTGACACAGGGGGCCCCAACACAGCCCCCTGGAGCATCCTGGAGCCATACCTGCGTGGCCTGATCATTGCATTAGGCGGTCCCCAGCGAGGGAGGTGACGCTGGGAGAGGCAGCGATGTGGGTGGCTGCCCGACCTTCTTGGGAAGGGCTCAGCCATGAGCCATCTGCACACAACAGTGCTGGCAGCTGAGGACACGCGTGCCTGGGTCCTGGAGGGGGGATTTGGGGGCACATCCCGGCACCTACTGCTGTCACCTGAAGGCCTGAAGGCGCCAGAGAAGAGGGCGGGATGAGGACTCAGGGAATGCTGGGAATTCCTGGGCGTGAGAGGTGTGGCCAAGGCCAGGTGGCAAGGAACCTGAATGGCAGGATGAGGACGCCAGGCTCCGCGCCCCCGCACAGCAGCGCATGCGCGGGTTCTGAGGCTTACCCAGGGGCTGGAAGGAGACCAAGGGACTCCTCATTCTCAAAGTGTCCCTCAGGCTGCCTGTCCCACAGACCGCTCTTAACAGGCAGGCTCTGGCCAACTCAAACACACACGCACACCCCCCACCCCCCGCCCCCACAGCCCCCTCCCCAAAGCCGCCCCCTTCGAATTGTCGCTCCCACAGTGCCGCATTCATCTGTCCCTCTCCTAAATAGTCCCAGTGTTCAGCCTTCACGAGGAGTAATCCCAATTCCCATGTTTGCTCGGAGAGCACCGTATTTCATCAAACCGGAGCCCACGCCGGCTCAGATTACTGCCCAGACAATGTCCTGTAATCCTGGTTGAGTCACATGTCATGGGTATTTTAGCAAAACAGAAATGAATGGCCCGCACCACCCCAGGAAGCCGCGGGAGAGCCGGGGTCCCGCCCCCGGGGAAGTCGTGCCTTCCAAGGGGCTGGCTTTGATTCTCCTGGTTGCCCCCGACGGCCAGAAAGAGGGTAGGGGCTGAGAGCAGTCACTCCACTATAAAACGTGAACTCCGCGGATGGATTTTGCCAGAGCAAAGAATAAAAATCTGTCCTTGATTATAAAGTCCTTGGTGCTTGTTATTTTACAGATTTATGGCGCTCCGGCCCGGCGGCCTGGGGCGGCCCTGGGATTCCTGTCTCTAGCGCCCCACAGCTCACGCCCAGAACAAGAACAGGGAGTCCTGCACATGCCTTTTGTCCGTAGGCCTGAGAGCTTTGAACATCCACATGGAGACCTGTAAATCATCCTTTCAGTCTTGGGCTGGGGATCGGCACACACTGATCACAGCGGCTTGGGCACAGGGGTCTGTGACTTCCTCACCCAGGGACACCTCCCCCTGTGCCTTTCCCTCTTAGCTCTTGGCACTGTGTGCTAGGAAATGCGTTTTCCCCTACAGAGCAAGGAACAGCCAGGCGAGGCCCTCTCCCCAGATTCCCCAGTGTCTGGTCCATGTGAAATGGGCTACAGGCTCCATTCAAGGTGGCATGAATGGCGGCGCCCTCATGCTAAAACCTTACTGATCATTGAGGGAGCAGCCTGCACTTGTCCCCTTTTTGAGCTACGAAACCAAGGCCCCGAGAAGGCAAGGAAGTAGCTGAAAGTCACGCAGCCAGGAAGTTGTGAGAATAAACACAGGAACCCAGTCCCAACTGGCTTTGCAGGGTTGTACAGATCCTCTCAACATCCAAGAAATGGGTTGGCATGAGGCCACAGACCCCAGAGTGGAGTTTGCGGCTGAAACAGGGTCTGGGGTCAGCCTTTTTATTGAAAGGGGAGGTTACCAGGGTTCAGAGAGGCCGAGGGGCTGCACCCGAGGGCTGGTGAGTGTTGTAGACTTCCCAGCCACAAACTAACTAGACAACATCCTGAAACATTTTTTTTTCCACGGGAACATTGCATTCTTGATGGACTGACAGACACAGGCAAGCCTGCACTTTAGAACTAGCCCAGGTGCTAGTCTCAGTCTCACCTAACCCTGTATGCTCACGGAAACCCTACAACTGCTGAGATATCGCATGGCAGAGAGGCCCCAAAGGCGGAGGGCACCCCCAAACAACCTCACACCTCTCTGCAGAGAGCACTCTCCACGCCAGTTGGCAAGTTCAAGCTCACAGCATGCCCCCCCGCCCCGGGGCAGGGTGTGTGTGCGGAGAGCTCAGACTGGGGTTCTCCCAGGCTCAGGAAGATTGTGAAGGGAGCTCTCAGACCTCGGAGTTGGGAGGACTTGTAGCCATCCACACAGCCCGCCATCTCAGCTCTTGTTTGCAGCCGCGGCCCGAGCTACTAAAACACCCTGGCTGGCTGGCTCCACAATTAGCTCCTTTCCAGGCTGGAAGCCCTGTTCTGCATGAGCTGTGATGGCACAGACATTGTTCCTTCCCTCGGCCAGGCCGTCGCGGGGGCCGTGCTGGGAGCCAGCGAGGATGTGACCCGGTGGTAATCTGAATTGCTTTACCAAACACATTTTTATCCCATCATCCCGGCTACATGAAAGAGAGCCACAGCGGCTCTAGTGTTCGCGACTTTACAATCCCGCTGTTCAGCCATAAAATGAGGCAAGAAATATTAGCCAGCCCCGGCTGATGCCTTAATTCTTTCCCAACAATGTCAGAGGAGCCGTAGCCTACAGGTTTTAGTGCCGGCTGAAGCCTGACCCTCGGGCCGCCTTGAATGGAGCCGGGAATGAGTTAAGGAGGGCCGGGAGGCTTTCACGGACAGGGATCCCGAATAGCCCAGCTTGTGCCGGCCTCCCGCAGACTCACCCCGCTTTTCACAGGCCCCGATTGTGTACGGGGCCCCAGCAGAGACAAAACTGCCCCTGGGCAGAGGTTACCCCCAGGCGGTGCAGGTCAGGGGCGTTGTGGGGGAGAAGTGGGGGGGGCTCCGAAGGGAAGTGATGGGCACAAGGAGAAGCAGGGAGCTGGGGTGGGGTGGGGGAGGGAGCAATAAAAGATGGCTTGGACCATTTTAAGGAGAGATTCATCAAGGCCCCAGGCTTCGCGCGGCTCGATCGCCTGGTCTCTGCGCGCCCTGTTTTTTGAAACCCGGTTCACAGAACAAATGTTGCTCCCGGGATGTCGAATGCAGTGGAAGCTTCGTTGCGGAATAAATAAAATGTCCCTTCCAGGCTGAGGCTCTCCATGGGATGGCCTCGTGCTTGACACCAAGAGAGCTTAACAAATGCCAAACGGGTTGTGTCTTACACACCCACAGAAGGTTTCTCCAGCAATTTTTCAATTATTGCATTGTGAGCCCTCCAAGAAAAGTAACTCTTTTGGCTGTCAGAACCTAATGTTACCCAGCAAAGGGAACAGAGCATTCGCGGGTTGGCAAATAGTGCCCGGGAATGCAGCACGGACAGTTCCTGGGAACTTCTCGGAGAACTAAGGCTCGTCGGGCGCCATGCTGCCCTCCTAGGGACCCTGGGCGGTGGGGTGGGGGCCCTTAGGATCCTGACTCAGTGAGATGATGCCTTCTCAAAAGAATGTTTTGAAATGCATAGGATCAAACATGAACAGTTATAAAGGAAACCAATAACTAGGAGGCAGTTACCAAAACTATTTTTAAGACAAGTTTGCAACATAGTAACATAGTGAGAGGCCCATCCCAGGCGATTTCAGAGTTCAGGGAGAATGGAATTAAAAGATAAGTTTATGTCGGTGCAAAAGAAAATATTGACGTCCATGCAGATCTTCAAAAAGTTCATAGAAAAAAAACATGATGATAAAACTATGCATGGATTTCAATTTTTTTTGGCACCAACATGAACTTATCTTTGAATTCCACAAACCGTTTGAAGTCCTCTATTTATTAATTCATTAACTGACTCCCAGCCGGCCAAACAATGCCTCCAATTTTAAAGTGGCGAGAAGCAAAAACGGGACTTTAGGATGTAGCCGGCACCTCTCCCGTGATAGGAAAACATCAGCGGGTGGTGGGTGACGGTGACAAAGTCCCACACCTCATACCAGTGTGGCTGGTTGCCTGCATTTCTGTTAGCAAACACTGAATTTCAGTTAACATTAGCAAAAATAAAAAACGGGCTAAAAAAAAAAAAAAAAAAAAAAGCAGATCCACGGGGTCCCTGGATTCCAGCCATGGACAGGAAATCTTGCTAGAGAGGGAAGACCACACTCAAGATCTCCCACCCTAAGCATACACCAGACTCGCTTCACCCTCCCTTCCCTGGGGCCCATCCTCAGGAGAGCCACCACCCGCACCCCTCCCCCTCTCGCTCTGATGTTTGCAAAGGTTTTAAAGCAACTTGAAAGGTCCTCGCTGAAGACTCCAGGTCTCAGCTTCTTGGGGGCCTTGTGCCTTGTAAGCACTTCAACTGTAAGCACTGTGGAAAAGGCGGGGTCCCCTACTCAGCTGATTCTGCATCAGAATCTGGCTGTTGCTCCCACCGCTGTGAGCTTTGGGGGCCAGAGCCTTTCTTCTCAGAGCCTGCCCAGGCGGGGTTTCCGACGCGCATTGGCTCAGAAGCAACTGGGGCGCGCACACACACCCCCTCCCCGGTCTTGCTGGGCGAGCTGTCGGCTTGCAACCTCAGCCGGCGCATGCCATTGCAGGGGCAACCCGGCAGGCGGGCCCCCTCCAAAAGCAGCCCAGCCCCCGCACGGCCCGGGCCCCGGCCAGGCTGCGGCGCCGACACACAGCAGCCGGTCCCAGGGCCGGGTCTCCGGCTCCAGGCGCGGGAGCGGGGCGCGCGCTCGCCCACGCCCACGCCCCCCCCCCCCAACACTCGCGGGCGCACACCCTGGCGCGCGCACGTACACGGCAGCCGGGCCGGGGACGCTGTCGGCAGCAGTGGTCCCGGGGTGAGAGCGGCCGGGTCTCCCCGAGGGCACCGCCGGCCGCCCCGCCCCGTCCCGCCCCGCCCCCTCGAGCCCGCTGAGCCCGGCGCTCCGTGGGCTGCGAAGTTCCTCCGCGCGAGTCCGCCCAGGCAGTGCCCCGGCTTCTGCTCGTCTCGGCTCCGCTGGGGCTCCCAACGGCCGTGACCGCAGCCCCGGGGGCTCCCGGCCGCCAGTCCCGCGCGCATCTCGGGACCCAACGCCCCGCGCCCCCAGACTGCCCGGGCTCCCCGCGCGCCTTCCCGCCGCCGAGTCTGGTGGCCGCCTCCGGTGCGCCCGCGCTCTCCCTCCACCTCCTCCTCCTCCTCCTCCAGGGCTCCTGTCCTTCGCCGGCGTCACCCCACCATGGCTCGTGGCCCCGCTCGGACCGGTCCGAGGCCGGAGCCCCCGCTGCTACCGCTGCTGCCGCTGTTTCTGCTGCTGCTCCGGGACGCAGGCGGCAGCCACACAGCCCCTGCCTGGTCCGCGGCCTCCGATGGCCTGCGAGGGGACGAGGACCCGCAGCCGTCCCCGGGGGACGCGACCGCCGCACTGGGTCCTGGCGCCCAGGACATGGTCGCTGTCCACATGCTTCGGCTTTATGAGAAGTACAGCCGGCGGGGCGCACGGCCTGGAGCTGGCAACACGGTGCGCAGCTTCCGTGCCCGGCTGGGTAAGTAGCGGGTGCCTCTGCACCCCCTCTCCCCACTCTGGCTGGCTCCCTTGTCAGCCCTCCCCAACTCGACACGCTGCTTCTGCTCTTCCTTCTGTTCACTCACTCATTCATTCATTCACTGACGATTCAGGCTGTGAGCTTGCAGTAGGCACACCTGAGTGGCGCCGAGGTCCCGCCCCCGGGGACTCTGACTTTTGCTGGACACACACGTTCCCATATGCAGGGCGGCCATGGGACATGGGTTGGGCAAGTGTCCTGGTCCCCCAGGGGTCAAGTGTGGGGGCCCTTGCTGGCTGAGGAGGGCACCCCCCAAGAGGACATCAGGCAACCCTAATAGAACCCAGGCCCCAGGGCCCAGGCAAGAAGTGCGGGCCTCCAGCCTGGGGCGTGTTAGAGGTAGCCGAGTGGCCTGGGAAGGACCTTGGGTACATGGGACTGAGCATGAAGTTTATCAGGCTACAAGGGTTTGAGGTAGGGGCCAGGAGCTTGGGCAGTGGGAGCATCCCACCCCTTTCCTGCCACACTACTCATCCTGGATGGAGCCAGGTTGGGCTGTATCTGCAGGCCCCCAGGGCAAGCGGAGGTGCAGGGGTGGTGGGAAGACCCTTGTTGTCATGGTGACCACTCAAGGCTGCAGAATGCTGTTCCAAAAGCTGTGGGTGTGGGTCCCCTGCAGCCTGTGGGGGAGGAGGCGATTCATCAGGAGAAACCCCGCTCCGTGCTCAGGCTCCTCTCTGGAGGTGGAGAGGAGCTAGCCCTGTCTTGGGGCCAGACAGTCGGGGGTCATGCAGTGGGACCCAGCGCAGCATCTGTGACCTCAGAGCCAGATGTGGGGAGCTGGGCCTCTCCACCAGAGCGGCTGCAGGCCCTGGTCCTCCACTGAGCAGCCTTGGTGGCTCCTGTGTCCCTCGGCCACTGCCTGGAGTCCATTCCTGGAGTGAAGGTAGTTAGGGAAGCCACAGTAGAGATATCTGTCATGAGCATGACCCGAGCGAGTCCCGAGTGGGCTTGAGGGCCCTCACCTATGACATGGGCAGAGCATACAGGATCTGTCCTGTGGGGCTTCAGGACAGAGGAAATGAAGCCGTATGTGTGGGTTTGAGCCCAGCCCAGCCCAGCTCATATGGCTGCTGGTGCATGGCATTCCCCAGGGAGGACAGAGCCTGGGGCTGAGCACTCTGGGTTTGTATGGGTGTAGAGTGGACCTCGTTCTTGATGAAGCAGGGAGGGACCTTGCTGCCCCTGGGGACAGGCCTGGGTGTGGAGGTGCACGTTTCTGTCTCTGCTTTGTGGAATGGGCTGGGATCCGTAACAGTGGAGCGTGGGGTGTTAACCCTACCACCGCCACCACCAGAAGGACCTGGAGACAGACTTCACAGCCAGCACTCCCATGAGACACTTGTCCTGGATGGAGCCATGCAGAAGCCTGGCCGGCTGGGCTGTATGTGCAGGCCCCAGGAGGAGACTTGGGTGCGGTGACTGTGGCAAAGCTGTAGCTGTTCTCGCTGCCTTCACCTCGCTGCCTCGTCCCTATCAGCTCGGAGCCCAGGCCCTGGGAGGGGTAGTGTGGAGCAGACGTGTCTGGGAAATCAGAATTCTGGAACAATCTGGAACTGTCTGACAAACCCCCCCCCCTTTTTTTTTTGGGAACCCAGAGATGAACTTGGGCACAAAGCCCAGCTTCCCCAGCCTCTGGCTGTGTGCTGTGGTACACGTTGTAGGCCTCTGGGCGTCCGTTGCCTTGTGTGTGCAGTGAGCAGGTAAGGACTGGGTGGGACAAGGAAGGTTTTATGCTTAGCGTAGGGTAGGGAGGTTGATTTCTCACTCCATCCCTTGAGTCATCTGTGTTGGCTTTGCCAGCCTCAGTGTGCCTGCTGCTTTTTTTGGTCTGTTTCTAAGATTGATTTATTTATTTGAAAGGCAGAGTGACAGAGAGAGAAGAAGAGACAGAGACAGAAAGAGAGGTCTTCCATCCACTGGTTCATTTCCCAAAGGCCACAACAGCCAGGGCTGCACCAGCCCAAAGCCAGGAGCCAGGAGCTCCATCCAGGTCCATGTGGATACAGGGGCCCAAGTACTTGGGCCATCACCTGTTGCCTTCCCAGGTGCATTATTAGGAAGCTGGACTGAAAGTGGAGGGCTTGGGAGTTGAACCAGCACTCCCATATGGGATGTGGGCATCCCAAGAAGTGGCTTTTTTTTTTTTTTAAAGATTTATTTATTTGAAAGGCAGAGTTACCGAGAGAGAGAAGGAGAGATAGGGAGAGAGAGAGAGAGAGACAGAGACAGAGAAATCTTCCATCCAGTGATTCACTCTCCAAATAGCTGCAATGGCCAGAGTGGGCTGATATGAAGCCAGGAGCCAGGAATTTCTTTCAGGTCCCCCACATGGGTTCAGGGACCCAAGCACTTGGGCCATCCTCCACTGCTATCCCAGGCCATTAGCAGAGAGCTGGATCGGAAGTGGAGCAGCCAGGAGGACCCATATGGGGTGCTGGCACCAGAGATGGAGGCTTAACCTGCTGTGCCACAGTGCCAGCCCCTTAAGCAGTGGCTTGATCATTGTGACCACATCTGCTCTGTGCGTGGAGGGAGGTGTGGGCCTGAGCAGAGGCCCCTCATCTCATGAAGGGGGCCACCAGGGCAGGGCTCCAGTCTGGTCTTGACTGGGTGTCTGCTGCTTCAGTGGAGAACTCCTTTTCCCAAAAGGCAGCTGCATCCATTCCCCTGGACCCTTGGTGCAGTAACTGCATTCCTCCGCTGTCACCAAGCCAGCACCGGAGGACAGCCTGTGAGCTGGACTGGGAAGGTGCAAGCACCCAGTGCTGTGACTGAGGTGGGGGACTTGACCGTGACCCAGAGTTTTGTTGTTTTTTTTTTTCACTTGGAAAATTGGGTTAAAAATGATCCCTTCCTGATAGCGATTTTTATAAAATAAACAGAGACACGTCAAGTACTGAAAACCATTTCCTGCACACATAAATGTCAACCGTTTGTTTAGGAGCCCTTACTCCTGCAGCGCCCTCTGCCCTACCTTCTGTCTCCTGCTGAATTCTGCATCCATGGAGAGAACCTTTGAGCTCAGCCCTCAAGGGCTGGGCTAGACCGCTCACACCTCACGCTCCCACAGAATGACCCGTGTTGAAATGTGAGCTTCCTTAACCTTCAGTGTGACACTGAACTTGAGTGAGGTCCTTCCTTTCCAAAATGTGTAACACTGCATACTCCTCTGTCAAAACTGCCCCCAGTCAAGTTCAGTAGCTTCCTGCTATGCCCTAAGTACCCTGTTTGGTTGCAGGTGCCGTGAGCTGAAAGGACACAGCCGTGCGCAGGTGCTGGCTTGGTCCACAAAGCTCATGGGGGCTGGGATGGTGGGGAGAAGCAGGCAGAAGAGTAGGGTAGTGGGACAGTGGTGCCATGGAGAGATGAACGGGGTGGTGAGAGGTTCAGGGATGCCTTTGCAGAGCAGGTGAGGCTCCAGGGGACCTTAGAGTGCAGATTCAGTTTCAGCAGGTGTGGAAGTGAGGCAGCCCTCGGAGCGTCAGGAGCTGTTGGGAGTTTGGCTTTACCGAGGAAATAAAGTGCAGAGAGAGAGGTAGGGGAGAGAGGTGGATGAGCAGGAAGCAGTCAGGCGGTGGAGAGCTTTGAGTGTTAGGAGTTTGTCTGTAGGCAATGAGGTGGCACCTGCTGGGGCTGTGTGTGACAGACAGCAAGGAGGGAGGGAAGAGAGGGGCTGCAGGGAGAGAGGGGGTGAGGAGAGAGAGCAGCGGGGTTATAAAAGGAATGTGTACGTACTGGGGAAAGTCGAGATCATGGAGGGACCGCAGTGAAGAATAGCATCTCTAATCACACACCCAGATACAACCAGAGGGAAAGGGGGATACTGCAAAAAGTTCGTGCAAAAATTAGAAGTTGATCTTGCGGCCAATCACTTTTGAAATGAAGAGTTTTCTCATCATACACATTTTCATGAACTTTTTGAACACCTCTTGTATGCATAGATTGCAAATTTTTTTGTTCCAAAATCTTTCTTCTTTTTAAAGATGTACTTGTTTGAAAGGCAGAGTGACAGAGAAACAGAGAGAGAGACAGAGAGACAGAGAGACAGAGAGAGATCTTCCATCTGCTGGTTCACTCCCCAGTGCCCACAACAGCCAGAGCTGGACCAGGCTGAAGTCAGGAGCCAGGAACTCCATCTGCGTCTCCCCCATGGGTGCGGGGCCCCAAGCACTTGGGCCATCTTCCGCAGCTTTCCCAGGTGTGTTAGCAGGGAGCTGGAGAGGAAACAGAGCATCTGGGACTCAAAGCGGCACTCTGATATGGGATGTGGGAGTCCCAAGTGATGACTTAACCTGCGGTGACACGGCATCAGCCCCTATAGATGATTCAATTTTGAAGCATGAGTGTCACATAAGGGGGTGACAGTTCTGGGATTCCTGTTGTCCTTGAGGTCGGCTCTGGAATGAAGTTTCTGGCAGGCAGGATACAGCATTCAGGAGGCAAAGCCAGCAGGGTCTGGGGGTTGAATAGAAGCAGGAGGGGCAGGAGAGGAAGAGGCAGTGTGGTCTCCTGGGACAAGAGGGGTAGCAGTGATGGCGTGGTGCCCTGAGCGGTGCCAGCCCCTGCAGCCACCTGGCCAATGTGTTCCTAGCCTGTGCTTGGTGCCAGACATTGCGCTGTGAGTGAGCTCTGCAGAGCCGATCTCACAACTTTCACAGGTGCATCCACACACTCCGCCCCTTTACCAATGAGAAAACGGAGGCACAAGGAGGTCCCAGGACTTGCTCAAGGCCCCACAGCTAGCAAACAATGCAAGCAGGAGGTTCACTGGAGCTGACACTCAGGACAAATCGAGTCCCTGACCCTGTCCATGGCCACCCCAGGCTGGCCCACCCCTTGCTGCCTTCACCCAGCCTTCTCACGCTAGTCACCCTGGTGGCCGTTTCAGGGGAATGGAGGAAGTACAGCTCTGGATGAGTGCTACAGCAGGTCAGGCTTCCTCTTGCAATGCCAGCATCCCATACGGGTGCCGGTTCAAGTCCCGGCTGCTCCACACCCCATCCAGCTCCCTGCTAATGCACCTGGGAAAGAAGCAGAAGATGGCCCAAGTGCTTGCGCCCTGCCACCCAAGTGGGAGACCTGGATGAAGTTCCTGGCTCTTAGCTTCAGCCTGTGGCCATTTGGGGAATGAACCAGCAGATGGAAGATTCTCTCTCTCTCTCTCTCTCTCTGGCTTTCAAATAAATACATCTTCTTAGTTAATTAATTACTGGCAGATCCATCTGAAGGGCTGCTCTTGGCTAGGGTTTGGCCAGCAGAGAATTTACAGGTGCCATTGGACTAGGAGGTCCCTCCCCCAACCAGTGCCCTCAGGAAGGAGCACAGCGGTCAGATTACTGGGCATTCCAGACACACGCATGGAGAGGTAAGCTCGGTCCTTCCCTGCCTGGTGATTCGGAACCCAGAAACATCTCAAAAGTGACCTGTGCTTGCAAAACACGTGGCAATGACAGTCTGTCCATTTGCTCTTAGGCATGTCCAATTTACAACCAGAGGGCATGGGGGCAAAGGGCGTGGGCTCAAGGTCAGCCAGGCCAGGCTGTGTGGCCTTGGGCAGGTGATCTGGCCTCTCTGGGGCTCCAGCTTTGTGTGCAGAATGAATGCCCTTGGCTTTATCCCTCAGCATGAAATGAGTACTCAGACATGCAGAGCCCCCAGCACGGGGCCAAGCACATACCTGGACCTCAGAACTCCATAACTGGTAAACACTGTTACAGGCTGAGCATCCCCAACCAGAAACCCCACGTCGCAAGTGCCCCAGAATCCCCAACTTCGAGAGTGCCCACAAGTGGAAAATTCCACACCTGACCTCATGTGACCAGCCCCAGTCAGAACCCAAGCACACAGAAAATGTATAGAATCGCCTTCAGGCTGTGTGTGTACCCGAGCACACAGAGTGTGTGGAAGGTGGATGTGAGGCCTAAGGGAACTCCCTGCTTAGACTTGGCCCATCCGGAAGTGAGCTCATGTATCTGCAAATCTGAAAATACCGCAGATCCGAAAGTCACAATTCCAGTCAAGGATGCTGTATTCCTATGTAGAGAGAACATAGGAGGGAAGTTCTGGCTAGAGAGCTGGATTTGCACATCTACTGAGTCTTTGCAGACCAGACAAAGCCTGTGGGCTTCTTAAGGATGCACTCTCCGTGCTCCTGGGCAGCAGCAGGAGCCCCCTGTGCTAACTGACAGGCCTGGGGCTTCCCTGGGCAGGATGTGTGTGGGGAGTCCCACACTACAGTGACACACGGCTCTGAGCACGACCGGCCCGAGGATCCAGCAATGAGGCAAGCATGACCCTGCCCTCCTGGAGCTCATGGGTTCTGCAGGGGCTCTGTGGGGACACAAGGACAGAGCAAACACGAGCCAGGATGTCCGGAGCTGCTGAGATGCAGAGAGATGGAGTGGGTCTTCCCAACACTTGTGAGGGATGGCATTTGAGCAGAGACCTGAAAGGGGGTGGAGCAACCCCTGGGGGAGGAGCCATGAAGGAAGAGGTGGGGCAGAGGGACAGGGCTGTGCTGGGGACAAAGTTGGAGATGCAGGCAGGACAAGCAGGCCTTGTGTTGGTGAAAGATGGAGTTTTAGTTTAGTGTCAGTGGAAGGCTCTGAGCTGCAGCACCAGCACCCTGGGGCCCCCTGGGACAGTGCCCTATGAAAGTGATGGGACAGGGACACTGCTGCTGGCCTTGTCACTGTCATCAGCAGCCTGCTCCCCCAGGAGGCTGAGGCCTCCACTGGTCATCGTCGCCTGGTCCCCAGGCAGCCCCACTGTTAGAGAACAAGGTTGGCAAGTATTAATTGGGAGAAATGAGAAGGGGGGGAGGCCTTTTCCCGCTGTGAGCCAGGGACCAGCACGGTGGCTAGGTCAGAGCGACTTCTCTTCAGGGCCTTCTCCAAGCAGAGGACTTCGTGTAATGTCCCTGCTCTCAGCCTGAAGTCCCCTGCATGCATGCGTGCAGGTGCACACAGAGGACCAGCCTGGGGGCCCAGCTGTGCTGCAGGTGGGGGTGACCCATCTGGACCTCAACAGCTCCCATCAGGGAGAGTATTTAAGAGCAGGCTGCCCCTAAGGGGTGGGCTCCCTGTGACTGCAGATGTGATGGCCAGAACTCCTGAGGGCTGGCCAAAATAGGGATCAAGCCCCTGGCGCTCACGGCCATGCGTGTGGGAAAGCCAAGTTCACGTGTGTATCAGGGCCCTGTGCTGCGGCTGACCGCTGGAGCCGCTGAGGGACTGGTCACCTCTCTGGTAGGGGTGTCGTGAGGATAAGGTGATGTCCAGGAGTGTCACCTGAGCTGTGACCCCCTGGATGTCCATCTGCTTTCCTCCCTCCTTAAGAGTAAGGGAAAACCTACGGTGGAATTTTGCCTCCTTCCCATCAGAAAGGAAGAACTTAGAACTAAAGATTCTGGTTGAAAAAGAATGTGGTAGCTACAGGTGTCAGAGAGGTGGCACCCCAAGCCATGAGTCTCGGGGAGCCCAGCGTCACCCCACCACACCTCTCCCAGGCTGGGGAGCTCTTTCCTCTTCTGGCTCTACCAGTCACGGTGGCAGGGGGAGGGAGGGGCTGGGGCCCCGGCCACGTGGGTCACCTTCTGGGCGGCAGCATTACGGGGCAACAAGAAACACACCTGCTCCCCTCCGAATCCGAGAAAGGGCTTTGCCGGGGCTGAGCCTGGGCAGAGTCCATGGCCCCACAGAGCTTCTCCCTCCCTCCCTCACTCCTCTCTCCTCCTTCTGCCCCCCTCCCTTCCCTGCCTTCCGCAGGGGAACATTGCCAGTCCCCAACTTCCTTCCCAGTTTGTTCTTTGAGGATAACCAAGGGCGCCCCCTTCCGTCAAACGTGAGCCCTGCGAGGCGATTTGGGGACCTTCCCTGCACACGCAGTTCTGGGCCCTGGGCGGGAGAGCCTGCGGAGCAGGGCGCGAGGCCGTGCGGGCAGCTCACGGGCTGCGGTGTGTTCTCCCTCCGGCAGACGTGGTCGACCAGAAGGCCGTGTATGTCTTCAATCTGACGTCCATGCAGGATTCGGAGATGATCCTCACGGCCACCTTTCACTTCTACCTGGAGCCGCAGCGGCGGTGGCCCCCGGCGCGCGGGCTGGCCGCAGGCCCGCCCGCGCGCCCGCACCTGCTCCTCCGCAGCCTCCCGCACAACGCGGCCACGCAGGGGCTGCTCCGCGCTGCCCTGGCCCTGGCGCCGCCGCCGCCGCCGCGCGGCCTATGGCAGGCCCGGGACATCTCAGCCGTGGTCCAGGCGGCCCGCAGAGACGGCGAGCTGCTCCTGTCCGCTCAGCTCGACCCCGGGGACAAGAGCCCAGGACTGCACAGGCCCGGCGCCCATGCGCCCTACATCCTCGTCTACGCCAACGATCTGGCCATCTCGGAGCCAAACAGCGTGGCCGTGACCCTGCAGCGATACGACCCCTTCCAGACCGGGGACCCCGAGCCGCGCCCGGCCCCCAACGGCTCCAGCGACCCCCGCGTGCGCCGGGCGGCCGCGCAGGCCTCCGGGCCTCTGCACGACAACGAACTGCCCGGGCTGCACGAGAGGCGGGCGCCGGCCGTGGCTCACGGCCCGCGTCACCACAAGCACGAGCTGTGGCCGGGCCCCTTGCGAGCGCTGAGGCCAAGGCCGGGGCGCAGGGACCGGCGCAGGAAGGGCCCGGAGCTGTTCGCCGCCTCCGCCGCCTCCTCGCAGGTGCTGGACTTCGACGAGAAAACGATGCAGAAAGCCCGCAGGAGGCAGTGGGATGAGCCCCGGGTCTGCTCCCGGAGGTACCTGAAGGTGGACTTCGCAGACATCGGCTGGAACGAGTGGATCATCTCACCCAAGGCCTTCGATGCCTACTACTGTGCGGGCGCCTGCGAGTTCCCCATGCCCAAGGTAGGGCCTGACCCCAGACCCCTGCAGGTCCCTCTACCTGCAAGGCCTTGATTGCCCCATCTGCAAAATGGGGCATCTGGCTCCAGGCACAGAACAGGTAGGTCACAGTGGCCAAGTGGCAGCCGACTGGGTGGACCCAGCCCTCGGATTTGTTTTGGCTTTAGCTTTTGAACGTGCTGACTTGGCTAAATTGGAATTTTTAAATCAGAACATTTTTGTTTTGAAAAACAAGAGAGGCACCCCCTACAAGGATTTATTGATTTTATTTGATAGGCAGAGTTAGAGAGAGAGAGAGAGAGAGAGAGAGAGATCTTCCATCACTGGTCTATTCCCCCAGATGACTACAATTGTCAGGACTGGGCCAAGCTAAAATCAGGAGCCAGGAGCTTCATCCGGGTCTCCCACGTGGGTGCAGGGGCCCAAGGACTTGGGCCATTGTCTGCTTCTTCCCTAGATGCATTAGCAAGGAGCTGGATTGGAAAGTGGAGCAGCCGGGACCCGAACCAGCATCCATATGGGATGCTGGCACTGCAGGCAGCAGCTTTACCCGCAAGGCCAGAATGCTGGCCTCGAAAAGCCATATCTGTATAGACGTGTGCTCCTGGGAGCACTCACTTCACAGGCTGCGTGCATGCTGCCCCCTGTAGGCAGTGCATGTCCCTTCTAGGCCAAAGCCATGGCACCTGCTGCTGGTGGGGACCTCAGGGCACTGGCTTCTGGGACCAGCAGCCTCGGTGGCTCCCCCAGTGTGGGTGGGCTTCCTCCTCCATCCAGCTCAGAGCAAGGACCCACAGGACAGCAACTTCTCCCTGTGTGCTGTTTTATCCATGGCCCTGGCCCTGGGCCGTGGCCCTGTCGGTCCCTCTCCCTGTGGTCTGCTCGGTGGCGGGCTGGCTGCCCTCCATGTCACAGTTTCCATCTGCTTAGCTACTCTGAGGCCAGGTAATGCCTTCCCCTCCAAAGAAGGAAGTCAGTGCATAAATCCAATTTGAATGTAAATAAATCAGCCAGCTGGGAAAGCCCAGGCCAGACAAGGGAGGGAGGGTGATTAACCTGCTTGGGGATTCTAGGGCTTCTCCCTAAAGCCCTGTAGAGGAAAGGGGGGCAGGGAGAGGTGGTTCACAGAGAGGCCACATCAGCACTGTGCTTGCCTTATCAGCTGGCTCTCGCCACCTCCCAGTACGCAAGGTACCAGCCCAAACTCTGCAGGCGCAGGTGTCCCAGCCTCCCGCATAAGCAAACAAAGGATTTTTTCTGGTCAGCTGCACCGTGTAGAAAACTTGGCGTAGCTGGGGATGGTGTCCCAAGCAGTGTCTCCGCTGAGCCAAACATCTGCCTCTATTTAATTTAAGCCTCAGCGTGTTCAGTAAAATGAAGGTCTCTCACACCTGGTAAAACAGGTAGGATGGTAAGATGGGGCCGCGGAAGTGGAGCAGCCCCTGTCGCTCCAAGTCAGACACACCTGGGGAGCGTCAGCTCCCTGTGGCAAGCCCCGGGGCGCCGGCTTCGGTGCCTAGGGCATGGTCACCCAGGAGGCGTGTCTACAGCAGTCCACACCCTGGCAGCCCCAGGGCCCCCAGCGCCTTTCCAGGCTTCCCCTGCCAGCATCCCTGCATTCAGTGGGCTGTGTGAGGCGCGAGCGCCCCCCAGTGGCCAGTGCCCGGTAAGGGTCATGGCGTCCCTCGGGGAAGCAGGAAGCTAGCTAGCTTTTCTTGCAGGGAAAACGTGCCCCAGGCTTGGTGATCTGGTCTTTGCTTGGGGCTCTGGGTCCGCAGCAGGGCAGAGCTATGTGGGCTAGGGCCCTGACGCCAGCGTGCGTGAGCGGGAGACGGCGGAGCGCTGGAGTAACGCTGCTGCCCCTGCCCCTTGCAGGTTGTCCGCCCGTCCAACCACGCCACCATCCAGAGCATCGTCAGGGCCGTGGGTGTGGTGCCCGGCGTGCCGGGGCCCTGCTGCGTCCCCGACAAGATGAGCTCCCTCGGGGTGCTGTTCCTGGACGAGAGTCGGAACGTGGTTCTGAAGGTGTACCCCAACATGTCCGTGGAGACCTGCGCCTGCCGCTAAGACCCCTGCAGCATGGCTTCAGGAAGCTGGGGCTGCAGCCGTAGGCACGGGACCAAGTGGGGCCGGGGCCACAGAGGGGCCGGGACTCTGTCCTGGGGGCGTTCCGTGCTGCGGACTTGGTCCCGTCCTTTCTGCTCACCTGCTGGAGGTGGCCGTGTCCACAGGGCTGGCCTCTTGTGGTCAGCACCTCATAAGGAGGAGGAGGAGGACTCTCACTCCCTTCCCGCGTGGGAGCATCTCTGGGGGACGTGCGATTTGGGCCACAACGCGGTGACTCTGGACATCCCAGCTCACAGTGGGGGGGGGGTGTCTCCACTTTTAGCCCTACCGCGGAAGCTCCTATACACCCAGTATGCACCTGTAACCCATACCTGGCCCGTGTTTCTTAATATATATTTTTATTGTAAAGCAAAAAGGAGGGGGCTGACCCCGGTTCTCCACAGACGTATTCGCGCTGATGAAGTGGGTTGTTGAAACATGCCACGTGCCTACTAAAAAGTAACCGAGATGTTATATTTTTGTAAATTCTACTTTCTATGCTGTAGATGCTGTACGTTATGTGTTTTTATGAAAAGCTAATAAATTAAAGATACAGTGGTATCTTGAAAGACCCTCACCCCTTCCAAAATCCTGATGGAGCCAGAGACACAGAGCAGGGGACACAGCCTCTGTTAGGGTTGGGGGGAGGTCTCCCAGGCCATCTCTGGACCCTGCTATGCTCTTGCCAAGCTCCAGAAACCCCCAGGGGGCTCCCCCATCCAGTCTGATCCCCACCCTGGAACGCCACCAAGGTGGGACATAGCCCCAGCAGGCCTTGTGGCCTCCTGGAGCTCCCTTGAAATCACTAACCTGGGGGAGCACCTATTGATTGGGAGGTGTCTGAGGCATTTAAAAGAGCGCCTGGGGTTGCCTGGGCAGAGACCTTTTTTAACTTGGGGTTGTTGAAGCCAATGAGGCTTAACAGGAGCTATCCGAGGTCACTGGAGGTCCAGACACAGCTATGGGATGGGACGGGCCACAGAGTCTGCTTGTGCTAACTGTAGGGCAGTCCCCAGCAGCCCCGTCCCAGAAACAGCAGCCCCTCACTCCCCCATGTCTATGTGGCCGCAGTGCCCCCAAGCGATGCCCTGGCGTTTCTGAAGGACACTGCATCCGGTCTGAAGCTGATGCATCCCAGCCCTGTCAGCCGGGTTCTGAGAGGCTGCCGCGGCCCCGGGGATCCTCGGAGGACACTGGAAGTGGCAGGCCTCCTCTGACAGGGCACACAAGAGGAGAGAAGCAGCCCAGGCTTCTGTCCGAGGCAGGGCGCCAGCGACTGGGGCTCCCGTGCCAAGGAGACGCAGGTAAGGACCCACTGGACTGCTGTCCAGATGCCGTGGGTGGCTCTGTGAGGTTAGGGCCTCCTGTCTCCAGGCTGCCCCCAGGTGGAGCTGACTGGGGAGTGCTGGCACCCAGTTCTCCATCTCTCTGCAGGTGCAGAGGCTCTGGAAGCCAGGGGACCCCTGAGCAAGGCTGCAGTGGCAGCCACTGGAGGCCAAGCTGGGGAGAGAGAGGCCCCAGAGTCAGCAAGGAAGGGAGAACCTCAAGAATGACCCCAGGACACTCATGTGAGCAGCTGCCATGGGACAGGGGCATGGGCTTTGGGACAGGGACAGCCACCTGCCTTCCCTGCAAATCGGCCGCCAGCAGCCACGCCCCACAGCAGCCTCGGCTCCGTGACGCCTTCACTCCATGTTGCTCTTTATTCCTGTAGAGCTGTGCATGGGACAAGGGCTCCTATGTAGCCACAGGGGCTGCCCTGCCAACTTCCCGCTGGGTCCTGCACAGTCCTTTGGGGAACATGGCAGGGTGTAAGGAACAGTAAAGTTGAGCCCAAGCCTTGCAGCTTGCTACGACCCCAAATCTCTTCTTCCATATATTAGCTCCCTCCTGCCGCCTCCCCCCTCGCCATCTTTTCTCATTCTCTGCTCCCTTGCCGTTTTTGATACAGATGGGATATCTTGTGCCCTTACCTTTCTCTTCCTGGCATCTCTGGGGGACCTTCAGGATCTCCCCCAAATGCCCGCAAGTCCCCTGGGTGTTCCCTGTTGGATTTCTGGTGTGGGGGAAGGCAGACTGAGAACTCTCTGTGGGGGTCCAACCACATGCAGGGGCTCGAGCCTAGGCTGGTGGGAAGGTGTCCAGGGGGTGCCAGCTTCCCTGGGGTGAGGGGCGTGCCCGGGGAATGCCACCTGCACCTGCTGTCATCATTGAGTCCTCCAGTTTGCAAAGCACCGGGCAATTTACTGATGGCTCCTCATGCAGCCTCCCAGCAGCCTGGTTCCCCTGCCCAGCTGGCATCCTGGAAACCAGGCTTAGGAGGAAAGGACAAGCAACACACCCACCATGGCTCACCAAGACCAGGCAGTGCCAGGCTCATGGCCCTGGCTGCCTGAGCTGAGGCCTCTGTGGCCAGGGCTGACCGTGAATTTCCTGGCCAGTGACCACTCCCAGAGGCATTGCGTGCTCTTGCAGAGGAGAGTCACAAAATAACTTCTTTCCCTGTAAAGCCAAAAAAACAACATCTTATCAGGGCCAGGGTCCTGGCACAGCAAGTTAAGCCACCGCCTGCAATGCCAGCATCCCATGGGAGAACTGTTTAAAAAAAGATTAATTTTATTTGAAAGAGGAAGAGAGAGAGAGAGAGAGAGAGAGAGAGAGAGAGAGAGGTCTTCTATCTGCTGGTTCACTCCCCAGATGGCTGCAATGGCCAGAGCTGCGTCGATCCGAAGCCAGGAGCCAGGAGCTTGTTCCAGGTCTCCCATGTGGGTGCAGGGGCCCGAGGACTTGGGCCATCTTCTACTGCTTTCCCAGGCCACAGCAGAGAGCTGGATTGGAAGAGGAGCAGCCAAGACTAGAACTGGCACTCATAGGGGATGCCGGTGCCTCAGGCCAGGGCTTTAACCGCTGTGCCACAGCGCCAGCCCCAGGAACACTGTTTCAAGTCCCAGCTGCTCCACTTTTGAACCGGCTCCCTGCTAATGCAACCTGGGAAAGCAGTGGAGGGCCCCTGCTCCCCACATGGGGGATCTGGATGGAGTTCCAGGCTCCTGGTCAGCTGTTGCTGCCGTTTGGGAGTGAGTCAATGGATGGAAAAGGTTGGGGAAACTGCCTGGTGCATCCCTTTTACTGCAAGGCGAGAGGAAACCGAGCTCAGGGACCCCAGGCATCCCCAGGTCCAGGCCTCTCATAGAATGTCACCAAGGCTGCAGCCTGTAACTGCTGCCACTGTGGCCAGCAAGGAGTCTGCCATGCTGAGCATGGGAGGGCAGAGAAGGGGAGCCCAGAGGAGGAGTGGGGGAGACGCTACAAAGACATCGATTCTGGGGCCAGCCTGGAAGGGGGACCTGGCGTGGCTGCTGGCACCGGGGTGCTGCTTATGCAAGGAGCTTGTCCCCCCCTCACCCACCCCCAGCCATGAGTTTTGCACCAACACATTTGACAGCTCCCCTCTACCAAAACCTGGAAACAGAAAATCCTTCAAGGTAAACAGATGCTTCTGGGATTTCGGCCCTTGTCCCTTCCACTGCCAGAAGCCATGCTGTTCCTTCAGGTCTGGTCCCCTCCCCCTGCATCTTCCCTTGTCTGGCCCAGCCCTGATGCTGCCTCCTCCAATGGCACAGGAAATCTCCGTGTGTGAGTCGGGGTGCGTGGGTGAGCAGAAGTGAAATCAGAAGAGACCTCCTAAAATTTTACACTAAAATGTGGCCCCTTAAAGTTCCCTAGAAATGCTATCCGGGGTGCCACATGTACTACCGGAATTTGGGGTGCCATATGATTTCACCACGGGCTTATTACTAAATCCCCGATATTAATAAGCCCAAGAGGGTTCTTGCCTAATATTCAGAGAAGAATTCTAAATACCGGATCTGTCGGTTGATGTGTGAACTTGAACTTGCACCAGACTCACAGGTTGCCGGGGTCACCGGGCGTTGTGTCTGACGCAGGCTGAGACAGGGCTCCTTTCCTGCTGGTTCGGGAGCCACGCTTGGAGAATAGGTGGCTTCGCAGTGGGGTGTCCTGGGGCGTATGTGGTCCTCAGCCTCTGGAGATGGCTGGGTCACAAAAACTCCTGCCCCCTGGGATGTGTGTGTGTGTGGGGGTCCTTTCTCCCCTCCATGGATGAAGGCTGAATTCAGTGTCACTGATTGAAAGGATGAGGTTCAAGGGTCCTTGAAATGCATGGAAGAGCCGACTGGGCTCTCTGGTTCATTAATGTGTGAGTCTCCATAGCAATTGCACAGGGCGGTGTGAGCTCCACAATTCACGGGCCCTGGAGGGGACGATACTATAAAGCCTTTGGTTAAAAATCACCATGGCCTGGTGAGGGCAAGCTACCTGGGCCTCAAGAACAGTGGGGGGCTGGAGGGTGGGGATAAGGCTGAGCTGGCAGCTGCCACTGGAGCACACCCAGCCTGCTCGGCCCCGCCCCCACAGCACACTCCTCCAACCCCTTCAGGCAGGGGACAGCGACGCCATGTGCCAAGGTGCAGGTTGGAGGTGACACCTCGAGCCAACAGCAGATCAGCAGTCCCAGGGCTCTTAGTGTGGTTGTCACATGGACCGCTGCCCTGAGAACGGAGGCTGCAGGTGGAGGGCGGCCACGGGCTGGCCTGGAAAGCAGTAAGGACCAGCCCCCAGGGAGGACAGCTGGGAGGGAGGGAAGGCATTCCTGGTGGGCCGAGGAGGGGGTGGGGACAAGAAGATCAGCCGCTGCAGGGACAGGACAGTCGCAGTAAGAGTGATTGTTGTGCACCTGCTGTGCTGACGGCAGTGAGTTCCTGAGAACACCCAGGCATCTGAGGAGTCTGCCCTGGACACACAACTCCTCAGGGACTCTGATTCCCGAGCAGGGCCCCTGGAGCAGTACGGGAGAGACTCCTCGGCCTCCTAGGAGACTGAGGTGCTGCTCACCAAAATATGGAGAAAATACCGCCAGCCCAAAGGGCAATGCAAATGAGCTTGTTTGTCCACTAGCTTCTGGGAAAAGACAAAATTGCAACAACAAAAAATTACTTGAAGATCTTAATTGGGTGTCACCTGCAATTCCAAGTATAAATTATGAAATATTTAATTATCTGTTTTATATAAAGTGATAACATAATATCTGTACATAACATTATAAAATAGAATGAATGTTCCAATGAGCTGAGCAGAAGTAGTTGGTTTTATAGGCAGAAAGAAACTGAAGAAAGCAGGAAAAAAAAAAACACTGGTAATTTCAAAAAAAATTTGTAAAATTTATTTATTTATTTGAAAGGCAGAGTTACAGAGAGAGACAGAAAGAGAGAGAGGTCTTCCATCCGCTAGTTCACTCCCCAAATGGCTGCAAACAGCTGAAGCTGGGTGGATCCGAAGCCAGGAGCCAGGAGCTTCTTCTGGGTCTCCCACACGGGTGCAGGGACCCAAGGCCTTGGGCCATCTTCTACTGCTTTCCCAGGCCACAGCAGAGAGCTGGATCAGAAGTGGAGCAGCTGGGACTTGAACCGGCGCCCATATGGGATGCTGGTGCCGCAGGCAGGAACTTAATCAGCTACACTACAACACCAGCCCCTCATTTCAAAATTACCCTCCTTGTGGTGTTAGCACAGGGGACACTTCCTCCTCGGGCCAGCACAGGTAAACTGGGCCCTTGAATTAGTTGCTGTGAATCTTGTGATGGTTTCAGCGTTGGGTTTGACGTGTGGCACCTCGCACAGGGGCTGCACTCTGATTCAATGGGCTCTGTTGTAAGCCAGGGCAGGAGGTCTGTCCAGGGCAATGGGGGCCCCTTTGATGTTGCCTGCACAACCACCAAAGGAGAGGAGTTCATCCCAGCAAAGGGACCTTGGAAGAACATTCTGGAAAGCAGTGGCAACATTGTCTGCAACTACGGTGGCCTAGATGGTCCACTTCTGACAACTCTGGCTCAACAAATGACATCACATATATACTACAATAATACCCCCTGCAACATTATCTCCATAATAGTCTAATTGCCCCACAGCTGGAAAACAGTTGAGTTACCCAGAATATATTCGTGCAGCCGTATTCAGCCGTTAACAGTGAGGGTCACACAAAGGGAGGCTAGTTACACAACCCTGCGGTGGTCTCTCCTAGCCACCAGATATACACTCCCTTGGAGTTCATCCCAGCCTGATCCTCTCCTGGGGGCTGCTAGGGACATCACTGCCACTCCAAGGGCCTGAGCCAATCAAGGCGTGTATTCCCTTGGCTACATACAGTGATTGGTTTGGGCGTAGGCAGATGATCCAATCAGGGTGAGGGAGACACTGGGAGTCTCAGGGGACTTCCCGGGAAAAAGGCCTTTGCCCCGCCCCACCCCTCCTCCCTCCAGGTGCAATGTTGCATTGTCCATGGGCCTGTTGCAGCCTGGGAGTGGGCATGTGAAGCCCAGCAGGGGAGGGAAGGCTGAGGACTGAGTCTTTCTGGATGCTGATGTCTGCAACTTGCAACAAAAAGAACCTTAAATGCTACTGTTTTAATGTAAAAAAAAAAAAAAAAAAAAAAGAGTGACATCACAGGTAACACTCTGGAGGGCTTGCAAGCACTTTGGTCCTCTCTCTAGCTCTCACCGGAAGTATGACCTCAGCCCTCAGTGTGTCTGTGGGTAGACACACAAACCCTCCATAATTCAGATCTTTGGTCTTTGAAAACTCATGCACATGGACTTTTCTGGAAAACACAAGGGAAAACTTAGAAATCACACAGTTTGGGGAAGAAAGGGTGGGGAGAGGTGGGGGATAGAAATACCACCTGCTATGGGCCCCTCCAGGTGCTCAAGTGCACCTCAGCCTCCACGGCTGGCCAGCTTTGGTGACCCCATGGGTTAACACAGTCTCTTATCTGAAACCCCCATTCAAAACTCTCTGAAAGCCTCTATTCTTTTAACTCTTTCTGGAGGCAAAACCTGACCTCATTGGCTGGCTGTTCTCGTATTTCACTGCAGAAATACTGATGTTGATTTTAGGGTCTTGTCTCCCACCATACCCATCTCCCCAAGTGTGAACCTTTCTGCATCTCAAAACACTGCCAGCACATCTCAAAATATCAGCCGTGGACATCCCTGGGTGATGAGACCGTAGCTTGCATTTTATTTCCTTCTTTATAATGTTTTGCATTTTCCAAATTTTCTGCACTCTATGCTGCTGTTATACCTGGTGGGGGTGGGAGTCGGCGGGGATGTCACATTCAAATGTTTTTATGTAATTGTTTGAAAGACAGAGAGACAGACAGACAGCTCCCTTCTGCTGGTTCACTCTCCCAAATGACCACAATAGCCAGGAGTTGGAACTCCATCCCGATCTCCCATGCAGATGGCAGGGACCCAGCCACTTGACCCATCATCTGCTGCCTCCCGGGGTGCATGTTGGCAGGAACTGGCATCAGAAACATACCTGGGACTTGAACTCAGGATCTCTGACATGGGCTACATGACATGGGCTACACTAGGTCTAACTAGTATACTGAACACAACACCAAATGCCTGCCCCGTCACATTTTTAAAAAATCAACAGTTAACTGACCCTTGTACCACCCTGAGCACATCCAGCGGGCTCCCTGCCACCACGCGGCTCAGCCTCTCCCGTGTGAAAACGTCCCGGTGGCCTCTGGGACTGGAGCACGCTGGGGGCCACTTACTGCCCTCCGAAGCTCCCTGCACACTCGGCAGGGGGCAGCTCCATTTCCCAAGCTTGGCACCCACTTGGATCTTTTTCCCCCCTCCTCTTGCCTTGGGCTGGACCAATGCCCAGAGCCATTTCCTGCCCGCCCCCGAGCAGCTGGATGAGGACAGCAAGTTCCGTCCGGGTGTGGCCATTCAGGGTTTCTGGTCTCTCCCTTCCCCCCACTGGGATCTGTGACCACAGCCTGCTGGGCCCCTCCTGCATCTCTCTGTGTCCTCCCCCAGGAGCCCCACCAGCCTGGATCAACGTCAGCTTCAAATTCTCCCCAGCGTGGACCACCAGGCACACCTGCCAAGTGCTTTGAACTGTGCTCTTTCTTTGCTTTGCACCAAAGCCTCTTGTGATGGACATAGACAGAAACTGTAATGACACAGTCCCTGGGGTCCCTCGGGCCACATCAACTGGGATGCAGCTTGTCAGCCTCCTCTGGCCAGGGAGCCATCTCAGAGCGTCCCACCTTCTCTGCCTGCCCAGACTCCGCATAGCTCTGCTGGCTGATGGATGTGAAGCAGGCTGCCCACCCCCCCAACACACACACACACATGCAGACCAGAGACAGAGCTGGTCTGGGAGCTCCCAGGGGCTGGCAGGCTGCAGTGTGTTTGCAGGGCTACTGCAGAGCTGGAGGGTAGGGAGAGAACAAGGAGCTTCTTCCCCCAGCTCCAGCTCAGGAGGCCCAGAGGTGGGGAGGAGGCACCCAGAACAGAGACACCCATGCCTGTGGCTGCTCCTGTTGACCATCTTCCATCATCACAATTCCCCTCCGAGCAGGAGGCGCTGAGAACCAAAGTCAAAGCTGCTCCAGGTTCCATTCGTGGGGGCTGGCGTTGGAACCCCCATCCACCCTGACCCCGAGGTCCTCCTGGCCACATTATGTGACATGGGAATGGCAGTGCTGGGCAGGCAGCTCATTGGACAGACACAGGGGCGCGGTGCGGCCACGTGGCAGGTTCCCATTCCCAACCGAGCAGGCGCACACCGATTTGCCCTGAACTTGGGGTGTCCACTGCGGTCATTGCTATATTTGGAGGGCTTCTGGGCCTTATTTCCTGGCTTCTTTGTTCCTGAAGCCCAGGGGCTGGAGTGTCCCCTGAATGGAGCTGTCCGGGAAACCAGCCAGGACCCTAATTAGGGGCGACGACCGACCGGTCGAGGGGATTCTTCCCGGGAGGCCGTGTCCTTCCCACAGGCCCTGCGCTTTGCCACATGTTTACAGAACCTTCATTAACCGAGGGTCCCTGCCGATAACAGCTCCCCTCGCAGCTTCGTGGGGCCAGATAAGAACAAGCGGATGGAGTCCGGGCCCGCGGGGCTGGCGGCAGTACTCCTAGCGGAGTCAGCGGGATGACGATGCGGGCGCGCTCCTCCCAGGCCGCTCCCTGCGCGCGCTAAAGCCCCATGGTCTCCTCCAAGATGGGCCCCGGGTCGCTGTGGGTGGCCCTGCCCGTGCTGTCGCTGCTGTCCTGCTCCGGGCAGGGAAAGCCTCTGCAGAGCTGGGGACGGGCCTCTGGCGCGGGGAACAGCCGCGCCTCGCAGGGGGAGCCCCGAGTGGGGCCGCCGCAGGGCGCGCTGGATCTGCAGGTGTTCCTGGAGAACATGAAGATGGATTTCCTGCGCAGCCTCAACCTGAGCGGGGTGCCCTCCCAGGACAGGACCAGGGCGGAGCCGCCGCAGTACATGATCGACCTGTACAACAGGTACACCTCGGACAAGTCCTCCACCCCCGCCTCCAACATCGTGCGCAGCTTCAGCGTGGAAGGTAGGGAGGGCTTCGCGGGGGGGCGGGGTCTCCAGGGCTGACTGAGCTCGCAGGTCCACGCTTCAGGTGGTCATCGTTCAGGCTGCCGGGAAATGAAATGAAGAAGTGGCCTGTTGGTTTCTCCAGGCTCATTCCAGGGCTCAGCAGTCGCCCCCGCTTGCTGTGCAGAGTCCACTTCCCTGGCCCCTGGGCCAATGGCACACAGTAGGTGCTCAGGGGTGCCAGGTTTCCCTCCTCCCCCCCCCGCCCTTCCTCTGCTCTCCCTCTGGCCCCTGGGTATCCCCTCCTACTCAGAAGCAGAACACTTGTTAGTCTCCAGCTCCCTACCATACCACGGAGTTTCAAAAAGTCCCTTGTGAAAAGTGGACTTAAAAGTGCATTTTGGTGCAAAAAAAATTTTGAAATCCATGTAGCTTTTTCATAGTATGAGTTTTGCTAAGAAAGTTTTGAAGAGACGTCAGTTTTTTAAAAAATATTTTATTTATTTATTTACTTACTTACTTGCTTGAGAGGCAGAGTTAGAGAGAGAGATGTCTTCCATGTGCTGGTTCATTCACTAAATGGCCCCGCAATGGTCAGGAGTGTGTCAGGCTGAAGCCAGGAGCCAGGAGCTTCTTCCAGGTCTCCCACGTGGGTGCAGGGGCCTAAGCACTTGGACCATCTTCCACTGCTTTCCCAGGCCATAGCAGAGAGCTGGATGGGAAGAGGAGCAGCCAGGACTAGAACCGGCGCCCATATGGGATGTCAGCACTACAGGCCAGGGCTTTAACCCACTGCGCCACAGCGCCAGCCCCAAGGCACTGACACTTCTTACTGCTGCAGTCCTGTCTGAAGGGCTGCGGGGGCACAGGCCTCTCCCCTTCCGGATCTCAGCCTTGCAAACATCTAAGGGGCTCGCAGCTCAGCACCCAGGCCAGGCCAGGCCAGACCAGACCTGCCTGGGGAAGAGAGCATGTACAGGAGTCAGGGCTGCTCGCTGCGGTCACGGCTGCCTGCCCAAAGTGCTGGATTTCCCCATTGTCCGAAAGAGAAAAATCCAGATTCCACGTGAACGAGCCTGATTTGTAACACGCTGGCCTCCCTTTTGAGAAAGACAGACTCTGCAGCTCCCCAGGCCCTGGGTCCCGTGTTTGGAGCCCTCCTGGGATCCCAGCATTCCCCTCTGCTTCCCTGCACACAAGATCCCGGAGGGCCCAGGGAGGCAGGCTTTGGTGTGTGGAGGGAGCCTGTATGGGAGGCAGCAGGGCATGTGGGATGCAGAAGTCTTGACTAAGTGTCCACTGGGAGCCAGAGACCATGTCCAGGAGGTTGGAGGCACCGCTTTATCCGAGCCTCACCCTGGCTCTGGGAGGCAGGCAGGATGAGCCCCATTTCACAGATGAGGAAAGTTGAGGCACAGAGGGGCTTGGACTCCCCTTCCCAGCCCCAGTCTGTTGGATACCGACACCTGCCCACAGGGTTCTGGGAGAGCACTCCCTTCGCTGCTGCTGGTGCGTGGTAGGCGCTCAGAAACACCACTTCTCTCCCCTCACTGTTAGTGAGCTGTGTTGTAGTAGACACAGGCTGATGGCTGAGGGTCAGCTCCCTGGAAGCAGGGATTGGTTTTTTAAAGGCAGAGCTACAGAGAGAGAAAGAGAGAGAGAGAGTCCACCAGCTGGTCCATTCCTCCAAATGGCTGCAATGGCCAGGGCTGGGCCATGCCAAAGCCAGGAGCCAGGAGCTCCATCTCGGTCTTCCACATAGGTGCAGGGACCCAAGCACTTGGGCCCTCTTCTGCTGCTTTCCCAGGCACATTGGCAGGGAGCTGGATTGGACGAGGAGCAGTCCAGCTTGAACCAGCACCCATATGGGATGCCGGCATCACAAGCAGAGGCTTAATCCTATATGCCCCAACAGCAGTCCCAGGAAGAGGAAAATGGAAGTGATTACTTATCTAAAAAACAGGCCCCGTTTTGCCTGATGTGACAAAGCCATGAGGCTAATAGATCTTTTCCCCACGAATACTGGAAAAAAAAAATCTGTTTTCACTGTGCTTTGGATTTACTACTCCAAAGGATTTATACACAGTGTAGACGCTGAGGTTTGTAACGCTGACTTTCACGTCCCCCTCCGAGGCTCTTTGCTGTAAATCCATGCCAGAGCATCTTCCCCTAAGCCTGACAATGAATGCCTTTAGTCCTTGTCCCCGTGTGAGGGTCCTCACCAGTTCAGTGCCTTTTGACAATGAGATGCCTTAAGTCCCAGTCATCAGGTTCTCCTGGTGTGAGTGAGGCTTAAAGGGAAAGCCCTGCCCGAAGCAGCTAGCCTGGTGCTTCCCAAGACCCTAAACGTGCTCTCCCAAACACGCTTCCTCCCTGAGGGCTCGGGTGAAATCATACCAGCCGATAGAGCCAAAAGGCATCGTTCTGCACCGGGCTCAGCTCCGCCCACCTCCGTGTGTTTGCATTTCAGACGCAGTCTCTGTGGCCCCCATGGACGACTTCTCTTTCCAGAAGCACATTCTGCTATTCAATATCTCCATCCCCAGGCACGAGCAGATCACCCGGGCCGAGCTCCGGCTCTACGTCTCCTGTCAAAATCACGCAGACGCCGCTCACGGGCCGGAAGGGAACCTGGTCATTTATGACGTCCTGGACGCCTGGGACGGCGCCTCGGGGACCAAGAGCTTCCTGGTGTCCCAGGACATCCGGGACGAGGGCTGGGAGACCCTGGAAGTGTCCGGCGCCGTGAAGCGCTGGGTCAGGGCAGACGCCACCAAGAGCCAGAACAAGTTGGAGGTGACCGTGGAGAGCCACAGGAAGAGCTGTGACAAGCTGGACATCAGCGTCCCCCCGGGCTCCAAGAACCTACCCTTCTTCGTCGTCTTCTCCAACGATCGCAGCAACGGGACCAAGGAGACGCGGCTGGAGCTGAGAGAGATGATCAGCCACGAGCAGGACAGCGTGCTCAGCAAGCTGGCCAAGAACCGCGGCGGTCAGGAGGCCGCGGCCGAGTGGGAGGCGGCAGATGGGCGCGCGGCCGTGGGGTCCTCTTTGGCCCGGCGGAAGCGGAGCGTGGGGGCCGGCAGCCACTGCCAGAAGACCTCCCTGCGGGTGAACTTCGAGGACATCGGCTGGGACAGCTGGATCATCGCGCCCAAGGAGTACGACGCCTTCGAGTGCCAAGGGGGCTGTTTCTTCCCCCTGGCCGACGACGTGACGCCCACCAAACACGCCATCGTGCAGACCCTGGTGCATCTCAAGTTCCCCACCAAGGTGGGCAAGGCCTGCTGTGTGCCCACCAAACTGAGCCCCATCTCCATCCTCTACAAGGACGACATGGGGGTGCCCACCCTCAAGTACCACTACGAGGGGATGAGCGTGGCTGAGTGTGGCTGCAGGTAGTACCTGCCGGTGGGGCTGGGGGAGCTGCGCGGTGGGGGGCGGGGCTCTGGGGGTGGGGACTTGGGGTGGGGCTCCAGGGGCTGAGCTCCAGGGGAAGGCGGGCCCTGAGCCCACCTGCCCACAGTGGGAGGAGGAAAGTGCGCCTGCGTCCCCTCTAACGCCCCGCCCAAAGTGCACGCCTGCCCCCCCCCCCCCCCCCCCGCTGCAGATGATGCGGGGTGGGGGTGGGAGGCGGAGCATGAATGCCCAGCAGGTTGTTGGATTGGGAGCAGAGAGGCCGAGAGAAAAAGGAAAATCTAGAGTGAGCAGAAATGGGCGAGAGGCGATGGCGGGAAGGGGCGGGGAGGGTGCCAGGGTTTATGGGAATTACAGGGGCGGGGGAGCACAGGGCGTGTTCCCCACAGCAGGGGAATTGAACAGGCCCCACACCCATCGTGTCATGTCACCTCCCACAACCTGCCATGGCGGACATGATGACCCCAAATCCACAGACGCAGAAACCCAACCCCGGGCAGGATTCTCACGCGGGCCCTGGGGTGCTTGGCAGGTCACTCTGTAGCCAACAAGCAGTTAGATCCTGGGAGACAGGAGCGTGGAGGCCAGGCTGGGCTGTGTGCTGTTGGATACACAGCAGTGTAACCAAGCCGCCTTTTACCGTGGGAGTCCAGGCTGTCCTGTGGCCACATGCTTGTTAATATCACCCCTGAGTCACTGACAAACTGCCCCAGCAGCAGCTGCAGGAGAGGAGAGAGAGCGAGCAAGTGGACTGGACAGCAGCCTTGTCCTGGGTACCCTGGCTAAGCTTCTCTGCCCGCTAGTGCTGCGCCCCTATGGTCAGCCGTCCCCCCTATGGCCACAAGCTGTCCGCTGGGCTCACGCTCTGTGACATTCTGTGAGGGGTGGGCACATTTGGTATGGCCAGCAGCTCTGCAGTTCTGCGGGCAGCACCACCTGCGCTGGTGGCTCCCGGGGCACTGGGGCATGGACTCAGGCCTGAGATCTGAGAGTGTTGGAATTAAAAGTGCTCTGCTTTGGCATCGGAAGCGTCCCTCTGTTGCCTCTTTGTACTTCCGTGATTGATGTCCAGCCCACCTAGGGGGAGGGCTCCTGGTACCCGAGAACCCCAGTCCTGTCTCCAGCCACCGGCTCTGCCCACACTTGCCTGCTTTCCTGGGGACCATGTGTCTGTCTGGCTATCAGGCTCTGGAGGTAGGGGGAGGGGGAGGGGGACAGAGGCTGCACCACCCCCATCTGACTCGCCTCCGCCTCCCCTGTCTGATTCAGCTGGAGGAGCCTGGAAATGCCGGGCAGGGCCCAGGGAGGGCCACTCCCACTGGTGGACGCTCCTGTGTGTTTCATAAAGTGGTGTGTGAAGTGTTTACATGAAAGCCACCACCACCTGTAACACTAGGACACAATGAACTCTCACTGTTTAGTTCCTGGGGTTGTGGAAGATGGGAAATCCCGGGCCAGGCAGGCGGTGGGTGGGGGTGGCTGCACTGCTCCCAGAAGGTGACTGAAGCCCCCTCCCAGTCCTGGCACTGTGTTGCTGCACCTGCATGACCGTATCGCTCAAAAATAAAGTCAAATGTCTGAGTTGCGTCTCTCCTGAGCAGGTGGCTCCCCGTGCATCTGCTCGCCCACCCTGCCTTGTCACTGTCTGCAGGGGGCTGAAGGGGAGGGCCAGAGTAGGCGGAGTCTGTGTAGGCGTGTCCACGCATGGCTGGTGCCTGCACATGCAGGTGTGTGTGCAGGTGTGGGTGTGTCAGTGGATGACAGCTGTCTGCTTCCCTGTCCCCCCCACTTTGGGGCAGGGGGGCCTCGGGTCATCCCCACCCAATGTCCAAGGACCCATCCCACTCTGCCAGCATCTTTCCCATGATGCCCAGCTCCATCCCACACCTCTGGCCAGGCCACGCCCCATTCTGCACCCTAGGCTTGCCCACTCCCAGTCTCAGCACAAGTCCCACCTTCCCTGCTGGAGGGCCCAGAGCCAGTGCCATCCCCCAACCCCTCTGCATACCCCCTGAGTCTGACGAGGCCTCTGGGGCTTTGGCTCAGTTGTCACAGGCCTGGTATGGGCAGGTGCCGTTGAGTCCTCTGGGGACAAAGCTGTGAGCCCTTCGCCTTGGTCACGACCAGAAGATGGGCATGGACTGTGGCTCAGTACAAAGTGATGTGAACCCAGGCAGGGGCCAATTGCAAGGCATTTAGGAAGGGAACCAGCAGATGGGAGTGTGTGCTCTCTTAAATTTCTTTTTATGTAAAAAAGCCAGCAGGTACAGCACAGGAACAGTTAGACGAAGTGCATTCTGGGATACGCTTCGAGGTAGTTCATAAAAGGACCAGAAACACACACAGCAAACAGCAGGAAGGCAGGAATGTTATAGTGGCATTTTGCTTTACAATGGTCTCTTTCTTTCATAAAAAAAATACACAGGAGCAAGAATGGAAGGCGAATAAACCAGTGCTGCGAGTTTTTGTTTCTGAGCGAATTATTTTTGGGTAACTTTCAGCATCTTCCAAATTAAAAAAAAAAAAAAAAGTTAAAGACAGAACCCTGGTATGGCCAAGGTCGCTTTTGTTTGTGGTCGCCCTGCTCATGAGCCTTGGACTCTGCAGGTTTGATTGTGCCTCTCTCTCTCTGAGGCCCCTCAACCCTGGGACCTCTGGTGTTGCATGGTGTATTCCCCTCCCCCCAGGGGGGTTGTCCAGGCTCCGAGAACTTGGCCTTGAAAAGCCCCTCATTTCCCTCCTACACCTATCAGTCAGGAATGCTGTCAAAAGCTACACCCTTTAGAACACGCCACTCAGCTGCTCCACTTGCTTTTCTCACACTGCATGGTTCTGAAGCTGGGCAGCTGCTAGCTCCGGCCAAGAGTCAGACAACATGAGAGTCAGCATCCCAGTGCTGCCCTGACGTTTCCCGCAGGCTTTTCTCCTCACAGCTACAAGATGACTGCCTGTCACCAAGCATCACATCCATATTCCCAACAGGAAGAACAAGAAGGACACACACCCACGGAGTGTGCTCACCCAGAGGCCCCAGGGACACAGGCTCAGAGAGGTCCTTGCACAAAGAGCCACTACATCAAAGTTCTCTGGTGCTGGGACTGCCCCTCTCTGCGGGTCAACTTGGGAAAATGTTAGGGTCACTCCATCCTCTGCTTCATTTGCTGCTGCTTCCTCTTAATTTTCTCTCCCGAGCTCTCCCTGTGCCTTAGACCCGTCCACCTGCCCTGGGTTGTAATTGTGCACGTGCACGTTCACAGCACGGCAAGAGCGTGACAAGGACGCGTGAAGACTTCTCTCGCCCAGGGCGTGCGTGTCCGCGACGCTGGAGGCGCACCGTCTGCGCAAGGATCCCACGAGTGCTCGTATTCCCTTTGGCGAAGCCGGTTGCTCATGGAAACTGCAGAAGCACCCCGCGGCTGCCGGTGGCCACAACCCTTGTGCCTGCGCGCAAGCCGTTTCTCTCCATCTTAACTTCGCGTGTCTGACTCTGACGGCTTCTGCTTTCCCTTCTCTTTTCATTTGCAATACACGTAATTTGTTGGGACAGACTTAATAAAAAAAAAAAAAGGCACAGGATTTGAAGTCTGTGAAGGGCATCGTCAAGGAGACAGCGGCAGCCGCCAGGTCGGAGTGGGGACAGAGAGACGGATGGGGGAGGGGGTGTTGGACCGGGACCTGGGGGAGCCCTGGATGCTACCCAGCTGCCTCTCGGGCCTGAGCAGCCCCTGTGGCCGACAGATTAGAGGCTGGCAAAAAAAAAAAAAAAAAAAAAAGTCCAGCGATAGATGTGTACAACCGATGATGGCAAGACAGCCCGATGCTGAAGCTGAGGATGGGCTGTGCATAGACAGGAGACACACAAATGATCAACACGCATGTGAAAAGATGTCCAGTGTCATTCACCTTCTGGGACATGCCACTCAAAGCCTCCATGTGGCTCTGCTTTGCACCCGCCCGAGCGGCCACGATCAGAGACTCAGGCCAGAGCCGAGGTGCGGTGCGGGTGTGCAGCCGCCAAACCCTGTTCCCTGCTGGTGGTGAGATTGCGCATCTGTGAATACATTAAAGACCACTGCAGTGCACACTTAAATGAATGAATTTTATCTCAGTTAAGCCAGCTTAAAAAAAAAGATTAAGGGGGGGGAGGCAGTGTTGTGACGGAAGCAGCTTAAGCTATTGTTTGTAATACCAGCATCCCATATCGGGGCCCTAGTTTGAGTCTCAGCTTCTCCGTTTCTGATCCAGCTCCCTGCTAACGTGTCTGGGAGAGCAGCACAGGATGGCCCCATGCCCAGGACCCCAGGCCTGGCAGAGCAAGCCCCATGGGCTATACGGGACACCACGGCCCTGTTTGCACCTGCTGTCTACACACGGGGCTCCTGATGAGCTGGGCAAAGAGGACCCTGTGGGGTGAAGGATGACGCTTAGGATGCCGGGGACGGCCGTGCTTGGACACGGGAGCTCCTGGGCCAGCGCCTTGCCTCCCAGGATCAGCTGCACATGGGGTAACTAGGGCAAGAGAGAGAGAGAAGGCAGCTTCACACTTGCTGCCCCTGTCCGGACTCTGCCCCCTCTGCTGCCTCTCCCAAAGCCTTATGGGGAGCCTACTTCCTGGTGAGCAGTCTCTGGCTCACTCCTTGAACTTGAACCAGTCCTAAGCTCCAGGCCCTTGGGAGTCTGCCTATTGCCTGCTCCCAGGCCTCCTAGCCGCCCTGTGCCTCCTACGTGACGCCCTGGATTCCTGGGGCTTGGGGGAGGCTGTTCTTCCTGGGTTCACCCTTGCTTGTGTCCCTGGCTCTGGGTCACCCTGCAGGTATCAGACATGGGACACTGCTGAAGCAGTAGGGGGTCCTCACTGCCTGCCACCACTCTGAGCCTGGGGCTAAGACACAGGGACAGACTAGGCATCCCCGGAAGACCCCTGCACCACACACTCAGAGCTGTGGGTCCCTAGGTGGAGGCAGAGGGAAAGGCCTGATCTCTTCAATGGGGGCGAAAAAATGCAACAGATGCAGGCACTAAGAGGCGTCTGGGGCCTCCTGACCCCACCCCCATCCCCCTGCTTTGCTCTTGCTTTCCGGCTCGCAACCATGGGATACAAGTGGCGGAGTGGTGTGGCCATATGTCCCTTGGGCATTAAACAAATCCTAATGAGCTGCGACTGCGTTTGCTTTAGCTAATTGACCTCATTGGCCTTCATAAACCACCTGGCAAACATCCCAGCTAATGATTGCCAGAGGACGGACTGTGGCCCACCAGTGTGCAGAGAGAGAGTCCCCCCACCCCCCACCTCCACCCTCTCAGGACCCAAGACCACATCCTCCAGCTGCCTGCTGGGAGCTCTTGGGATCTGGCCTGCTGCTCACCCAGCCCCTAAGCAGTGTGTGCTGGGTCAACTCAGGGGAGTGAAGATGGGCAGTGCTGGGGGGCGGCTCTCCCACCCCCCCCCCCTGGACTGTGCACCTGGGTCCACACCAGGGGGCGGCACAGATGGGCTCTAGGCTCTGGATCCAGGGAATATCCTTGGATATTTGTGCCAAGTCAGTGGCAAGCAGGACCCAGGTCACTTCCATGAGAAGGAACAGGAGTCAGGAGCCCGAGAGTCCAGCTTCATCCGTGCCCCTGGGACTGGCTCACAGGGGAGCTCCCTGCAGGTGGGGGCAGGGGTGAGCAGTGGTCGTCTGGATTCTGTGGGGGGCCTGGGGCTGCAGACGCCCGAGTCCTGCTACAAGGAGGCTCTCCTTGCAAGGGCCAGGCTGTGGGCCAAGCCCTCCATTAGCAGGGGTCTCCTTTGGCCAAGAGGACAGTGCTCACCAGATCTCCAAGCTGACCGCAGGGTGGAGTGGTGGGAATTGTGGTCTCACGGGGTCTCCCACTCGCCCCACATGTGGTAAGGTCCAGACATCCCATTCCTTCCTTCACTGGAGAGCTGTGAAGGGGCCACGCAGTCCCCAGGAGGGCCATGGGATCCCCACGCACAGGGAGTAGGAAGGAGGGTCAAGTCGCAGACTGATGGCAGCCCCAGACTCAAGCCCTGGGCTCTCAGGTGAGCACGGACCACCAGCCTATCCCTGGCTTCATCTCCCCACCCCCACCTGCTGCCACCTAACATGGCGGGCATCAGTCACGGCCCCGACTCTCTGACCCGTTCCTTTAGCCATGAAGCGGAGACAGGTACCTGAACTCTTCCTGCTTGATGGGAATAGCAAGACACCCTACACACATTTTCCCATTTAATGTACACGGCTAGGAGGGTGCATTCCTAAGGTCCCAGAATAGGCGGTGGCAGAATGAAGTCCACTTCAGTCCAGGAGCAATGGCTCGCCCAGCACAGGGAGGAAATGACATCAGCTTGCAGGTTAAGCTAAGTCTCCTTTGCCAAGCTCTGGGGAAAACACTCAGCTTGCAAAATATAAAGCAGAACAGGGCCTGGTGCATGGCAGGGGGAGGAACACAACAAAGAAGTCACAGTAGGTGGAGGGTGGCAGGGCAAGATGGGTCGCAAGTACCTTCCGGCCCCTTCACCCCAATAACCCCCCTATCTGCCTCCCCCAACCCCCCGCTGATGCACTTGAACTTGAATTAGACAGGATTAAAGGCTTATCAGCACTGGAAACCTTGCCCCGACTCCCGAGCTGAGCCCCAGACCTTCTGTCTGGCGCCTGAGAAGGACGAGGGTGGAAGGCAGCCGTGCAGAGCGGGGCTGGGGCCTCGCACACCACAGCGGGAGCCTCTGTGTGGAAGCCAGGCCGCCGCCGGCATCTCCACGATGACACGATGGAGCCTGCTCTTGTGCACGCTGCTCTGCGGCCTGGCTGGCCCCTCGCACCTCTTCCAGCCCAGCCTGGTGCTGGACATGGCCAAGGTCCTCTTGGATAACTACTGCTTCCCGGAGAACCTGATGGGGATGCAGGCGGCCATTGAGCAGGCCATGAAGAGTCAGGAGATCCTGAGCATCTCAGACCCCGAGACGCTGGCCCAGGTGCTCACGGTTGGGGTGCAGAGCTCCTTGAACGACCCGCGCCTGGTCATCTCCTACGAGCCCAGCACCCTGGAGGTGCCCCGGCAGGCCCCAGCACCCAGCAACCTTACCCAGGAGGAGCTGCTGGCTTGGCTGCAGAAGAGTATCCAACATGAGATCCTGGAACACAATGTGGGCTACCTGCGGGTGGATGACCTCCCGGGCCAGGAGGTGCTGAGCAAGCTGGGCGGGTTCCTGGTGGCCCATGTCTGGGGGCAACTCATGGGCACCTCCGCCCTGGTGCTGGATCTGCGGCACTGCACGGGGGGCCACGTCTCTGGCATCCCCTACGTCATCTCCTACCTGCACCCGGGGAACACTGTCGTGCACGTGGACACCATCTATGACCGTCCTTCCAACACAACCACGGAGCTCTGGACCCTGCCCCAGGTGCTGGGGGAGAGGTACAGCGCTGACAAGGATGTGGTGGTCCTCACCAGCGGCCGCACGGGGGGTGTGGCTGAGGACATCGCCTACATCCTCAAGCAGATGCGCAGGGCCATCCTGGTGGGTGAGCAGACCGTTGGGGGCGCCCTGGACCTGCAGAAGCTAAGGATAGGCCAGTCTGACTTCTTCCTCACCGTCCCCGTGTCCAGATCCCTGGGGCCCCTGGGCGGGGGCAGCCAGACGTGGGAGGGCAGCGGCGTGCTGCCCTGCGTGAGGACACCAGCCGAGCAAGCCCTGGAGAAGGCGCTGGCCATCCTCACCCTGCGCCGCGCCCTGCCGGGGCTGGTCCGCCGCCTACAGGAAGCCCTGCAGGAATACTACACGCTGGTGGACCGTGTGCCCGCCCTGCTGCATCACCTGGCCACCATGGACTTCTCCACGGTGGTTTCTGAAGAAGACCTGGTCTCCAAGCTCAATGCCGGGCTGCAGTCCGTGTCTGAGGACCCCAGGCTCCTGGTGCGTGCCATGGGGCCCAGAGAAACTGCTTCTGGGCTCGAGGCGGCAGTTGAGGACCCTCCAGAGGCAGCCCCCACGATACCTCAGGACGAGGCTGCCTGGCAGGTGCTGGTGGACTCCGTGTTCCAGGTGGCGGTGCTGCCGGGCAACGTGGGTTACCTGCGCTTTGACAGGTTTGCTGAGGCCTCTGTACTGGAGGCCCTGGGCCCGCAGGTGCTGCGGCAGGTGTGGGAGCCCCTGCAGGACACGGAGCACCTCATCATGGACCTGCGCTACAACCCCGGGGGGCCCTCCTCCGGCTTGCCCCTGTTGCTCTCCTACTTCCAGGGCCCCGAGGACAGCCCCGTGCGCCTCTTCACCACCTACGACCGCCGCACCAACATCACGCAGGAGCACCTGAGCCACACGACGCTGCTGGGCCCCCGCTACGGCAACCAGCGCGGGGTGTACCTGCTCACCAGCCACCGCACCGCCACTGCCGCCGAGGAGTTCGCCTTCCTCATGCAGTCCCTGGGCTGGGCCACGCTGGTGGGCGAGATCACGGCCGGCAGCCTGCTGCACACCTGCACGGTGCCGCTGCTCGGAACCCCGGAGGGCGGCCTGGTGCTCACCGTGCCCGTGCTCACCTTCATCGACAACCACGGCGAGGGCTGGCTGGGCGGCGGCGTGGTGCCCGACGCCATCGTGCTGGCCGAGGAGGCCCTGGACAGGGCCCAGGAGGTGCTGGAGTTCCACCGCAGTCTGGGTGCCCTGGTGGAGGGCACGGGGCACCTGCTGGAGGCCCACTACGCACGGCCCGAGGTGGTAGGGCAGGCCAGCGCGCTGCTGCGGGCCAAGCTGGCCCAGGGGGCCTACCGCACGGCCGTGGACCTGGAGTCGCTGGCCTCGCAGCTCACGGCCGACCTGCAGGAGGTGTCCGGGGACCACCGCCTGCTGGTGTTCCACAGCCCGGGTGAGCTGGTGGCCGAGGAGGTGCCCCCACCGCCCCCTGCTGTCCCCTCCCTGGAGGAGCTCTCCTACCTCATCGAGGCCTTGTTCAAGACAGACGTGCTGCCCGGCCGGCTGGGCTACCTGCGCTTTGACGCCATGGCCGAGCTGGAGACGGTGAAGGCCATCGGGCCGCAGCTGGTGCAGCTGGTGTGGCAGGGGCTGGTGGACACGGCTGCGCTGGTGGTGGACCTGCGCTACAACCCGGGCAGCTACTCTTCGGCGGTGCCACTGCTCTGCTCCTACTTCTTCGCTGCCGAGCCCCGCCAGCACCTCTACTCCATCTTCGACCGGGCCTCCTCCCGGCTCACGGAGGTGTGGACTCTGCCCCAGGTGGCCGGCCAGCGCTATAGCCCCCACAAGGACCTCTACATCCTGACGAGCCACACCAGCGGCTCGGCGGCCGAGGCCTTTGCTCATACCATGCAGGACCTGCAGCGGGCCACAGTCATCGGGGAGCCCACGGCTGGAGGGGCACTTGCTGTGGGCATCTACCAGGTGGGCAGCAGCTCCTTATATGCCTCCATGCCCACCCAGACGGCCCTGAGCGCCACCACCGGCGAGGCCTGGGACATGGCAGGCGTGGAGCCTGACGTCACGGTACCCATGAGCGAGGCCCTCTCCACGGCCCAGGACATCGTGGCCCTGCGTGCCAAGGTGCCCACGGTGCTGCAGACGGCCGGGAAGCTGGTGGCTGATAACTACGCCTCCCCAGAGCTGGGGGCCCAAGTGGCCGCCAAGCTGAGCGGCCTGCAGAGCCGCTACTCGAGGGTGACCTCAGAAGTGGCCCTGGCCGAGATGCTGGGGGCCGACCTGCAGCTGCTGTCGGGGGACCCACACCTGAAGACGGCCCACATCCCCGAGGATGCCAAGGATCGCATTCCGGGAATCGTGCCCATGCAGGTGAGAGCCAAAGGAGACCTGGCCAGGCCCAGAAGTGGGTTGACAAGTTGTCTGCATGTGCAGGGTGTCCAGGATTGTTCCCATGTTAAGTTTTTCTCTGCTGCTTCTTCCCCCTCCCCATCTTATCTTCCCATGTGCTCTCTGCACCTGTGGGGCCCCTGAACACCCCTGTAGAACATTCGGACTTACAAGAGTCCAGTGTGAGACCCCACCTGCACCCCGGGGTGGAAGGAGGAGTTTCCATGTTGGCAGGTGCATGGCAGGTGTTGGGGGAAGAGTCCAGTATGAGGGCCCCGAGCTGTGCTTTCCTCCTTTGGGAGTGAAAGGCTTGTGTTCTGCAGAGTTCTCTGGGGCTGCTGGGACAATAAAGCAAGGCTAAGCATGACTGTGGACTGCGGGAATTTGGAGCCCAGCTACATGGCTACGTGACTTAATCCCTCTGGGCTCCAGTTTGCTCACGCAAAAGATGAGGCCCATGGGGTCTCCCACACTGCCAGCAAAGAGCTCAGACCGGGCCCAGCCCCCTGGTGAAGGTGGCTCCGGTCCGCCTGCCTGCCCCGGTAAAATGGACAGGAAGCTGAGCTCAGGGATACTGAGACGTGTCAGTCAGGCAGGTGGGGGGTGGGGAGGGGGAGGAGCCAGGAAGGGGGCTCCTCCTGGGCCTCCTTTCACCCTGGACAGCAGGACACGGAGTGGGCAGGCATGGGCATCTTCTGCAGAGATGCCAGTATGGGTTAGCTGTGCATGGGCCCACATCTCCCACACCCCCGGCACATCCCTGCCACCCTTGGAAATGCAATAGTGGGAGCCCATCCCCCTGCCCTTAGCACTTCTCTCTACCCTGGGGACGTCCCTGAGGACCCCTTTCCCACCTCTGCCATCTGCCACCCTGCCGACGCCGCTGAGCAGAGCCTGCCGCTCTTCCAGATCCCCTCACCGGAAGTCTTCGAGGACCTGATCAAGTTCTCCTTCCACACCAACGTGCTGGAGGACAACATCGGCTACCTGCGCTTTGACATGTTCGGGGACTGCGAGCTGCTCACCCAGGTCTCCGAGCTGCTGATAGAGCACATCTGGCAAAAGATCGTGCACACTGACGCCATGATCATGGACATGAGGTCAGTGAGCCCAGCCGGGTCGCAGCCAGGGACGTGGCAGAGGAGCCGGGAGGGACCCGGCCGCCTGCGTAGGGCGCCTGCTGGCCCAGGTGTGCTGATTTAGTTGGCCAGCAAGGTCCCAGCACTGGCAGGCTTTGTAAGTTCCTCTGAGGATGTCAATGTGCACCCCAAGTGGGCAGTGACCCTAAATCTGCTGGGTCCCAGGATTCAGTGGAGAGGAGGCAGGGGCAAAGGGAACATGAAAAATGCTGAGTCCTGGGCCCCAGCGCAGCCTGAGCCAGTAAATGGCTCCAGGGAGAAGACCTGGTAATCTGTATATTTTTAAAATTTTATTTATGTATTTGAGGGGGGAGAGAGAGAGAGAGAGAGAGCGAGCGAGCAAGGAGCGTCCAGTCCAGCCCAGTATGTGGTTCTTAGGCGATCACCGGTCCTCCTCCACAGCCCCCACTTTGTGGGTGCCTGGAACTTGAGCTTGAGGCCCCTGTGCCCCCACCCCCATCATTTTCTTCCTCAAGCACCCCCTTGGATGTTAGAACCACCCTCCCACTAAGTCTCCTGATCCACTCAGCCATCCACGCTTATTCTTTCTGTTGGAGAGGCAGAGAGACAGACAGAGAGAGAGAGCTCCCGGCTGCTGGTTCACTTGCCAGCAGTCAGGATTGGGCCGAGGCCAAAGCCAGGACCTGGGGACTCAACCCAGGTCTCCCACGTGGGTGGCAGGTGTGGGGAGCAGCTCGGACTAGACTGTTACTGGAATTAAGACTTATTCTATGCAGCTGCTCTCCCACAATATGGCGCTGGGAGAGAAGAAAACAGCTTCTACACAGCTGCCTCCAGTTCAACCAATAAACTGTAGGACTTGCTCCTGATTGGAGGAGAGCAGCGTACTCGGCGTGTGGGCAGCCGAGTTGGGATTGGCAGAGGAGGACTATAAAGGAGGAGAGAGACGGCATGCACCAGGAACATCTAGGGGGAACATCTAAGGGGAACACCTGTGCAGCCCCCGAGAGAGTCGGCCGGCGGAGTGCCGCTCCCCTGCGGAAGTGGGGAATGTGGCCAGGGGGAACTGCCCTCCCACGGAGGTGGAAGGGATAGTAGCCAACCCGGGAAGAACCAGCAGCAAACCCGGGGAGGGCCGAGCAGACAGAAAGAACAGCGCAGGGTCCTGTGTCGTTCCTCCACGAAGAGGGGGAACGACATAATGGTGCCGTGACTCGGATATGAAGCCTAGGCAGGGCTTAGTGTCGTTCCTCCACGAAGAGGGGGAGCGACAGGCAGGAACTCAACCACTTGAGCCATCACTGCTGCCTCCCAGGGTCTGCCTGGGCCAGAAGCTGGGGCCAGGAGCTGGAGGCGGGTGTCAAAGACAGACACTCCAACCGGGGACAGGCATCCTCCCTGTGTCTTAACTGCTAGGCCAAATGCTCGCCCTGTCTACTTTTTTTTTAATGTTATAAAGAAACGTTTGTTTTTTTTTTTTTTTCATGGTTCTGGAGGTTCACAATCCAAGGTCAGGCAGAATTTTGCTGATTGCGTTCTTGCTGGTAGGGCATCTCCTGGTGACAGACCGGGAGTGAGTCTCTCTGTATCAATCAGTCAAGCAAGCAGGCATCTCTCTGCCTAGCCATCCACCCATCCATCTGCCATCGATCACAATCCTTATAAAGCCACCTGGATTCAACCAGGGGGGCTCTGTTAATAACTGATCCAGTACAGTCACTCCCCAGAGACCCTACACTTCATGCCTTAACTGGATTAAGTCTTCTACCCTCTTATTACCACTAACACAAGACTTGGGGGACCCACTGAATGCGTTTGGGGGCTAAGTACTATTCCAGCTAGGGGAGACTCTCCGAGCCTGTGGAAGAAAGGCAGCCCTGCTCACACACACATTGTCCACACCCAATGTGTGCTGCAGGTGCACTTGGCTTAAAGACCCCTCCAGCCAGGCCGCCCCAGGCCATCAACAGCAAGTGGCTCCCAATGCACCACCAGCTTTGAGTGGGGAGGCAGGGGACCCTTGAGGCCACACAGTGGGGCTGATCCAAGCCCTGAGACCACCGACACGCCTCAGTGCCACGCGGGGGCACGTGAGCCTTGATGCCTGGCAGATTTTATGAGAATATCACAGGGCTTCCCAAATCACGGGCAGTGTGGCTGCAGGGAAGCTGTCCATGGTCAAAACTGCGGGACACTTATCCCCAAGTTCCCAACTGCAGGGCTTGTCAGAGCCTTTACAGCCGTGACATGTGACCACAGAGGGCAGCTATGGGATTCAGGGCTTTCGGCGCGTGCTTGCCTACAAGATCTCTTATTCTCAAGAGATTAATGCTCTGAGTGACACGGACACACAGAATTCTGAAGGGTGAGACAGGGCCACTAGCTGAGGCTTCCTGGGACAAAGACCCCAGCCTCCCTGAGGGGAGCACCCAGGGCCCACCCGTGAGCCCAGCCCAGCTATAGGCTTGCTGCCTGGCCCCCAGGTTCAACATCGGTGGCCCCACCTCCTCCATCTCCGCCGTGTGCTCCTACTTCTTTGATGAGGGCCCACCAATTCTACTGGACAAGATCTACAGCCGGCCCAATGACTCCATCAGCGAACTTTGGACCCACACCAGGCTCGCAGGTACGTGGAGCAGACTGCCCCTCCCTGTCCTTGTTCTAGAAGTTTTTAGATGATCATGGAAAGACAACTGGGGTTGCAGTCACAGTAGCTGTACTACAAAGCTCCTGGCACAGCCCATGCACTTATTTGGTGCAGGGGCTCATGAATCATTGCAAAACCCATTTCCTAGAAGAGGAAAGTGGGCATAGACGAGGTTGGGTACCTTGTTCACGGTCACTCAGCTGAAACATGGCTGGGGGTCACCACAACAGCCTGCCGTCCCAAAGCAGAACGAGGAGACTGCTGTCTGTCACTGAACCCAGGGCTCACCACACCCTCCTCTCACCGGCATCCCCTGCACTTGCCTGGACAAAGTAGAAGGTGCGGATGACCTGCCATGTGGCAGCTGAAGGAACAGAGTCAGACCTGAGCCCCCCTCACCCCCTGGGTCTCCCTCCATCTCCCTTCGTCCAGCACGCAAAACCCAGGCACCTGTGTGCCCACCGGCAGGAGGGGACCTGCAGAGACCCCGACATTGCTGCCTTATTCCAACAAGTATGTTCGAAGATAGTGCAAAGCATAAGTAAAAGAGCCAGGAAGAAGCTAGACTCCAATTCACATTCAAGACCAGGATGTTGAAAACAGGAGTGGCTTCTCTGAGGTGTCCAGGGTGAAAGGAGAGCACTGGGTATTCTAAGGACAGGCAAGCCGTTCCCATGGTTGGTGGGATACGAACGCACCTGCAGTGGTCCTCAGGCTTCCAAAGGCTTGTGGGCACCCAGCACATCCCCATTTTTCAAATGCTACAACTGAGGCTAGGAGAGGGTCTGCAGCTTGCACGTGTGCACAAGGATGCAGAACTCATGCGCCCAGGAGCCCTGACCTGACTCGGGGTCCCCGGGCTGGGGGTGGGGGCCTTCTGTCTTCCAGGTGAACGCTACGGCTCCAAGAAACCTGTGGCTATTCTGACCAGCAGCCTGACGGCCGGTGCCGCAGAGGAGTTCACCTACATCATGAAGAGGCTTGGCAGGGCCCTGGTGGTCGGGGAGGTGACCAGCGGGGGCTGCCAGCCGCCACAGACCTACCATGTGGACGACACCCACCTCTACATCACCATCCCCACGGCGCGCTCCGTGGGGGCGGCAGACGGCAGCTCCTGGGAAGGGGTGGGCGTGACGCCCCACGTGGCTGTCCCTGCAGACACGGCTCTCACAAGAGCCAAGGAGATGCTTCAGCACAGCCTGCTGAGGGTGAGGCGCAGCCCCGGCCTGTAGAGCCGTCAGGAGGGCTTCCGAGTGCACAGCCCACCCCCCCAGGGCGGGCAGCCCCTTTGGGCCATGGTCCTGCCTGGGCCCCAGGGGCCTGCCAAGCGGTGGAGGCCTCTTGGGCTCATCTACGCGACCCCCTGACCACTGCACACATCCTCCCTAGAGACAGGGGGCTGGGTCCCCCCAAGAGTAATTGCGCCACTGTAGTGAAGTGGAGGAGGTGACCTCCAGATGTCCGCCCCCTGGCGGTCACACCATCATCCTACATCTCCATCCCGTAGACTTACGCCCTGAAGAGGCAATGCACACGGGCGTCACTAGAGGGAGTTAGGTCTTTAACAAGGCAAAAGAAAAAGAGACAGGTGGAATTCATTTTCCAGTATTTCTAATAGTGTAGCGGCTCTTTGGCTTGCAGTTGTGTTAGGTGCTGGTAAACCCACTGCACAGTGGGACTGCACTACCTCGAGCCTCATCAAGTAGCCTGAGCAACCGATCGCAGAGCTGAGAAGTCAAACCATTGTAAGGAGAGGCTCTTCCCTGCCACTCACCTCCCCCACCGTGTCCATAGTCCTGAGCACGCAGGCCACACACAATTGTGATAATTGCATCTGCCTGTGGACAAAGGCTTTGCCGCACGTGGGTTCTTTGTGTTCACATCCCAGCTCCATGTTCCAGGTGCTCAGTGGGCACCTGTAGGATCAGGCGCAGCTGAGAGAGCGGGGCCCACTCTCCTGACACTCTGTCCCAGGTAGAGCGTGTCTCCCGTGAGCTTCCCACCACTGCCCCCCACCCTGCTCTGCAACCCTCAGGGGCAGGCACTGCCACACTCCAGCTCTGCCTGACACTGGCAGGGTGGCTGGTGCAGGTGTCAGGTATACAGTGAATGCGTGAGAATGTGGGCATGCCCAGGAAGCAGGGCCCCCACGTGCAGCTCTCACACGCTTGGCCTGAGTGTGTCCAGGGAGGGACCCCTGGCTGGTGCCCTGGGAGCCATCCAACTGCCCTCTGCCAGAGTGAAGAGTGACCAGGGCCTCAAAACCAAGAAACCTCCAGGGCTTGCCCAAGATCCTGGTAGGGGTGAAGCTGGGAACAGGGAAGAAAGCCCTAGCCCCCAAACAGTGCTCAGGAAGCCCAGGGCTCTGGGATGGGTGGGAGAGGATAAGGTGCCCGGGTCCTCTGGCCTTGGCTTCTAGTGAGCTCAGGTTGCACCTGCGGGGACCCACGTGGGCCACACCCATACAGCTTCCCCAAGAGGACTTCTCCTAGGGCGCTGGGTTCTAGCCTGACTTCTGTGGATCCCTCGCACACTCCAGAGAGCTGTGACATCTGGGAAACCACTGAACCGCCCACCCCTGTGAAGAGGTGACGGGGACTCCTGAACAAAGCCTGTCTAAACCTGGTCTGATCAAGGCAGGGAATTTCACCACAGTCCCTTGCTCTTGTGCTACATCCAAATAGGATGATTGACAGGCGAGCTCAGCTTTTCTTCATTAGATCTGCTAGCTTCCACTCAAACGTGGGACTGCCCCACAATCTCTCGCCTCCCTCCTCTCTCTCTCTCTCTCTCTCTCTCTCTCTCTCTCTCTCTCTCATCTATGTGGCTATCTGAAGATCACCTAAATTTTAACATTGATTTCTTCTAAGTGGTAGAATGTGGAGTGCTGTTTTAACCTTTATTTGTTATAGTTTGCTTTTTTCCTCTAACCCTCATAACAAGCATAAATCATTATTTTCAAATGCAAGTCATTATTCCAAAAAATAAAATCAGTAAACTGAATTAATTAATCGAGCCACTAGCCATAACTCAGAAGCTTGCCAGTGGTCATCTCATATTGTTTTTTTCCCCCTGGGGGTTTTCTTTTCCCATCGTGTGCATTGCCTGGACTGGCATTCATAGGCAGCTGGTTGGCTTAAGGTGTGGCCCTGGGTGCTGTGGGCCAGCAGATGGCAGATTCTGGTCAGTAGGGGGCGTGGTGGAGCAGCCCTCACACTGGGTGCTGGATGTGATTCTCTCCCAAGCTTTAGGCTTGGATGTGCTCATCTTTCATCGCTGTAACAGAATACCTGCAGCTTTACAAAGGAATGACTCATTTAGCCAACAGTTCTGGACCCTCAACGGCCCAACAGCCCAGCGTCAACTCTGGTGAGCACCCCTGTTGGCGGTGTCACCCCACAGCAGGAGGCCACGCCGACAGCAATGGGAGAATGCAATCATGTCACAGGACAGGCAGCCAGAGAGCCCGGCTTCTCACCCTGCCCCCAACCCCGCCGCCACCAGGGCCCGCTGCTCTGACCTAAGGACCACCTGGGGGAGCATGCCTCACCTGGATGACAAACTCAGCCCCCCTCAGGAGGGGTCAGCTCAGTCCCCCACTCAAGACCACACACGCACCCCAGTGGGCATCTGTCCCCCATCAGGACACCCTGCGATTGCACCCTGTTTGCACACTCATGGAGAGGGAACCATGGGGAGCCCCTGTCCTGACATCAGCCAGCGTGGGCGGGAGGACCTGCCCAGCCACTTCCCAGCCACACCCTCCTGGGCGGTTGGTTTCACTCTTTAGGCCTCCATTTCATCACCTGTTAAGGGGACAGACGATGACACATGTCAGGCTGTGCAGATTGCGTGAGTTAGTCCAGGGCCCAGCCCACAGGAGCTGTCATCAAAACCCAATCTCCCAGCAGCCCAGGCAGTGGAGGCTGAAGCTTAACCCGCAGCAAGCACCCAGGGACAGCACCCAGCAGGGGCGGCCGCAGCCCCCTCAGGAGGTGTTTCCCAGGTGTGACTCTGGCTGAGGTCTCGGCTGAGTGGCCGCCCCCTTTTCCCTGCCCGCTGTCCAGCCAGGTGCCTCTACCTGCTTGGAGACAGGAGATAGAAAGAAAGTACCAGGGAACCAAAATCCCACCGGGCCTCTCCTGTGGTTGGCAGACTCCACTGGCCGCAGCTGCCTGGAGCCTCTGCTCAGACAGGCCCGGGGCCCCTCAGCCTCTCTATGCCCCATCTGAGGCCTCAGAGGGACCCAGCTGGCTCTGCCCCTGGCTCACCGTCTTGTACACAGCTCTACCCACTTCCAGGCACACAGACTCCCTCCTCTCTCTCCCCCTGCCCCACGCCCCTGGGCTCCCATCATCTTCAAGACCCGAGATGGGGTAACACTGCTTTGCCCTGGGGCCAGCCTGCCATCCCCTCTCTCTCGGCTTGGGGTCCCAGCCTGGGTCTCTATGGCCCCCTGCCCAGCTCTGGCTCTGACCTCTGGCTGGGTGGGGGTGGGGCTCTCCAGAAGTCACTGCTATGTGACACTGATACCTGTGGGAGGTTGTGTTTATCTGTCCGTCTTGCAGACCTGCTGGGGGAGTAGTCCACCCAGGACCACGCAGGTGGGCTGGAGTTGGGGGGCTAGAGGGTCCAAAGGGGCCAAGCTGGGCCCTATGGGGACAACCCACGTAACAAATGGCCACAAAAGCCCTGGAGGGGATGCAAAGTGGCCAAGTCCCCAAAGGGGACAAGACAGGGCTTCCGTGTTGCTCTGTAGCAAAGCTCAGACCACAATGCTTGACCATTAGGAGCCAAACCTTGCGGGGAAGGTGCGTGCTGGGCCATACCTCCTGCATCTCTGCCCCTCCCTGGGGCACAGCGAGGTGGACACAGAGCAAGGGGACCTCAGAGCAGGCCCTGGGAGCAGACACAGGCAGCAGAGCAAGGCGTGGGCACGGGTCACACAAGAGAGCTTTCTCTCCCTGGCCAGGAGCGGATCACACAGGTACAGGCTAGTCCAGGGCAGTGTTCTGGGTGCTGGGAGCAAACCACACATCTCTGCCAGGCAGGAAAAGGTGTCCTTGCTAGAGACATGGCCCACCCCCACCACCCCCACCCCCACGGTCAGAGGGGCCAGGAAGACAGCAGCCACATGCTACATCCAGAAAGGGATTTGAGGGAACACCGGGCTCGGCTCCCATCCCACTCACTCCCGTCTCCCTGTGTGCCCGCGCGTGTCTCACGTGGACACCCGTGGACAGCCACTTCACCTTGGCAAGGGCTTTGGCTGGTGCACAGCTGGGATGCAATGCATGGGTGGCCTCAGAAAGAAAAGGGAGGTAGCCCATACTACCCCAGGTGCCCACCAGGGGGAACCCGCCTCCCGCTTGCTGCGCAATTTAGCGGCTGCCCGGACCAAGGTCCTCCTCTGCTTTGCTGACCCTGTGGGCAGCGCTGAAAATAGCTTCCTAATCCTTGGCTTAGGACAGCAAGGGGGTCAGCCGCCAGGGGCTGCCCGCCTCCTGCCCCAGGGGCACACAAAGTGGACCGGGAAGGAAAAGTTAAATTCAAAGACCTCTGCCCCTCCCCCAGCCTCAACTGTGACCCTCCAGCCCCCATCCTAAACTGGCTTCGGAAAATTCCTGTCTCTTAGGAGGTGTCACAAAGCGAGGCACACGAAGAAGACCTTGGCTTTTACATATTTATGCTATGAGGTTCATAAGGCATATGCTACGTGCGCTTAGACCTAGCACAGGAAATAACCGGAAAACGTGCAAATGAAAAAGTGGACGTGGCCTGCAAGGCAGCCTGCTGCCTCCAGGTGGCGCCATAGCTTTCCAAGGCAAAGAAAAAGAGGGGTGGGCGTTGCTGACTCCCCAGCCCCAAGAGCGATCCCAGGAGAAGAGGGGGTGTGAGTGAGGTCACACAGCCCAGGTCCAGCATCCAGAATGTTCAGCAGGTGGGAGCGCACAGGCAGGGGCTCCAGCTGGGGTCCTGCCTATCACCACCATCGCTTTGGCTGCCTATCAGTGCTTACAAAGCATCTGAGTCTGGTGATGATGACGTTCACATCCAGTCCTGGTCTCCTTTGGGTCCCGTGTTCAGTCTGGCCCTCAGGAGCCTTCACCCAGGACACAGAGCTCCAGGTGCCAAGACCCAGCTGCCACGCTGCTGCCCCAAGCCCAGGTGAGGCCATCCACCATCACCCATCTATTTATACCACCATAGAATGAGCACCCAGCAAGAAGCTGAAATCTAGGATCCCAGCCCTGAGCTGGCTTTGCTTCTCCTCCAGATTAAAAAAAAAAATACACAGAGGGGTCAGCGCTGTGGCGTAGTGGGCTCTGCCTGCAGTGCCAGCATCCCATGTGGGCACTGGTTCTAGTCCTGGCTGCTCCTCCTCCAATCCAGCTCTCTGCTGTGGCCTGAGGGAGCAGTAGAAGATGGCCCAAGTCCTTGGGCCTCTGCACTCACGTGGGAGACCTGGAAGAAGCTCCTGGCTCCTGGCTTCGGATCAGCCCAGCTCCAGCCATTGCAGCCATCTGGGGAGTGAACCAGCAGATGGAAGACCTTTCTCTCTCCTTCTGTCTATGACTCTGCCTCTCAAACAAATAAATAAAATATTTTTTAAAAAAATCACAGAGAGAAAACCTGATCTTGGTTAAATTGGAAAACTAAAATGACCTGAATTCAGAATGTCTTTCTTTAGCCCCATTTGTGCCCTTGAAGGATTTTTACACTTCTTAATGGCATGGCTGCCACTGGGAGGCACTGTGTTGAGGTATAGCTCACCATTTCCCAAGCTACCAGTGGGGTTTTCTCCCACTTCTATTCTGAGAAGTTGGCCAAGTCTTTGCCAACCCAGTTACTTCTTTGCCACAGGCCTGACAAGAGACAGAAGCCAGAGGCAATGCCGGGCGATACAGCCTGACAAATGAGAGGAGTTTGCTAATGACGGGGTGTGTATCCCCCAGAACCGCAGGGCCAGGGCGCCGAGCCAGTTACACCGGAGGGGAAGAATTTCAGGGATGTGATGATTCTCACCCCAGAACTGAAGAGCAGACGCGTGCTGGCAGCATCCCCTGCCACCCCTTAACATGTATACGGGAAGTGGCTGCCCTGTCCATTCTGAATGCTGTCAGAAAATGCCATCAGCTGGGTAGCTTACAAACAACATGGATTTATTGTTCACAGCTCAAAAGGCTGAGACATCCAAGTCCAAGGTGCCAGCAGATAAGGTCCTGGTGAGGAACCTCCCTCTGGATCACGGTGGCTCCTCCTCATTGTTCCTAATGCTCTGTGCCATATTTTATAATGACAGGCATGCCCACCTCCACAAGGTCTTGGGGGCTGAGACTGTAGCATCTGAATTTGTGGGGCCATAAAGAGGCTGCAGCAGTGGCGTAGGGAGCCTGGACAAGGTCACGATTAAGGTGGTTGCTCTTCCATAGACATAGGAGAGCTGGAAGGAAAAGGGATGCTGAGAACCCAGCCTCAGTATGCCAAGGAATGGCCTCGAGCCCCAAGTCCCCAGCCCCCCAAATCAACTCCATCTTTAAAAAAAGCAGAGTTGTGGGAGAGATTGTGTTGCTACTCTGCTTGTGAATTATGTAGCTGATCCCATGTGTTTATCATGGTAGAATTGTTCTATATGTAAGCAATGCAAGCTATGGCGTGGTCCACCTGAGGTTGCCTGGGGAGCACAGGTGAGCTCCGTCATCAAGGGTTCTAACCGTGACCTCACCACCACTACTCTGCAGTGCTGAGCACATCGGCTCGTGCCTACAAAAGGCCACTGCTATAAAGCAAGGCAGTAAACCAAAAAGCCCAAGTCCCTTTCAATTCTAAGTGTCTGTTGTGTCCACATACACTGTCCCCTTTGAAAGAGAATTCACAGGAACCACGGACAGTGAGATAAGAACCGTGTGTATGATGTTGGATGGATGTCAAAACCGAATGCAGACTGGAGGTGTGGCAGGTGCAAGACCAGCACCCGGCATTTCATTCATTTATTCACTCATTCAACAAATGTCTGCAGTGCTGCCCACACTAGGGATACAGCAGTGAACAAAACAGCAAACACCCCTCCTGGGGCGTCCCTTCCAGCGATAGGAGACACAGAGAACACGACCAAGCAGTGAGACAGCAAACAAGACAATCAGCGTGCGAAAGAGAAGAAGGGAGCTGGGTGCTCACACGTGTACATGCTGAAACTCGAGACAGGCAATCTGTACCAGGTGCCAAGTCTTGAACCACCCAGGATGCCACGGGACCAGGCTGGTGGAGCAGAAGCAGAGCAGGGGGGCCAGCCTGGGGGCTCGGAGTCAGGTCACATTCCTGAAGCCCTGTTGCTAAGCAGTGGTCCAGAAAGTCATCTCCTTTGAACCCAGCTTTATAAATCCACCTCCTGAGCTGCTCCGGGGCTGGAGAAGTGACTCAGGCAGCAATGTGGCGTGTGATGTGCCCATGCATTTGGTCTGTCCCCTGTGCTCTTGGCATCCCCACGGGAGAGGCTCGCCCTGAACAGCCCACCTCGCTCTGGTGTAAAAGACCCACCTGGAGCCACGCCAGCCAAGCCCAGCTCCCCTTGCCAGCCAACCCACGGACGCCTGCACCTGTGTGAGATCCCACTAGCTGGGGGACCAGGGCAGTAGACGGCCAGGGACCCACACACACCTCAGGGGCTCGGAGGGGCCAGGTCTCCCGGTGGCCTTCCTGGGGATCCTGGCCACGCCCTTAAGACTCAGGCACTGCCATCTCCCTTTCACAGTTGAGGAAACGGGGGCCAGCAGGTAAAGCAGCTTGTCCAGGTTTCTCTGCCTCTGGAGCCCATGCCGTGGGCACAAGGCGCTTCCACGGGGAGCACCCGACGGAGCCAGGAGCCAGCAGCAGCCCCACTCCTTGCCGCTCAGTCCCAGCACCCTGAAGTAGGAAAAGGGCATCACTTTCTCACGACTGTGTCTCCTGCAAGACTGTCCCTCCAGCTGGGCTGCTCAGCCACAGGCGCCAAGGACACCTGAGACAGCCACCTCCAAGGCAGGCCGGGGGGTGGGGGTGTGTGGCTGGATGCAGGCCCCTGCGACTTGTGGCAAGGCCACCTGCTAGCTGTGAGACGTCATGTGCCTGGAGAGGTGGTGGCGCTCCCGGAAGTGCTCCTGGCAGAAGGGGCAGGTGAGCGCGTCTTCCCGGCGCTTCTTGGCGGGCGCCCTCTTGTGGTGGGAGCGCATGTGCACCACCAGGTCGGCCGTGAGCCGGAAGGCGACACTGCACCTGGCGCACCTGTTTTGAGCGGACAGGCCCAGGGAACTGAGCGTGGGTGGCAGGAGCGCCCGCGAGGCGGCCGAGCAGGTGGCAGGGGCTGGGGGCCACAGCGCGGGCGCGCCCCGCAGAGCGCCGCAGAGCGCAGCCCCCTGCGGCCACGTCCCCAAGGCCCACAGCAGCTCGCCCTGGGTGGAGTGGGAGGCCGCCGGCCAGCAGGCCAAGGGCGCGGCGCGTGTGAGGCCAGACAGCTCCTCTGCAGAGCCGCCTACGGGGAGGGCGTCCACCGGGCGCCTGCTGGGTTTGCTGAAGGCGCTTCTCTGCTCACCCCGGGCTCCGCTGAGCCACGCGGGGCGAGCTGTGCTGCACCCGGGAGCCCTGGGGACGCCTGGGGTCAGCATCGGGGGCCCCGCAGACGCCTCCCGCGGCTTCTCCCTGCCCAGCCTCCCGGGTGGCTGGCCCTGGTTGGGCCTGTCTGCAGCTGCCCGCATGGCTGGCTCGGCGCTGACCACATCCCCGCCCGCGGCAGCCTGGGGGCCACGATGGTTTGTCTTCTCCAACAGCGCAGATCTGAGGCCGTTGCCCCTGTCTTGCTCTGGCTCGCTCAGCCGCACTCTGCTTTCCCTGGGAGGGCTCAGCGCAGCGGCCTTCCCCGCAGCCAGGCCAATCAGCAAACAGGGCCTGGGCCTGCCGGATCCCGCAGAGGCTCTGGCGCCATCCGTGTGGAGAGCTTTGGGGTTCCCGCCAATCTGGTGCAGGGAGGGGCCATGAGGTCCCAGAGGGCCCTGTGACAGCTGGGCGGGACCCACAGGCCGCAGGGCTCTGCAGAGAGAGGAAGCGGCAGACAGTTAGAAGGCTTGGCTGCTCAGGCCCAGCTCAGCCTGCAGGCTGATGTCAGACAGGGGCCTCTGATGTCGGGGAGGGGGAGGGGAGAAAGGGGGGAGAGGGAGGAGGAAGGCACAAGGGGGGAGAGGGAGATGGAGGGTTGGGGAGGGAGGAAGGGAAGGGGGAGAGGAAGGGAGCGACAGGGAGGGGGAAGGGGAGAGGAAGAGGGTCTTTCATCCTCTGGTTCATTCCCCAAATGCTCACAACAGCCAGGGCTGTGCCAGGCCGAAGTCTGGAGCCAGGAACTCCATCTGGGTCTCTCACATGGGTGGCAGGGGCCCAGGTACTTGTGCCAGCATCTGCTGTCTTCCCAGGCACATTAGCAGGAAGCTGGATTGGAAGCAGAGCAGCCAGAGCTTGAACTTGAACTCGGATATAGGATGCCCATGGTTTAACTTGCGCCCTCAGCCTACCTTTATGGGGCTTCACAATGCATCTCCCGTGATCAGTCTGGTTTCCTAGATGTTTTCTTGACCAGCTAATGGACAAAACATAAAGTGGATGATCCGATCATTAGCCATGACCCAGACTGATGGTTCATATGCACACACACCCAGCTCGAATAGTCACAAATCTTCAAACTCAAACAAGACCCTGGACTCCAGCTCAAACAGGCAGCTTAGGGAACAGGTGATTAGTCTGGTGGCTAAGAAGCCCAGGTGTGCCTCCCAGGACTCCCGCTTCCCACCAATGCAGACCCTGGGAGGCAGTGGGGATGGCTCAAGTAATTGGGTGGTTGCCATCCATGTGGGAGGCCTGGATAGAGTTTTCAGCTCTTGGCTCCAGCCTTGGCCCAGCCCTGCTCAGGCTCTGTCATTCTCACTGCAGGAATTTAAGGAGTAAACTTGCAGAGGAGAGAAAAAGAGAGAGAGAGAGTATGTGTGTGTGTGTGTGTGTGTGTCTCCTCCCCACCCCCATATCTCACATCCCTTAGGTTCTAGCAATCAGAACTTCCCAGCTGCAGACAATGGTGTCTACCCAGGTATGTTGAGCAGAAAGGGATTTATTTGAGGGTGTTACAGTGTTATGTAGCTCATGAACTCTGGAGAAGAGCCAGATACCAGGCTTGGTGCTGTCCACGGCTCACTACAGCCATCAAAAAAATAAACAGTGCCTACCCACGCCCTGGCACTGTCTACTCATAGCAGCACCCATGACAAGGGATGAAATTCTAGAAACTGCCACAGCCACCCCCACAAGACCAGCTGCCCCGCCTGTGTGCCTGCCACAAGACCTCACCTGCCTGCCAGAGACATTGCCTCACAGGACTCACTACCTAGGTGGCTCAGCCCGCAGGTGTGGCTGCCAGTTTTTGTTTTTTAAACACACGGCCAGCAGTGAGCTGGGGCCAGCTCATAATGGCTTGTGAGAGGTTCAGGAATTTCGTAAGCTACGTGTTCTAACACAGAGGCCCTTAAAAGCTAAAGTAGACACTTTATTGCTCAGCACACTATATTGAAACAAACCCAGGAACTCTCAAACCTCACCTGCTCCATCTCTGTCATCTCTGCTCTGGAACACGGGTCTGACGGGGGCACCGGCCATCACTGTGTCTCTTCCAGACTCACACCCAGTGAGGTCTCCAGGGTCTCAGCCACGCCGGGGGAGTCCTTGGCCAATGCTGTAACTCAGGGCTTCATTTCCTGTTTTGGTGATTGTTGGCACTTAAGACAGGGATGAGAGAATGTCAATCATGCAAATTAAACTGGAAACTGTGTGTTCTCCGCAGCTGTTAAAAAGCCAAAGAGCACATTAAAAACAGTAAGTGTGAGCTCCGCTTCCAGTGTTCCAAAATCATTATGTGATTTCGCAAGAGTCATCCTGCACCACTGGCAGACGGGTGATCATCTGACACTCTGTGATCAACTCAAACCCCGCCCGATGTTGGTGTTGCAGCTGTGTGCCCAGAGCTGGTCATTGGAGGCTTACCAGCACGGCACAGCCTGCACCCCAAAGCATCTGGAACACTGGACACTGGGGGGTGCAGCAAGGCTTCCCAAGGGCAGGCCAAGAAGCAAAGAGGGGAGAAGGCAGAGGGAGCGCCAAGTGCATACACACATGCTAGGCAGTGACCATGCCAGGAGATCCGAACCCAGGAGAGTGCTGTCAGGGCTACCACGGCTCAGTTGCACAGCTCTGGGCTCAGCCCTGACCTCCAGAAACACTTCCTGAGCTGTGGGGGTGGGGGAGGGGGGTGTCAGGGGGTCAGGAGGTCAGAGCAGAGAAGCTCCACCTCTCGACTGCTCAGTCACAGGGTGGAGGAAGCACTCATACAGGCCAGCCTCCCTGTCTCACACCCAGGCTGCCTATGGAATCCATGGAAGTCCCGCCCACACGCCCTGGGGACAGGGGCCCAAACCATCTTGGAACTGTCTGACCCCAAGTTCCTCAGGTGCACAGCCTGCTTCCCTACCACAGTGCACACTTTGCCAAAAGGTTCCCAACACTCCAGAGCCGCCAACCGGGGTCTCTCACGGGACCAGCATAGCAGGTGCTGCATCCTGAGAGATGAAGCCCCTTCCTGCCCAGGGTGGGAAAAGCGTGGATTTTCCATTTTTCCCCCTCCTGGACACTGGCTGCAGACTGGGCATTCCACAGAGGCCCCCATCATGTGGAGGTCCAGCCTTGACCTTGTCATCCCAGGGCACTGTGGAATCCTACCTCCACAGAGAGGTGTCGTACAGGGGTTAAGCACAGGGTTAGAACACCTGGACTCTGCCCGGCTCTGTTCTCACCCGTCATGAGGCCGTGGGCCTTAGTTTACTCACATGTAAAATGGATCACCCGAGGGGCTGGTGCTGTGGCACAGTAGGTTAATCCTCTGCCTGCAGCACCGGCATCCCATATGGGTACTGGTTCCAGTCCTGGGTGCTCCACTTCTAATCCAGCTCTCTGTTTATGGCCTGGGAAAGCAATGACAGGTGCTCCAAGCGCTTGGGCCCCTGCACCCACGTGGGAGACCTAGAAGAAGCTCTTGGCTCCTGGCTTCGGATCAGCCCAGCTCTGGATGTTATGGCCATTCTGGGGATTTGAACCAGCAGATGGAAGACATCTCTCTCTGTGGCTGTGCCTCTTAAATAAATCTTTTTTTTAAAAAATGAGAAAATCGCCAGAATACCACATCATTGGGATACTATAAAGACTAGATGGGTTAATAAGGTGCTAAGCCACCTGGCTTAGAGACAGAGATGGTTAGCACCATATGAATGATGTATAAAGGGACAGAGCCAACATCAGGGCCATCTCCCTTTCCTTGTGAACTCTCAGGGACCTGTGTACCACAGTGTTTAATCAAGGGCCAAGTGACCTGAGCAGCGTTCTCCTTCCTGCTCCATTTCCAGAGGGAAGAACTCCTGGCGAACAACTACATGATTTTGTTTTCCTGAGACGTCGGAAGGGATGCTCCGCCCCACGTCAACAGGTCAAACGCCCCCCACCCCGTTGTTCTAAGCTACAGCTTAGAAACCAGCTCTTATCCATGCCCCATGCTCACTGCCAGGCAACCCCTTGCTGTGTGTGCCTTTATCTCCAGCTCAAACAATCACAGAAAGGACCTCTGTGCTTCCACTCACTCAGTGTCCCTGGTCCCTGGAGAGGCTTCCCATACCCATTTAGAAGATTCCAGAGGATAATTAGCTCCCAGCCTCTCCTGTGGGTAGACTGCAGGCTTTTGGTGTTCCTAAGAAAGGGGATGCACTTGGGGCTGGTGCAGTGGCATAGCAGGTAAAACTGCCACCTGCAGTGCTAGCTTCCCACATGGGCACTGGTTTGAGTCCCAGCTGCTCCACTTCTGACCCAGCTTTCTGTTATGGAAAGCAGTGGAAGATGGTCCAAGTCCTTGAGCCCCTGCACCTGCATGGGAGACCTAGAAGAAGCTCCTGGCTTCAGATCAGCCCAGCTCAAGCCATTGCAGCCATTTGAGGAGTGAATCATGCATGGAAGACTTCTCTCTCTCGCTCTCTCTCTCTTGCTCTCTCTCTCTCTTCTCTCACTCTCTCGCTCTCTCTCTCTGCCTGTGCCTCTGCCTTTCTAATCACTCCAGCCTCTGGGCATGACATGGGTTGCAGTGGCCCATGTTGGACAATCCCTCTGGACCCGTCTCCTCATCAGTACAGTTTGGGTGGGGATCTTCGCTCAAAGCTTTTTGATTGGGTTAAATTGGGCTTTGAGCATGATAGAGAATAAAACTGGACCCCAGCCAGTGGTCACCACTGCAGGGCAACCTTTGGGGGAAAGTCCAGGGCGGGCACATCAGTCTGTTCCATCTGACCTCCTGGATGCCAAAAACAGTGTCCCCCAGAGAGAGTCACACTTCTTAGACAGGAGAGTAAGTTTTAAAGCATCAGACCTCAATAATTCTTTTTCTTTTAAATTTGTTATCTGTTTTAAAAGGAGTCACCACCTCCTGGATTTCAGGAAAAGAAATCTGCTAGGTAAAGCAGGCCTGATGATGCCGTGGCCATCTGAAAAGCACCCCTTGGGCCTGGCCCCCCTGGAAATCCTGATACAGTGAGGGCAGACAACTTAACCCTTCATTTCAGGAAACAGTCTCCAAATCCAAGGTTCATGCAAATTCATCCAACACCCTCTGAGCTAACCTGAGCAGATCCTTTCATTAAACACCCTGCATTCTTCCTCCAACATAACCTAATTTCTGTCCGTCTCCGTGCTTTATTCATGCCTGTCTGCCTCAAATGAGAAGTGAAACCAGCCAAATTATTGATAAAGATCACCGTAAGCTTCAACATCAGGTTAAATTATTTCTAAGAGCTTTAGCTGGTAGCTAACCCCTCTAAAAGCAATTAAACATCCTTTTAATAACAGTATATGTCTTGTGTGTGTGTTTGAACATACAAATATGAGTGTCTATCATAAAAATATCATTAAAACTGAAATATTGTTTCTCAGACAATGATTAAATTTTCAACAAGAGGAAAGCATGCCTCAATATTGCAACACTTTCTTTATTCCCCAACAGTGAATCAGATTGCTTTGCTAGATTCCCACACGAAGTATGTGCCTTAGACTTTGTTACCATAAAGGATTCTCCCAGGTAATGTAAGCGAAAACATTCATTTCAAACGCCACAATTATTGTTATAAAATGTCAAATGTCTCATAGAACAGTAACTATGCAATGTCAGTACATAAGTGGCATTGACTATTTTATTTTAGAAATTTGCTGCTCCTCGCTTTATTCCACTCTCAAAGACCTCAAGTGCAAAGCTCCGACCCAACATCGTCCCTCCCCCTCCCCCAGAGGGACCCTGCGCCCAGCCTGCCCAGAGGCAGGTGGCAGCAGGAATGTCCCCAAATGTCTGCGCTGGGATTAGCCTCCTGCTGAGCTGTCAGTGCCTATTAGGAACGCGAAATGTCAAGAGCACTACGCCAACAAAGCCGGGTCTCCAAAACCACGTATTTGTTTTCAGAGATTTCCAGCGGGGTCGTTTATGTGTTTTTCCCACCGCGGCCAGTGGACACATTAGGTGTCCAGCTCTTTGGATGCAAACTGCGAGAATGCGTCCGGTGCTTACCCGGGCGGCCCAGCACAGGCCCTGGCTGACACCTGGGAGCCACAGCGTGAAAGGAGTGACAAGCGGATGGACGCGGACTCGCAGCCCAGAAAGTCGACCTAGGAGGGGGGAAAAAACCAAATCGAGGGTAGCTGTATGGGGGGAAAGGGCGGAGGAGGGGAGCGAGGCGGGGGAGGGGCGGCTGGCAGACAGGGGTGGGGGGACAGGCAAAATAGCCAATAAAGGAGAAAGAGCGAGAGGAGGAAAAGTGGTAGAGGAGAGAGACGGGCGAAGGGGGAAAGGGACGCGACTCGTGGAGGGATGGAGGAAGCGAGCAACGCCGGCAAGAGGAGACCTCGGGGTCAGAAGCAGAACTCAAGAATCCTGCCTTGTGGAAGCGCCCGGGCGAGAGCGGGGATTCGCGGCTCCCACGCCCGACCCCCGACAGAAGCGCGCGTCTCACCTGGGTTCTCCAGCAGCGGCGCGGGGCTCTGGCGATCCGCTCTGCGCTGGCCGCGGGAGTCTTCCGCACGCTCGGCCCCGCCTTCCGGGGCTGCTCCCGCCTCTGGGCGGGGATGCGGGGCCCCCACCCCCGAGATCCCCAGGACTTGTGGTCAGGGCCCGCAGGTGAACAGAGGCCGGCGGACGGACCGGGGAGCCTCTGGCGCTGGAAGCCAAAATCCAGGAGCTTGTCAGGTTCCCGCTCGCGCAGCGGTGACGGGGCTCAGACCTGGGGGGCTCAGGTCTGCGCCCCCGCGGCGGGCTTGGCTGGATCCAGGCGCTGGTGCCGCCTGAGACCGCGAAGGCGTCAGCCTGTGGCTTGGGCAGCGACACCCCACCGGTGACAGTGCTGGTGACGGACCCTGGAGTGTGCCCGTGCCAGCAACTTGGACCCCAGCAGCGCCCAGGACTTTCTCCCCCTCTCTGAGGGCGGCCGCACCAGTGGCGTCCTTGCAGCGCCCCACTCCCCTGGCTCCTGGGTGCACAGTGGGGTGCCAGGTCAGAGGACTGGCAGGTGTCTTGAGAATGGACCGCCCTCGCTGAGTGCGATGGGGATAGGGCAGAAAATCGCTCTTCCACTGCTCTGAAATTAAGAACTGCTGAAGGAACAAGCACACGGGGAGAAGATAAGGACCCGGATTCAAAGCACACTATAAGGTTCAGTGAGTCAGTACCACAAAGATGGACATCCCCGGGAGACGGGCCACAGGCAGGAATGGCACTTCACAGCAAGCAGGCAACCAGTCCCATCAGTAACTAGAAAAGGCAAATGAAGATTGCAGGAGCTGTCTAATCAATAAAGGGAAAAAATACGAAACCCAAGACATCGTCACGTGTCAGGAAGGATCAGCAAGAGGTCCTTCAAATGCCTTGGAGAAAGGATGCCAACGCTCACCAACTCAAAGACCACCAATTAACAGTCCATGGTTTTAATCAAAAATTTTTTCCATTTATTTGAAAAGCAAAAAGGCAGAGAGAGCGACTGGGACAGAAAGATCTCCCATCCACTGGCTCACTCTGCAAATGACAGCTACCACCAGGACCTGGCAAGGAGCCCAGAACTCGATCCCAGTCTCCCACATGTGTGGCAGGGACCTAAGGAGCTGAGCCATCATCTACTGCCTCTCCCGTGGTGTGCATTCGCTGGAAGCTGGGGTCACAAGTGGAGCCAGCCAGGAATTAGAACCAAGCATCCAGCTGGGTTGTGTGGCCACCCAAGCAGTGTCCTAAATCCCTGCCCCAGGTCCCTAATTTGAAATATCACAGAAAAGTGGAAAACAGACAACAAAACTAGGAAATCCCCTCAGCCTGGGGCTTTGTATACCTTATCATTTCAGTGCTGTGCATTCTGAAATGTCTATTGCAGACTTACTACAGAAGGATCTTTACTATCTATCCCTCTTGTGCATATATATATATATATATATATATATATATATATAAAAACATGCTGTGGTGAAAGGCACTGGCCTGCCACAGTGCTGGGGCACCACCCACTCTCCCACTGGCCACTCCCCTCTCAGCTGCACACCAGCTCCGGCTCCCACCTGTGACCCTTGGCAGCCGGGACTGCTAGGAGCAGCAGAGGGCAGGGCAAGTGACACTGGGTGACTTCTGCAGTGATGACATAAAAGGCCTCAGGCTCTCTGCCATGCTCACTGTCCACAGATGCTCACCCATGGAGCTTGGAGCCACCCTGGGACGAGCTCCGCGGAGTGTGCACTGACAGTCCCAGCTCAGCGCTGCTGCTGAGTCTCCCTGGCAGTGCCCCACATGGGAGTGAGGCAGCCTGCAGCCGCCTCCATCCCCAGTCACTGCAGCCCCTCCCCTGTCTTCCCACCAGGTCCCCGCCTGCCCCACACTGTAGAGCCTCTGAGCGGAATCAAGTGTCTCCTGGGCATCCCTGAGAGTGGGGGGTGGGGCTGTCACACAGCAGCAATGGCCTGCCAGCCTGTCCCTCACTCACTCCGTCTCTAGCAGCTCCTGCCACAGGAGCTGGCACCACACCACACCAGCGGCCTCTCTGCTTCCAGCACTCTGGCCTCCCAGCACCTTCCCCTGTGCACCCACAGCGATGTCTTCCTCTGCTTGAGCCCAGCTGCCAGCCAGCTGCCCTCTCACGGTTGGCGAAGGCCTGGCTCCTTCTCGGTGTTCTGAGGGCCACCCGGGAGGGGCTGGGATAGGGACACTGGGCACCTGGTCTCCCACCCCCGCTGAAGACCCTACAGCTCCCACTTGCCATTGCCATGTGCAGGGCCCTGAGCAGAGCCGCAGGTCACAAAGTCACCATGTCAACCCACCGTCAGTCATAACCCCCGGGAGTTCTGCCCGCTGGGTGGGGCAAGGGCCGTGCGGCAGCTAGCAGCATGTGGCCCGGGAGCCAGCAGCTGCCCCTGTTGCTGTGCTCTGAGCAGGTGCCACGAGGAGGACGCAGAGCACATTGGTGCCAGGCAGGGGGGGCCAGGTCCCTGGGGAGCAGGTGGAGGTGGCTGAGACGGCCATAGCAACCCAAGAGTGAGGTCCCAGGAAGAACCAAGAAAATGGGGGGCCACGGTCCCCAGGTGCCTGGCTCCCCACTCCTCTTCCTGCTGCTGCTGGTACTGCCCCTAACACCGTTTGGTGTGGGGAGCCTCCAACGCCCTGACCTTGGCTGGACAGCTCTTCATGCACTTAGCCTTGGCTCCAGAAGACTCCAGGAGCCTGAAGATGGGGCCCTCGCCCGCCAATGGTACAACAGGAAGCAAGCATGCAGTCAGTACTTTGACCTCTACTTCAACCTGGAAAAGTGAGTACCCTCCAAGTCCTGGTCCCAGGAGGTGCTAGCAGAGCAGGGCTGGCTCCCAGGTGCTGCTGTGGGGAAGCCGGCCTGGCTGCTGATCTGACCCCAGGAGCAGGCCTCCATGGCTGAGCTCTGGGGAGGGGTGGCCACTGCTAGAGGAGGAGACTCGCCGCCCGCTCAGTGGAGGGCAGGTTTCTTTGGCTCTGTTGTGCTGTGTGCTCTGTCACCCGGGAGAGGCTCATGCTGCAGGCCGACAGCAGCGCCCTGTCTCGGAGTTTCCTCTGCCTGTTGGCTTCCAGGCTGCTCCCTTAGTCCTGAGCCTCTGCTTTCAGACTGAGCTGGGACTGCCAAGGGTGGCTACTCCAGCCCCTTCCCCACTCCATCCCCAGCCCAGCAGTCAGGTGCAGGTTAGTCCTGGGATGAAACGGGCTCCGAGCGGTTAAGCAACTTGTCTGAGACCCTCAGCAAAAGCCCAGCATGGGTTTCCAGCTCTTGCTTGCTTGGCTCCCCAACCCATACATGGAGATTTGTGGGGGAGGCTTGTGGTTTTAGGAGCATACGGCATATGCTCATATATGATAAAATATCCATAACACAAAGTTGACCATTTCAACCATTTTTGAGTTCAGTGACGTCTGTGACATCGTCACCACCATCCATCCCCAAAATTGCTTCGTCTCCATGGACCCATTACAGCATCAGCTTTCTCCCCTAATCCCTGCTCACTTCTGCTCTGCTGTTGCGTTCCATTCATTTGCCCATTGTAAGTGTCTCACAGAGGTGGAATCAACCAATATTTGTCCTTTTGTGTCTGGTTCATTTCACTTACCATAATACTTTCAAGATCTGTCCCTGTTTTAGCATCTACCAGAATTCACTTCCCCTTAGTGGCTGACTAATATCTCATTGAATACAAACCATATTTTGTTTACTCATTCACCTGTTGGTGGGCACTTGGATTGTTTCTCTTGTTCGCCATCAGGGCTGCTGGGACTGTGAACATGGGTATGTGCGTATCCATGGGAGACCCAACTTCCATTGCTTTAGGGTGTGTGCCTGGGAGTGGAATTACTGGATTCTGGGTTAGTTCTGGAAGAATCACCAAACTGTTCTCCATCATCTCTGTTCCCCACTGCACATTTCTGCCATCATTGTTTCGGGGATTTGACGTCTGCAGTCTTTCAAACACCAATAGCTTCCCACCTTGTTATAAGGAGCGCACTGATGTGCCTGAAGTTACACCGTCCTCCAGTTTCATTTTCACTTCCCTGGTGACTAATGAGGGACAGCAGGTTCTTGTCCTTCCTGCCCACGTGCACATCGTCCTCAGTGAAGTGTCCAGACCTCTCCTTTGCCTTTTTTTGAATTGGTTGTTTGTATTTCGTTGTTGAGTTATAGGAGTTTGTAATCCTTTATCAGGTACATGATTGGTGGACACTCTATTTTTTTAAAGATATATTTATTAACTTGAAAGTCCGAGTTACACACAGAGAGAAGAGAGGAGATTCAGAGAGAGAGAGAAGTCTTCCACCTGCTAGTTCACTATCCAATTGGCTGTAATGGCCAAAGCTGTGCCGATCCGAAGCCAAGGAGCCAGAAGATTCTTCCAGGTCTCCCACAAGGGTGCAAGGGTCCAAGGACTTGGGCCATCTTCTACTGCTTTCTCAGTCCATAGCAGGGAGCTGAATTGGAAGTGGAGCAGCCAGGGCTCGAACCAGCACCCATATGGGATGCTGGCACTGCTGGCGGTGGCTTTACCCGCTATGCCACAGTGCCAGCCCCGGTAGACATTCCATTGTGATGCACCCAAATTTTTAATTTGCATGAAGGCTGGTTTCATTTATTTTTTTTCCTGCCTTTTGCTATCACATCCCCAATCTTATGCCCATATAGAATGTCATGAGGACTTTCTCCTGTAATTCTCACTAGGAGTTTCATGGCTGCAACTCCTAGATTAGAGGCTCTGGTCTATAGTGAGTTGATTCCGAGTGGTTTTAAGGCTCAGGTCCAAGTTCATCCTTTTGCCTGTGTGCACCTGGTGTTCTCACCATTATTGTGGAAAATCTTGTCCTTTTCCACCCTGAATGCTCCCTGCATCCATGGGGGAAAATCCAGGGACCATATGTGCTGAGGGTTTATTTCAGGGCTCTCTGCTGCTCTGCATGTCTGTCCTTAGCCTGTGCTCTTGTCATTGCTGCAGGAGTGTAATAAACCTTCCTATCGGCAAAGAGAATCCATCTGCCTTATACTTGCTTCTCCAAATTTGTGGGAGGCTACTGCTGTAGGCCCTTGAGATTCCATATGCGTAGCATGGTGTTTTGTTTTGTTTTGTTTGTATTTCTGGAAACAAAAGAAATGCAGTTGGGATTTTGAGAGCAATTCAGTGGATCTGTCAATAGCATTGACTATTATTGTCACCACCACAATGTTAATTCTTCCAGGCTTTAACAGACAATATTGGTCTTTCCAGAAATGGTTTGGAGTTTTCAGTGTCCAAATCTACACCGCGTGGGTCACTTCATTCCTCCTTGGTTCAATTGATTTATTTATAAATGTGTTTGTCTTGTTTGATGCTATTTTAAAGAAAATTATTCCCTCAACTGCCTTTTGGGATTGTTCATTGTTAGAGCATATAAATACAACTAATTTCTTGTGTTAATTTTTGAAATTGTTTAAGAGAAAGAGCATCCATGCACCGTATCCACTGTTATTCCTCAAATTCCCATCATGGCCAAGATTGGACTTAGACTATAGCCAAGAGCCAGGAACTCAAACCAGGTATTCTACATGAGTGGCAAAAACTCAGTTGAGTCATCACCATGGCGACTCAAGGAACTGGAGTCAGGAGCCAGAGCTGGAGCAACAAACTCAGGAATACCAGCAGGAAGCAGGTGTTTCAGCCGCCAGGCCAAACATTGGCCCATGTGCGTTAATTGTTTTTACACTGTGACTGGCCTGAATTCATTCATTAGCTCTAATAGGATGTCTGGGGTGTGGAATATGTAGGGTCTTTAATAATTTTTCTCCTCAATAACTGTACATGTTTGTGGGCGGCAATGTGATATTTCAATACATAGAATAATGTGTACTCATCAAATCCGTGTCATCGCATCACAACTGCTGTGACATCACGTGACAGGCTCATGAAGTGCACGACCCTGGGCCAGTGATGGCTGTGGAACCAGCACAAGGAATGCACGCCTTCGATCTGACGGGGACCCGCCTGCCGAGCGCCTTCCACACCCCTCAGCTCCCTCAGACTCAGCAACCACTGTACTGAGCACACACTGAGTTCTCCAAGCTCCATGTATGTGGGAGAACGGGCAGCATTTGTGTCTCCATGTCTGGTTCCAGCCATTGTGCCGCAAAGGCAGGATTGCATTCTTCCCTTGACTGAATAGCGTGGTGTTGTGTACAGACCCCTCATTCTCCTGATCCATGCATCTGAGGCTGGATACCTAGGCTGATTCCGCACCTTGCCTATTGTGAATGGTACTTCCATGAACACGATGGAGCTGGCGTTTCTTTGAGAAGATGATTGCGTATTGTTTGGATACACAGCTGGTAGTGGGCTTGCTGGATCACACTGCTTTCCACAGTGGTCATATGACCTTACAGTCTCACTAACAGCTGTGAAAGCTCCTCTTTTGAGCCAGCTTACTGGTGCAGTGGGTTAAGATGTTGCCTGCGATGTAGCCATATGAGCTCCTGTTGGAGTACCTGCCTTTGCAGCCAGGGGGAGAGAATGAGCAGATGGAAGCTGAATCCATCTCTCCTCTCTCTCTCTCTCTCTCTCTCTCCCCCCCCCTCCCTCCCTCCCTCCCTTCCTCCCTCTCTCTGTAACTCTGCCTTTCAAATAAATACATCTTTTTAAGAAAATTTTCCCTTTCTTCCACATCTCCAGCATTTATTATTCTGTCTTTTTGATAATTGCCATCTGACAAAGATGAGCTGATGTCTCATTGAGGTTTTGAGTTGCATTTCCCTGCTAGCTACTAACACGGACTACCTTTTCATGTAAGTGATGGTACCCAGTGTTTCTCTTTCAAGAAATATCAGTCCCTTCACTAGGCTGTGCTGCCCATGCATTTGCGGTCTAAGCCAAAATAATCAATGCCTGCACTGGCTCTTCAATTCTTTCCTCTGTGTTTTTTTCTAGCAGCTTCATAGTTTCAGGTCTTCCATTTTAGGCCTGTGGTTCATTTTAAGTTGAATTTTATATAGGGTGAGAGGTAGAGACCTCATTTCATTCTTCTACATATGTATGTATGTCCAGTATTGCTGGCACCATGTATTGAAAAGTGTAAGCTTTCTTCAACGTGTTTTTAATGTCTTTGTCAAGCATTGGATGGTTGTATGTATGTGGATTAATTTTGTATTCTCTATGCTGTTCCTTCATTCCATGTGTCAGTTTTTATGCCATTACCATGCTGATTTTAGCTTTGTACTCTGCTTTGAAATCTGATAATGTGAGACCTCTAGCTTGATTTTTTTTTGTGCTCAGGATTACTTAGGCTTGTGCATCTTTATATTTTCATATACATTTCAGGATTATTTCTGCATAATTCTGTAAAGATAGAAATTGCACTGAATCTAGAGATTCCTTAGACAGTATGGACATTTTAACAATAATATTAATTCTTTTTTAAAAGATTTTATTTATTTATTGGAGTGGAAGAGACAGAGAGAAAGGTATTCCATTTGCTGGTTCACTGCCCAAATGGCGACAATGGCCGGAGTGGGGCCAATTCAAAGCCAGGAGCCAGGAGCTTCCTCCAGGTCTCCCATGCAGGTGTGAGGACCCAAGCACTTGGGCCATCTTCCATTGCTCTCCCAGGCCATAGCAGAGCGCTGGATCAGGAGAGGAGCAGCTGGGACTCCAACTGGCACCCATATGGGATTCCAGCTCTGCAGGCAAAGGCTTAGCCTACCACACCACAGCACTGGCGCCCAGTATTAATTCTTACAATCCATAAATATGGAATACTTTTCTATTTTGTTGTGTCCTTGAGGATTTTTGCCCTAGTGCTTTGTTGACATCTGTACATTGATGTAACAATGGCTTCTTCTTTATAAAGTAGCTTTGGGTGGAATAGACATTGTTTAGATAGGATTGGGGGGTCAAGTTGGGTAAGTTGCATTGGCTTTGGTTCTAGGCAGGCCCAAAATATAAGCCCCCCACCCTGTGAACTGTAGCAGACTAGATAATGGTGGCATGCAGACACTGCTGGCCTGGATTACAGCAGGAGAGATCATGTGGCTCTGCTGTGTCCCCCTCTGCTTGCACCCCAATGAAAGTCACCTCCAGGGCTGATCCCCAAGGTCGGCTGGGCTGGGGAGGAGCAGGTTAAAGGGAGGCCACAAGGCTGGCAAAGTTAGGGACTTGCCATCTCCTGTGACAGATAGGTCCGACCCACTGACTCTTGTCTCCACTTTTTCCAGATCCATCTATGTAAAGTCCTGGGATGCCTTTTACCAGTTTACAAAGGCTGTGGTGGATAAAGCGATCAAAAAGTAGGACTTCTCAGTGCTCCAGGTTCCGCTGGGCTCCAGGGGGCTGTGCCTCAGGTTGCAGAGGGCCCTGCACTCTGCTGTGATGGGCTCAGCAGCCTGGAATGGAGGGTGGTGCAGTGGGGCTGTGCCAAGGGGCACCCTGAGCTCTCAGGGCTGTCCCCTGCTGTTAACGAGGGCACTGAGCCAGGCAGGCCTGGGCTCGGGGACTGACCACCAGGATCCGTGGAGCTGAGGGACATTGCCGGGGGAGGGGGCGGGTCAGGGAACAGCAAGGACTCCTAGAGGAGCAGGGCATGGGGAGAGGTGGTGTGGCTGTGGGAGGGCTTGGGGGAGACGGGGCGGTGGCTACCATCATGGGTGCTGCAGTACCCTGGGGACAGGGGTGCCCAGGGGAGGCCGGGTGATGAGGCTGACAGCTGGTGGCCACACCACAGGGATAGGAATTTCCCATGGGGGCCACAGGGAGCCACAGAAGGTTCCTGGGTAGGGGGAGTGGCACCATGATGGTGGAGCTCCAGGAAGACAGGGCTGATGACCTGGGGATGAAATGAGTGGGGACAAGAGCAGGTGCAGTGGGGCTGAGCTGGGGTGGGGGCAGCAGGTGCACAGGGGAGACTGAGGGTCAGGGCAAACAGGAGAGGGTGTATGTGAATGGCTGCCAAGAAGGAGAGGATTCTTAGAGATGGGAGGAAGCAGGAGGGCAGAGGTGGAAGAGAGAAAGTAGCTGACGGAAGTGAGGCCAGAAGGAGAGGAGCCTCATGGAGGACTGTGTGTGTCTGTGTCCTCTTGTGTCCAGTGTGTGTAGATCACCTGTTGTGTGTCTGTGTCATCACATGTTCTCTGTGGGTGTGTTTGTTCTCATGTGTTTTGTGTCCCGTGCGTGTGTGTGTGTGTGTGTGTGTAGCCTCACCTGTTGAGTATCTGCGTCGTCACACGTTCTCTGTGGGTGTGCATGTTGTCATGTGTGTTCTCTCTCTCGTGTGTGTGTGCGTGCATAGCCTCACCTGTTGAGTGTCTGTGTTATCACACATTCTCTGTGGATGTGTGTATTCTCACATGTGTTCTGTGTCCCGTGTATGTTGTGTGTGTGTGCATGTGTGTATAGTCTCACCTGTTGTGTGTCTGTGTTATCACACATTCTCTGTGGGTGTGTGTGTTTTCACATGTTCTGAGTCCTGTGTATGTGTGTGTAGCCTCACCTGTTGTGTGTCTGTGTCATCACATGTTCTCGGTGGGTGTGCATGTTCTCACGTATTCTGTGTCTCGTGTGTGTGTACACAGCCTCACCTGTTGAGTGTGTCACATGTTCTCTGTGTGTGTGTTCTCACATGTTCTGTGTCTCATGTATGTGTGTGTGTGTGTGTGCTGCTGTGGGTGTCTCTTGGGGCCCTGTGGCCCAGAGACAGAGTTGGGTGCTTTCTGGGTGCCCTCCCTTGTGCCCTCTCTCCAGAGCCTCAGAAACCTGAATTAAATTTGCTGAAGCTTGGGGTCCCACAGGAGCCCCAGAGGAGTGGCCTGGGAGGGAGCAGGGGTACCCGCAGCCCCCCTCCAGGCTGCTGGCTGACATCATGTGGAGTCTAACGGTCTCACACTTTCTCCCCAGCCCCCAAACACGGATTTCCTTCATCACCTACTCCTGCAAGGGCAACATCATCCTGAAACTCACCCCTGACAGGTCTGTGAGGTTGTGCCCCTGCCCGGGGGGGCTTCTCAGAACCTCAGTGGGGATGCCAACCACACACAGAGCAGGCCAGCCTGGGGACACCTCGGTCCCCGGCTCCCCAGCCCACATCTTATGGGAGGAGAAGCAGGGAGGGGTTGGCTCTTGGTGGGTGTGAGGAGCACAGAAGAATGGGGAAGCCAGGCTGGGTTGGCCTCTGTGGGTCCTGGCTGAACCAGGACTCCTCAGCTTGTCACAGCTCAGCTCCCGCAAGGTCTCTCTGCCCAGAGCATAAAGCCACCTCGGGCTCAGGTCTCCGTTGTGCCAGCTCAGCCACATTAACCTGGACTAGCCTGAACCCTAGCCTGCCTCCCTTGCCTGTCGCAGTCCTGTCCCCACCTGTCGGTCATCTGTGGGTGTGACGGCCCCTGGAAGGTCGCAGAGCAGGTCTTGAGGGCGTCTCTTCCAGCTTGGGTCTTCCTGTTTTGGGAGCAGATGAAGTCACAGAGCCCTGGCTCTCCACCAAGCAGACCCCCAACTTCCAGGGGAAAGGGGGGGGAGGGGGAATCAGAGTCAGAGGTATGTAGCAGTAGGGGTCGCCCTTTCCGAGTTGAGCCTTGCCTGTGGAGGGATAGAGTGTGCACAAGAATACCCTAGTGTTAGGGTCGGGTTAATGTAAAGATTATTTTTAGTGTCAGGTACAGTGCTAGGGTTAGGAATGGGGTACTATGAGGACCTGTGACACACAGCAGCACATCGATGAGTTAGGGTTAGTGTGAGGGTTAATGTTAGGGTTAGAGTTAGGGATAGGATTAGGGTTAGGGTTAGTGTTATTGTGAGTCCATGACACACATTTGCACATCAGGTATGGGTTGGGGTAGGGTCAGGGTCAGGGTAAGGGTCAGGGTCAGGGTAAGGGTCAGGGTCAGAGTCAGGGTTAGGTTAGGGTTAGGGGTAGGTTTTGAATTAGGTTTAGGGGTTAGGGTCAGGAATAGAGTTAGGAATAGGTTTTGAATCAGGGCTAGGGTCAGGGTCAAAGAGTCAGGGTTAGGTTAGGGTTAGAGTCAAGGTCAGGGTCAGGGATAGGGTTAGGTATAGGGATAGGTTCAGGATTAGGGTTAGGGTTAGAGTTGGGGTCAGGGATAGGGTTAGGAACAGGTTTCGGATTAGGGTCAGGATCAAGTTCAGGGTCAAGGATGTCTCACCACAGATGGTCCAGGCAGAGTCCTTGCTGAGGTCCCTGAGTGCTCTGGGTGGCCTCCGCTGTGAGAGCTGTGTTTCAGAGATGCTGTTCACACCTTCCAGGTCTGCGACGTGAGATCAGGGATGGAGGCGTCGCATACCCTCTGTCAGTGGCAGAGTGGGGAATGACAGGGCTGCGGGGCTGACCCCCTCCCTGGTGGACACTGGCTGCAGGACAGCCCAGAGCTGTTTCATCACAGAATCTTACTTTGTTTTCAGGCAGAAGCTTCGGAAGGGCTTTAGAAGACTTCAGAACACTGTCTTAGCAGGCTATATACAAGCAGACTATGGTTTTTACAAGGTACAGCGCCCTGGGGAGCCACCAGCTCTGTGGTTCACAGGTTCTTAGAGCATTCCTGGGGCTGTCGCTCTGTCTTCTTGCAACGATGTCTTCATTTCCTTGCAGGTGAATGTGCAGCTAACTCAAAGCCGGAAAGAAGGTAAGATGCTTGACTGCTCTGATGTGGCTCTCACCCTGGGCCTTTCTTGGTCTAGCTCCTGAGGTGGACCACTCTTCTCTCTTGGCCTTGGACTCCCCACTGTGCAGGGACCACAGTAGCCATGAATCCCAGGCTGGCCCTGGGGGGAATCATCGGGACCCAGCGTGGGCACCCATGTGTCTGAATCAGCATGAGGCACCTGCCCTGCCCTGGGACCCACTGGGAAGAAAGCAGAATAGCCCTGGGGGCCGTGAGCAGCCTGAGGACCCCGTGTGGAAAACACAGCCTGGCCCCCTGGCGCCCACGCCTTCCTCCTCCTGCTCCTCCCTGCCTCGTCCTCCTCAGTGCCCCTGCGTCCTGGGCCCGGGTCTCTGGCAGGCTGGAAGGCTGTGCACAGCCAGAGCTGCTTCCCTCTCCCCCTGTGGGTCCCTGCTGGTGCCAAGAAGGAGAAGGGGCTAGGCAGGAGGCAGAACGGACAGATGGAGCCCGGGGTCCACTGCCCAAGTGCCTCTGACCAGGGTCTTGAACCGCTGGGCCCAGGGATGCCCACAGGAGCCCCCAGGCTGCACCTCGAGCAGGAGCCAGGCCTGCCCTGGGCCTTGGGAGGGTCTGGCTGCCCCACGCTGTCTCCATGACCTGCTGGTGCTTGTCTGGGAGTGGGGGGAGCTGCCCTTGGGACCCAGCTCCTACAGCTGTGGGTGGGGGTGCACAGTGGGGTTCAGGCCGCCTTGGGTGAAGGACCTGCTGCACCTCAGGGAGCCCCTCTGCAGAAGGGGCTGGGCTGAGCCCCTTCTCACACCTGGATTTCTGTGTGTGTGGGGGGGGTCTCGGGTCCCTTTCTCACACTGGGGCTCTGCGTTGGGGGTGGTGTCTCGGATCCCCTTATCATGCTGGGGGCTTTGCGTGGGGGTTCTCAGCAGGTCTTCCTGGAGGAGGAGGTGTGGGAGCCCTGCCTGGCTGCATGCTGGGTGCTGTGGTCCTGGCAGCCTGGGGCAGGCCTGGCGTTGGCACAGGGCCCCACTGGTACCTGGGCGAACCTGACTTCCCTTCATTTCTCAGGACACTACGGCCCTGTTGTGGTGCTCAACTTCATCACTCAAGACCTGGGTGACTCCATATTTGAAAATCTCAAGACTGAAGTGAGTATTGTCCCTGGGCAAGGTGTGGGGCTCCTGCCGGTGCACGTGAGCGATCAGGTCCTCTCACCTTCTGTCTTCTAGATCGACTATGCCCGTTCAGCTGGGGCATCTGTTTACAATGTGGTGCTGGGCCGTTACAACAAAACACAGGTAACTCAGGACAGCGACCCAAGTGGAGCCTCGTCGGGGAAGGTGTCCAAGGCAGCTTTCCCAGGGCCTCCCGGTGGGGTGGATGGGAAGGGGTATTCTGCCCCGCCCCACATGGTGTGGGCCAGATTTGCCACAATCTTGTGGTTGACTCGGTGTTGGCTCAGACCTCCCAGCAGAGAGGTGAGGGCGAAGAGCTTCCTCCTGCCTCCAGCCAGGGTCCGGTTCTGTGGTCTGATGTTCCTCCATCCCCACATTGGAGGGCGGACCCTGTGTCCCGGCTGCGGGGCCCTGCCGCCTCCCCGAGCCACGTGTGGTCTCTTTAGGTGGCAGCATTGGAGGACAGACCCCAAGACACGATTAAGATCCAGGGAGGATTTAACTACATGCTGGGCGCCGTGGATGACGTGAGCACAGCTGCGAGCGAGCAGGGCCTGGGTCCTTTCCCTGCTGTCCCCAGGGTCTCACTTCCTGAACTCTGCACCTCCCCCCTCCATTCCAGGTTGTTAAAATTATCTGTCCTCAAGGTCTTGTATTGAAGAACACCACGGTGTGTGCGCAGGGTAAGAGCTGGGGCAGAGGGAATTGTGGGAGGAGGCGCACGGCTTTACACAAACAGGTTTCTATGAGTTTTTCAAAAACCTCATGTATGTGTAGATTTGCACATTATTGCATCAAAAGAAATTTGTCTTTTTTAAATAGAATATACTTTTTTAAGATTAATTAATTTATTTGAAAGGCTGAGTTACAGAGAGGCAGAAGCAGAGAGAGAGAGAGAGAGAGGTCTTCCATGCGCTGGTTCACTCCCCAATTGGCCGCAATGGCCAGAGATGAGCTGACCCAAAGCCAGGAGCCAGGAGCTTCTTTCAGGTCTCCCACATGGGTGCAGGGGCCCAAGGACTTGGACCATCTTCTACTGCTTTCCCAGATGGGAAGCAGAGTAGCTGGGACTCAATTTGGTGCCCAGATGGGATGCTGGCACTGCAGGCGGAAGCTTTACCCACTAGGCCACAGGGCTGGCACTGAAATTTGTCTTTATTTATTTTTTGACAGGCAGAGTTAGACAGTGAGAGAGACAGAGAGAAAGGTCTTCCTTCCGTTGGTTCACCCCACAAATGGCTGCCACAGCCGGCGCTCTGCGCCAATCTGAAGCCAGGAGCCAGGTGCTTCCTCCTGGTCTCCCATGTGGGTGCAGGGCCCAAGCACCTGGGCCATCCTCCACTGCCTTCCCAGGCCACAGCAGAGAGCTGGACTGGAAGAGGAGCAACCGGGACAGAATCCAGCACCTCAACTGGGACTAGAACCTGGGGTGCCGGTACTGCAGGCAGAAGATTAGCCTAGTGAACGGCGGCGCCGGCCTGAAATTTGTCTTTAAATTCTACTTTCCACGAACCTTCAGAGGTACCCTTCTGTCTGTGGGGTACGAGGTGGGTATGTGTGTGCAAAGATATTCTTATTTTCTCACCACAAATATCTCATTTTGTACATAGATAGATACACACACATACACACACCCTAAAGAAGGTGTCAGGGGAGTTTGAGAACAAAATGGGGAAGAGACCCAGGCCATGGCCTCAGTGGGTGGAGACAGAGAATGGGCACACCGTCTCTCACACCCGTGTGCTAGTGACACACAGAGGCAGCTCAGAGACACCCACAGAGATAGCCGGGCCGCCTCCCCCAGTGGTCAAGGGGCCAGCGCCTGTCCCTGAGGGCAGGAAGCTGACAAGGAGGCCCCTCTGCCTCCAGCCTGGGCCCCTGCCCCAGGGCACTGATCAGGCAGGTGCGGCCGTTGCCCTGAGGAGCTCTGGAGTCTGGAGTCAGGAGCTTCTTCCTAGTCTTCCACATGGGTGCAGTAGCCCAAGGACTTGGGACATCTTCTACTGCTTTCCCAGGCCATAGAAGAGATCTGGATGGAAAGTGAAGCCGCTGGGACTCAATTTGGTGCCCACAGGGGATGCTGGCACTACAGGCAAAGGCTTTACCCGCTAGATCACAGGGGGCGCACGGCTCCAACTTGCCCACTGCGGTCCATGGGAGAAAGGAGTCACGGGCATCCTCCCATGCTGGGGACGGCGCCCAGCCCAGCCGGCTGCATCCAGGCCCAAGCACTGGGTTCTGGCCTGCGGGTTCCCAGGTGTGAGGCTCCGTGGCACTGGGCTGTGGGGACAGGACTGTGCCCCTGACGGGAGCCAAGTGCCCAGTGTGTGGGGGCTGCCGCCCTGCCTACAGTCCACAGGGGCCCTCGGGCCGCTGCTGTGAGACTGAAACCAGGGGTGTGTGCAGTGAGAGGCTCGGTGCACGGAGGCTGCTAGGTGCCGGCCCCTGGAACTGCCCCTGGTCCTCCCACTGCCCTTCCCTGGCCCTGGGCTCCCCTGCACGCCCCCGGGTGGGACACAGGTTGGGTAGGGGGTGAGCGCAGTACTGGGGGTGGGGAGAGGCTGCCTCCCTGGGGTGTCCTGCTGCTGCTCCTGGCCCTGCACTGCTCGGATTCTGCCCCTGGGCACACACAGGCCTTGGCGCCAGGGCGGCAGGGAGGATGGGAGTTGGGGCTCCTTCCTGGGGAGCTGAGCCCAGGTGACAGGTGCCCCACCTGCCTGCTCCCCCATGGCTTCTGCCTGTCAGGCTATGCTGTCACCAGCCTGACTGTGAAACTGGGGGCCTTGTCCAAAGCTGCCACACAGGGGGTCCCAACCACGAGAGGGCAAGGCTAAGGCAGGAGCCTGACCCCTAGCCATCACCAGGAGCCGATTCCTTGGGCTGCCATCGAGCCTGGGCAAGGACTGTGGTCAGGGGTGCCCCTAGGTCCTGACACACAAGTGTCTCCGGCGTCACTGGAAATGGAAATGGACCAGGCCTGGGCAAGAAGGCAGCAGTGGGGGAGAAGTAGCTGGGTGTGACCAGAAGCCCTGGGCCATCCCGTCCAACCCTGTACCCTGCCTCTCTCAGGGGTTGGCTCAGGGGCAGGCAGACGGCACAGAGGGGAAGGGCTTGCTGAGCCCCAGGCTGGGTGGGCGTGGTCCTTGAGGGTCTGGAAGAGGCAGGGGAAGAGGTCAGGGCTGTGGTCTGAGCACCTACAGCTCAGACCGGATCCTCCTCCTGTGAAGCATTCTGGGAGCAGGTGCAAGGGCCTCCCCACCTCACTTCCCTAACCTGCCTGCCCCCATCCTGACCTTGCTCCTGAGGTCTCCACAGGCCGTAGGCACACGGCAATACAGGGGCGGTACAGGCCCCACTGGTTCATGGGCCCTGCAGGCATCCACACCTGAGCACCCAGCCCAGCATGCGGTGTGGTGTCTCCAATCCCGGCTGCCTCGGCTCACATCAGGAGCCCTGGCCGAACACCATGGCCGGCAGCCCTGTGGCCGCAGGGAGCACCTAGGGCCCTGGCTGCATTTGTCCCTTAGTGTCACAGAGGCATAGGGCCTTTCCCAGGGCTCCTTGGGTCATGGACTATGGCAGGAGAGGTCCACGTCCAGTCCAAGCCCACAGTCTGGACCCTCAGCAATGCTAGCCAGAGGCTGTCCCAGGAAAGCAGAGGGGTGGCCTCAGGTAGCCCGCTTCCAGGAGGAGCGCTGTGGGCTTCTGTGCTGGGCTGGATGGCCAGGATCCCTGAAGCCTGAGTGACGTGTGACACCTTCCTGCCCTACAGAAAAGTACACCGTGCATATTCTCGGACAATTCTCTGGCATTAGAGACGTGGTCATCTGCAAGTTCCACATACCCAACCAGAAGCCTGTCGGTAAGTCGTGCCCCAGGCCTTCCAGTCCCACGTCCCATGCCCAGCCTCGAGGTCCTTGCTCCCAGTACTCCAGGGACACTGCCAGGTGCCACCCTGTACTTGCACCTGCAAAGTGAGACTGTAAGAAACCCCCGCAGGACCCCAAGAATGTTGTGCAGCAGGGCCACACCCCTCAGCGAAGCTGGCTGGGTGCTGGCTGTGCCCCCACTGCCCTGTCCTAAGCTCAGCCTGTCCTGGATGGGAAATAGCAGCATCCTGGGACTCTGAGCCTGGCCATGTGCACAGGCATCTGGATTGACCTTGGGCTGAAAGGGTGCACAGGCTGTGCAGGGGCTGTCACTGCCTCTCCCCCACTGGGCAGCGCCGTGCACGCGGCCTCGGCAGCCAGGGATCGCTCTGCCCACACTTGCTCAGGAGTGGCTTAGACAGTGAGCAGCCCCTGCCTATGGGAGCTTCTGAGTATGGAGCCCTCCTTACCCCAGGCCCCGCCCAGCCTGTCACACCCTGTCCCCATGGAGCCCACAGTGGCCCTCCTGGAACTCCCGTGTGGGTGGAGACGGGGCGGGGCCAGGGAGGAGTGTGCCCCAGACACAGCTGTGGAGCCAGAGCTGGGAGGAGACCCAGGGCTCTGCCAGTATAGTCAGGGCTCCCTGCCTCCCCAGGGTGACAGGTTCTGGGAAAGGCGGGGCCCAGTCGACACCCAGTCACTGGTTTTCTCTCCATGGTGGGCCCTTCTGGAGAGCCTAGGCTTCAGTCTGGGGCCTCTGCAGACAGCCACCTGCGCCTGGTCCAGGACTATGCCCATGGTGGCCCCACTCAGCTGGAACCTGAGATGATGCTGAGGATGGCTTGTGCAGGTTTTAACCATTTGAGTACCATTTTAGAAAGCAGAGGGGATCCTTAACCAGTGCATTCTACACTTGTGTTTCTATGTGCTCTGTGGTCACTAAACAAGATGTTTATTGCAGCATTTGGAATATTTGGGACACACTGGTCCATCGTGGCTTGAAAATTCCTTTCCCATAATCCCAGCTATGCTGCACCTTCTGCCCAGGCCAAAAGAGCCACAGCAACCATGCCCAGGTGCACCTGCCCTCCCCTGGCCCTTCCTGTACCGCCCTGAGCCTCTGACAGCAGAGTCTCTCCCACCCGCCGTAGGTAGCTGTCTATGCCCAGGTCATCCCAACCATTACATGCAAGCAGCACAGCTCTTCCCCGCTCAATCCCTTGGGGCCATTCTCACGGTCAGCACCATGTGGGGAAAAGCACAAGTTCCCGAGTGAGGACCCACAACTGAGTCCCATGGGACTGGGCCAGGGCATGACGATGGCCCTAAAGACATCAGGTGCCAGGAGAGGCAACAGAAATTATATCTAAAACAGAATACTCGTTATAAGCTTGTCATTTTACATGAGAGGCCTTTCCAATACCTTTGAAATCCCTGCCTTTGTATAGAAATGAGGCAGCTTCAAAACAAATAACTAGAACGCAGGTGAGGAAGGAAAACCCCACCCCTGCTCCCGCATCCAAAGGTCCAGCAGGCAGGTGTCTTGATACAGCTTTTAATTCTCCTTGACTACGATGGAGAGAAACAATGAAGTGGGACTCAAGACACCGTGAGGTCCCACAGCACATCCTCCTGAGTCCCTTCCACTCCCACGAGCTGCCACGCAGTACACAGGAGGTGACAGAACCACTCGGATACCAGGCCAGGACCCGGGCATTTCTTATGGATTGTGGTTGGTGCAGTCAGCAGCAAAATGAACTTGCAGTCCAACCTGGTCCCAGGAGGTCCCGCCTACCTCTCCTGGCTCCCTTCCTTCCCTCCCCAGCAAGCCCAGCTACGACTGCCCCAGGGCCTTGGCACAGGCCTTTGCACACTCCAGAGTGCTCCCCCAGGCTGCCCCATGTGGTGTCACTGCACCCTCCCCTCCTCAGAGAGCACACCTTGCAGTGGCTGTGGTCAGCAGTACACAAAAGCAGCAGCGGGAAGTGCGTGGTGACCGTGACACACCCATCACCTGCTTCCTGCAGTCACCAGCCCCTGCCAGTGTCCTGACGCCGCCCCTGCACAGCGTGGGGAAGCCAGTCCTTGGGGTCGCATCATCTCACGGGCAGACCCGCAGTCTCTCTACAAGACAAACGTGTCTGTGACAGACGGGACAGGTCACCCATGACTAAACAGCCGCCGCCGTCCCCCACCCCCACCCCACCCCCGGGTCCCCTGTCCCTTCCTGTGCTCATCCCTGTCACTGCGTTTGACTCTCGGGCATTTGTGTTGCTCTGTTGTCTTGTCCCTGTCACCCTCGGTCCCTAGCAGGTGACGTCCTGCACAGCAGGGCCTCCTCCTGCCAGCCCCTATTAAACAGCAAGCACTGCCCAGGGTGGAGGGGGGTGGCTCAGTCAACAGCAGGTGCCTGGGAGCAGAGGCAGGCAGAGAGAAGTGGGCCTTCCATTGACTACGTGTGACTCTGCCTGCCCAGGGCATCGGCTTGGTCAGAGTGCAGGTGTAGTACACGCCCATTGACATTCTCTTTCAACCCTTTGCATATAGATGTCAAAGCCATCAGTACCAGTGACACCGTAATAATGTGCCAGGGGCCTGTTGTATCGGAACCGTATCAGTAAGTGCCCTGGACTGCAGGCCCTGTGGACAGGAGAGCTGGTGCTCAGAGTTGGCCACCACCTGGTGTACCGTGTGTGGGCACCCCTTCCAGTGGGCAGCACGTGCCTGGCTGCAGGTGGCGGCAGGGCACCCTCCCTACCTGCCCGTGGGCGTAGCTCAGGACCCACACTAGCCCGGGATGTGCTGTGGAAGAGTGGGTGGATTGCAGGAGATCATTGCCCAAGGAATGGCACCTGTGCCCCAGGTCCCACAGCAGCAATGGTGACACACCTGGGAAAACCCAGGAGAGTTGGGACGACAACATCGTGCTGCCCTCTGGGGCTGTTAGTCTTGGCCACTATGGCTTCAGACACCAGGAGGGCCATCACGGCCTGATCCACTGGAAAGGGGCACCTGTGGCCACACAGTCCACTCTTGGTGGTCCTGAGGGTAGGGTCTCCAGAGGGAGGAGCCCAAGGAGAATTGAGGGGTTGTGGGGGTCTAGGCTCACCAAGGACAAGACCCATGTATCCCTACGTGACTTTTCTTCTCTCTCTTTCTGGACATTTAGGGTAGTGACGATTGAAGTCAGCCTGAACAATGGGAAAACATTCAACCCCAGCAAACTCAAATTGGGCATCTTCGATTGTGTGAGTACAAGGAAAGGAGGCCTGAGCCAGTGGACACACACACCCTGGGGAGGACAGAAGGGACAAGGGTACCTGGAAATGGCTCCATCTTTGTTCCAGCAGGGTGGGATTCTGTGGGAATGGTCAAGAAACAGGGCACCCGGGGCCTGACAAGCTGCGACAAGGGAGTGTGCCAGCCTTCTTTCCTTTCTTTATTTTTCTAAAGATTTATTGCAGGGTGAGAGGGAGAGCAAGAGAGAGAGAAGGAGAGAGAGAGAGAGAGAGAGAGGTGTTTTCCCTCCACTGTTCCCTCACAAAATGGCCACAACGGTTGGAGTTCATCTGATCCGAAGCCAGGAGCCAGGAGCTTCTTCCGGGTCTCCCACATGGGTGCAGGGGTCCAGGCACTTGGGCCATCTTCTCCTGCTTTCCCAAGAGTATTAGCAGGGAGCTGGATGGGAAATGGAACAGCTGGGACCAGAACCGGTGCCCATATGAGATGCCGGAAGAGCTGGCAGTGGCCTTACCTGCTCCACCACAGTGTCAGCCCCAAGTTGTGTTTCTGAGTGAGCACACCCGGCTCTATACCTGTTCACACCCAAGCTCCCCAAGGAGGGCAGTCCCCTGCTGTCGCCAGCAGCTGCCCACAGGTTCCTCCCCGCCTCCCCGGCTGTGTGCTCTGCCCCTCTCTCTGCCTTGGGCAGAGGCCACGTTCTGCTCACGAGTGGGCACCTGGGAGTGCAAAGGCAGCTGCTCAGGGCCAACCCCTCCAAAGTCCTTGTCTTCCCAGCACCCTGGGCTGGAGCAACGTGGTGGGAGACGGGGCCTTGGAGGCCTCCTTCCAGGGTCTTGGGTTGGGAAAAGTCCTCTGTTTGGGTCTGCCTGGCTTGTCCTGGCACTTCAATGCCCACGGCAGTAAAAGGACTCACCGTGTGCTCAGCGAGAGTCCCACCAGGGACACGGCCCAGCCACAGGCACCATTCGCAGGGAACTCAGCCCTGTGGCCCCAGTGCAGCCAGGTGGGCCCCAGAGCCCAGCTGTGTTGTTGCTTCTCTCCAGCCGGAGTCCCGGCATTGGCCCTTCCTGGCCTGCTCGCCTCTAGCCTCCTCTGTCAGCACAGCACCTGCTTAGGGGAGGATGCAGCAGCCTGTGCCCCCCAGGCTGCAACTCCAGGTCCCTAGTGTGAAAGACAAGCATGACCACACCCACACGTGCCCCCAGGGAGGGCTGCTGCTGTCCTTGGGCAGATGGGAGGTGCATAGGGAGTTCAGAGCTGCCCAGCCAGGACATGGGGAGAGAGGCCCTGGGATTTAGCTCCAAGTCTCTGGCCCTGCCCTTGGGCGGGCCCAGGTGCCGACCCTCACCCATCTGGGCGCCTGTACCTGGGCAGCCTCACCAAGCCCTGATTGTCTACCAAGGGGAGCGGTGACAGCTAGGACAGTAACACTGTGGGGGCACCTGAGCCTGCATTGGCTAGGGCGGAGCCAGTGGGCAGGGGCAGAGGTAGGCTGTGCTGCTCTCTGGGTCTGGCCCCTGACCCCAGCCCTGGAGTGGGCAATGGGGATGCCCAGAGGGGCGAGCCCCGATGAGGGTGCAGCCAGGCCTTCCACCAGCCTCTGCCAGAGCTGCTGTGAGTGTGGTGTGGCCCCAAGCTGAGCTCTTCCTCCCACAGAATCCTGACTCCACACGGAAGACCACGACTCGGAGGACGACAACGACCACGACCACAACCACCACCACGACGACCACGACGACCACCACCACCACCACGACCACGACGACCACGACCACGACCACCACCACCACCACCACCACCACCACCACCACCACCGTCCCAACCACTGTCACAACCACTATGCCCCCCACCACGATTATTACAGACGTACAGGACGACAGCAAGTTCATTCATATCCCCGTCCTGCTGTTCCTGCCACTGCTCCCGCTGGTACTGTGCTGCTGCAGGGTGCAGCGCCACAGGGTGAGTGCCCCCTCCTGCCCAGCCAGGGGCCCAGGCCATGCCCACCACCCAGGGGCCTGCACCTGGTCCGGCCCCTGACCTTCCTCTGGCCAGTGTCCCAACTACTCTGTGGTCATCTCTGGAGCTGGTGGTGTCACAGACCCTGTCTTCCCACCATGGCTGCACCTGACCCTGAGTCTGGCCTCACTCTGGCCTCCTGCCCCAGGCTGGTCCCAGGAACTTGGCCTGGGACACCTGAACTCTGGACCAAGGTCTACTCTGGTCCATGGAGAAGGGCCACCCCAGTCCCTGAGAACAGGGCTGGCTCTTAGCAGCCAGGGGATGACCTCTGTGGGTGTCCTGGGAAGGCCTAAGGGCCCCAGATGGAGGGGGAGGCAGACCATGGAGGATGAGGAGCCCCCGGGGGAGGGAGGCCTGATGCTCCAGGAGCTGGAGCCTGCTGGGCACAGTGCCACAGGCACGGGGTGCCAGATGGACACCCCCAAGGCCACGCTCTTTGCTGCTGCCCAAGACCAGGCTCTACCCAGCACCATGCAGCCCCCATCTTTGTCTCTAACATTCTAGACTGAAGAGGAGCCACCGCTGCCACCCCCAGAAAAGGTCAGTGTGGATTTGGTTTTCATTTGTTCCCTGCCTGGAAAGGACGGGGACCCTCACCCACAGCATCCTGAGGCCTGGGCCCAACGTCTCCCTCCCAAGGGGCAGGGGACTGTCCCGGGGCCTGGGACCTACAGTGATGACCTCAGAAGACTCCCTCCTACCTCCCAGCAAACCTGTCCCCTGGCCCTGCTCAGGGCATCAGCACCTTAGGAGCGTGTGTGGGCCTTGGGACAGTCCTTGCTGACACAGGGGCTCCTGTCCACCCCAGGGTGCCCCTAGCAGGCTGCTGAGGATTGGCTGGGCTCATGCCCAAGCAGCCCCAGGTTTCAGGGCCCTGGTCCCACCTGCTGGCCTGGGATGAGTGTGGGGCTCCTTGGAATTGGTCTTGGCTTTGACTCTTGGCAGGGCCCAAGGGTGAGCCTGGGTTGGCCCTCGGGGAGGGGCAGGATGAGGGGGGCAGTGGTGTCCCTGGGCACTGAGCTTATGTTGGTGATCGGAGGGCAAGGGTGGGTGAGCCGGGACCATAAGCAGTAGCAGGTGGCCGAGGCAGGGAGCATCAGGCCTGGTTCTGGCCTGGGTGGGAAGACGCCTCCTGCCCAGGCAGATCTCAGGTGGGCAGCAGCGTGGGCAACCTGGAGCCAGGTGGCTGGGGCAGTCACATGTAATGCTGGGACAGCACAGCCTTCAGGCAGACCTCAGCCTGCAAAGGTGGCACCAGCATCTGGGGAGGGGCCCTGTCGGTGCACGGAGGCTGCTGTGCGAGGTCCCCACTGAGGGCTCCGTCCTGAGCCTTCTTTCAGTCACTCCACAAACATCAGCCAGCGCCGTGCCAGGGCAGGGACGGGACCCCTCACAGTTGCAGGCAGGGAAGTGGACAGTGACACCTGTTTCTCTTCTTGAAGCCCAAGAAAGTGCCTCCCCCACCACCACCGCCACCACCCCCGCCGCCCCCTGTGACTGTGTGCCCCACGGTGATCGTCTGCCGCTGTGCCTGCCGGGGGGTGTGCATGGACAGAGGGCTACAGGTGACCAGGGTCCTGCGGGAGGGCTGGGACCCCGGGCTGGGGCTGTATTGAGGTGTGGCTCTGCAGGCAGAGACTGGGACCCCCCAGCATTGGGGAGGGTGGCCCCCCAAGGCCTGCCCAGGTGTGGGACCACGAGAATGCTGATGAGCCCCGCCCCCCAGGCCCGGCCCAAACCAGGGCCTCCCCACTGGCTGCACCCAGGTCGTAGACATGGGGCTGACCTTGGTATCACACCTCAGGCAGCAAGTCAGTGTCCAGCCCTGGGCCAGCAGGTGCATGAGTGAGGGAGGTGCCCAGGCCAGGGGTACACATAGGGCATCACTGCCTTCTGCCCAGCGCGATGCTTCCAAGAAAACCCGGGCCTGGCGAGCCCCGGCTGTGGGCTCCATGGGCTGGGGGGAAACAGCTGTCCCTGGCCGTGCTGCCTGCTGAGCGGGGGGCACTGAGCTGGCCCAGGAGGGGACACGGGACCCTCAGGGGCCATCATGAGCTCCCACACAGCAGGCTGTGCCCGGGGTTGGACACATGGCAATTGGTGTGAAAGCCGCTGCCTCCCACAAGTCCCTGGGTCCATTCTCGGGACGCAGAGACTGGCCAGGCAGCAGCCTGGGGTCCCAGGAAAGGATGGAGGGACCCCTAGTGGCCAGCTTTGGCAGGAAGACCCCAGGACCAGCTCTGACTGGGGTGGGGATCCTCGTGTTCTCCTGCGAGCTCCCGGCTTCTCTGCAGCCTCAGAGGGCAGCTGTGAGGCCGCCCTCCCTGTCCCCTGACCGTGCTGGACACAGAGCAGCCCGGCCACGCCCTCCAGGGAGGGAAGCCGACCACTGCCCAGGCCTATCAGCCTGCAGAGTGCGGCCCCGCCCTCCCCAGGGCCCAGACTGTGGGCCTGGACTGCAGGGCCCCACAGGGCTCCTTCTGGCCTGGGCTCTGCTTCCTCCCCTCTCGCCCCAGCTGTCAGACACCTGCCTGTCCCCCTGAAACGCACAGGGCCCCTACTGGACGCTCCCTGTGCCGACCCCTGATGCAGGCCTCTTCCCCCTTCCTCCCGCTCCTGCCCAGGCCCTGATGCGCACCACGTGCCCCCCGTCCCCCACATATCCCTCCACCGTGAACTTCCCCCTCAGGCCAGCCCTGAATTCCCTGCTTCCTGCTCCAAAGAGGCTGCTTTGTTCCAGACCCAAACTCTGCGTGGCGGGCAGCGAGCGCCCCATAAACACGCAGGCACCGGCCCCGCCCAGGAGGAGGCTGCAGCCTGGTCCCGGGATTCTGGAGGTGGGGTCCGTGCTCAGGGGGCTTGCTCACGGCCACGTCTGCTTTTCAGGGCACCCTGGATGGCTTCTACAACTACATCCAGCCCACCTGCCACCCTTCACCGATGATGTTGTGCCGGGCCAGGGGCCAGGTGAGCTGGGCTCAGGGATGCTCCCCGGGGCACAACAGCCACTGCTTTTGCCCTTGACACTTGCCCGCTGGGACCATGGCTCAGAGTCAGGGCTGGCAGGTGCCAAGAGGAATGCCCTGGACACAGAGCTGACAGCTCCTGCTCATTGCCCCATGCATGGCCGTGACCAGTCCCTTGGGGCAGCAGTGCTGGGGACGTGGTAGCAGCTGCTTGTGGCCAGCACTGACCAGCCCAGGGCCCTCCCCCTCCCTCATGCCCAGATGCTGAAGGGGCATGCCCACAGCTGGGAGGCACACAGCAGGGAGGCAGGAGCCGCACACTCCAGAGCAGTGCGGGGGGCAGGCAGCACTGGGAGGGCCTGGAGGAAGGCAATGCACCCAGCCCAGTGTCACCATGAATAGAGCCAGGGACAGGTGTGTCACTGGGAGGCCCACCTGCTGTGGCTGCCTGTGCACCCCCCCCCCCCCATCTGCCTTTCAGTCCTGGAAGCCCCTCCAGGGTTTGGATGAGGGCATGCGGGTCACTGTGTCTCTGCTCTCAGCTCTGACTCAAATGCAGCTGGGCCTCAGCTCTGCACTCAGCACCCAGTGCCGGCCCCGCACACCACAGGAGCCTCATCCTTTGCACCTGTCGGGGGCTTTGGCTCCTGCTCATCTGAAAAGCACTCACTGAGCAGAAATCAAGGAGCGCCCAGGGCTCAGCTCCCTGCCGAGGCTCTTGACCGTCTGGACCCCTCGCCTTCCCCAGTTCTAGAGCTCAGCACCCCCTTCCTTGGATGCTGGCCCCTCTGTCCATCCACAGAGACAGCCATGCAGAGAATTCCCTGGTCTCCATGCCACACTGGTCCCAGGCTCTCTTCTCTCCTGTCCTCAAGCTTCCCTCTGCCTCCCCCTGATGGGGACTTCTGGTATTACATCAGCGCCCAGCCCAGGTTCCACAGCCACAGGCACCAAGTACCTCCTGCCTGGCCAGGGACTTGGACACAGGTTCTCAGCATGATGGACAGGACATCGTTCTGAGCTTCTACTCAGCCTACCAGGAGGGACAGGTGTTTGGCACCTGTGCTCTGTCGGGAAGGAGGCCTCCAGGCTCGGGGGCCACTAGCCCCGGGCCACCAGGGGCTTCACCAAGGTCCAAGCTCTGGGTCCTGATGCTCCTGCCCCATCCCTTTGACCCACCCACCACTGCCTTCTGGCCCAGTGGAAACGCCAGCCCCAGCCCCCTCTCTCTGTTCTCTTCCCTCCAGGAGAGGTGGCCCAACCTCGCCCTCATGAAGGCCCCAAGCAGCTCCAGCCTCTGCCTTCAACCCAGCCTGGAGAGTCACCCCCTCACCTGGTGTTCCCAGTGCCACCACCTCCCAGACAGGTGCGCCAGGCCTTCCGCCAGGACGCTGCCGCTGCCCGCTCCCCAGAATCAGGCTCTCTGCAGGAGCACCTTGTCCCTGCCTCCCCTGTAGCCCGGCCTCTCGGCACCCACACCCCAGATGAAGAGGCTTTGCTTGCTGAGTGTGACGTGTGCACGAGTCTTGCTTTATGGGCAAAGCAGTAGGAGCCTGTTGCCAGTGGCCAGGGCTTGTCACCTGGGGAGACACTGCACTGTGGGAGATGACCTCTGGGTGCACCTGCTGGGACATGGCACCTAGGGTGGTGTGGCCTCAAAGCATGGGTGAGCCTCTGTCCCAGCAGCCCTGTCACCGAGAGCTGGGGACACAGGGACATGTTTCCCGATCTCTATGAGAACAGTCCCCAAGCGTCTGTGATATGAATTTGACCCTCATCTCTCCCAACCGCTAATGTTCCAGAGAAGCCTTCGAATGCCTAGTGCTGGGTGCTTCATGGTAGGGTCTCATGGTATGGCCACATAAAACTCTGAGTCAAGGAGGCAGCGAGGCCACCTCCCTCAGGAAGCCAGACCTCCTTCCTGACCCCCACACTGTCCCCACATGCATGGGCACTCGGGATCTTGGGATTCTGTCTGCTCTTCTAAGAGAAGCCACACTGTGTCCTTCTTTTTTTAAAAAAAGCTTTATTATTTATTTGAATGGCAGAGGTAGAGAGGGACAGAGAAGTCTTCCATCTGCGGGCTCACTCCCAGGTGGCCACGTTGGCTAGAGCTGGGTCAATCCAAAGCCAGGAGCCAGGAGCGTCTCCCAAGTTTCTCATGCCTGCGCAGGGGCCCAGCCCCCGGGCTGTCCCCTGCTGCTTTCCCAGGCGCATTAGCAGGGAGCTGGAACTCTGGATCTCTCCTGGGTCTCCTCCCAGCTCTGGCTCCATAGCTGTGTCTGGGGCACACTCCTCCCTGGCCCCGCCCCTGTCACCACCCACACGGGAGTTCCAAGAGGGCTACTGTGGGCTCCATGGGGACAGGGTGTGACAGGCTGGGGGGGCCTGGGGTAAGGAGGGCTCCATACTCATGAGCTCCCATAGGCAGGGGCTGCTCACTGTCTAAGCCACTCCAGAGCAAGTGTGGGCCGAGGGACCCCCAGCTGCTGAGGCCGCGTGCATGGCGCTGCCCAGTGAGGGAGAGGCAGTGACAGCCCCTGCACAGCCTGTGCACCCCTGGGGAGGAGCTGGCCCAGAGCCTCCTGGGGGGAGGGGTGCCTGCAAACAGTGTCCTCGAGTCAGGGGAAGGCAGCTGGGGGCCACGTGGGGGAGCTGAGGAGGGTGCAGCAAGTCCCCAGTGTCCCAGGCAGTCCCTGGGGAAGGCCACGCCCACCTCAGCCCCAAGGACACAAAGTTGGCTTGGCCTGTGCTTCCTGAGCGCCGCCACAAGGTGCCCGGTGCTGAGTGCCATCGGATCCTAGGCTCCGACCTGAGTTTCTAAGCTCTGCTCTGCACCACCCGGGCTGCAGAGACTCCTGGCTCAGGCAGTGTAGCTGCCATACTGGCTCTGTCCACAGTAAAGAGAACAGGGGCTGCCGGGGGAGCAGGTGTTTGGTGAAGGTCACGCAGCCTGGGTGTGCCTGAGCCGGGATCCCTGTGCCCACGCGTGGCTGTGGGCATCTCTCAGTCCAAGGTCAGTCCACACCCCTGCGCCACCTGGCCAGGCTCCGAGCACCAGGGCTGCTGCTGTGTCCCTTCTGCATCTTCCTGTTCCCTGAGCCCACCCTGCATCTCACTGTGAGCCCATGTGGGACAGCTTAGGGCAGGGTAGCACACACACACCTGGTGCTGCGCCCAGAACTGATACCAATTTCTTCACCTCAATGGGCACCCAGGAAAGTTGGGCCCTGGATAGGCAGATCTGCAGATCGAACCCATTACAGATCAAAGGTATAGTTAGGCCTATAGCAATTGCATCGGTACTGGACATGTGCAGACTTTTTGTTTTTCTTGCCATCTTTTCCATAAACTGCATAGTTTGAGAGTATTTCAAAAAGTTGCTGCAAATATCAAAGTACCCTCCATAACAACTCGCCTGGGTTTGGCTGCTGATTTTCCCCTCCTTACCAGGAAGTGGCCGTTGCCAAGGCCACCTGTTGTCATGGCTCCCCCTGGGTGTGCCCCTTGCCCTGCCCACCCTGCCCCCACATTATGACACTGCCTTCAGCACAGGGCTCCCCCTACTGCCCAGGACGTTCTCTCAGCCTCCTTTGCAGGCTGCCCCTGTCTCTGCCCAGATTCCAGCCCCCACAGTCCAGAGGGAGCAGGCCTTTGCCTCCTGTCTTCTCTCTGGGTTTCAGCCGCACCCATGGCTTCAATTTACCCATTAAACTCAGGGCATCCATGTCCCATATCACAGTAACTGGGCTTGATTCCCTGCTGTGGCTCCTGCTAGTACAGACTCTAGGAGATTGTGGTGGCCCAAGTAATTGGGTTCCTGCCACCTACAAGGGAAACCTGGTCGAGTTCCCACCTCCTGGCTTCAGCTTGGCTCAGTCCTGGCCATTGCAGACATTTGGGGAGTGAACCAGCAAATGGGTGTGCTGTGTTCCTCCTGTTTCTCTCTCTCTCTCTCTCTCTCTCTCTCTCTCTCTCTGCCTCATAATAAACAAACATAAAAGTAAATAAATAAATAGATTTAAACTCTTCCCAATGCTAGTCTTTTACCCAGACATTGCATATGAGCCTTGGCATGCAACTGGGTGTCTCACAGGCATCTTGGCTTTGACAAACCCCCAAAGAGGATTTACCCTCCTCCTCCCCAGGTCCGTTCCTCTTACACAGTGGCTCTGCAGCCACCAGCTGCTTGAACCCCAAACAGAAATCATCCTTGATCTTCCCCTGCCCTTCACACCCTCCATTCAGCTGGACAGGTGCACCTGCCTCAGAAGGAACTAGACTCATTCAGAAGGAAGCAACAGGTGGCGGATGACCTGGGCCTCTTAGGAGCTCTGTGCTTGTTCCCCCCATGGACCAGAGCAATGGACGTCCCGAGGAGTGGGGAGGGATGCGAAAGGAGTTTTAGCAGATCCTACCTCCCTGTGCCCCAGGACAGAGGGGTAAGCGTTAATAATTGAAAGTGTCTTAAAATTATAGTGTCTTTCTGGGACCAAGGAGAGTGACTGGAGGAAAAGAAAGCTGTCTTTCTATTCTTACTCTGCTGGGTTCTGATTGTTCAATAAACCACTCATGATAAACAGGACAGCACTCCTATTTAAGACTTTTCAAAGACATCCTGCTAGGCTTTGCATGAAACCTGAACTTTGCATGGTGGGGGGGCTCCGTGCTGTCCACCTTTCCACCCTGAGTGGTTTCTAGTCCCAGAAATTATGGGATATGTACGCTATAGAATACTACACAGCAATAAAAAAAAATGAAATCCGGTCATTTGCAACAAAATGGAGGAATCTGGAACCCATCATGCTGAGTGAAATAAGCCAGTCCCAAAAGGACAAATATCGTATGTTCTCCCTAATCAGTGACAACTAACTGAGCACCAAAAAGGAAACCTGTTGAAGTGAAATGGACACTATGAGAAACAGTGACTTCATCAGCCCTTGTCCTGACTGTTGATGGACAACTTAATACTTATCCCTTTTAGTATTTTTTTGTCCTACTTAACACTATTGGTTGAACTCTGTAATTAACACACAATTATTCTTAAGTGTTTAAATTTAACTGAAAAGTGATCTCTGTTAAATATAAGAGTTGGAATAAGACAGGGAGGAGATGTACAATTTGGGACATGCTCAATCTGACTTGCCCCAAACGGTAGAGTTAGAAATGTGCCAGGGGATTTCAATTCCATCTCACTAGTCCAAGTGATCAATTTCAGTTCACAATGCATCATAATGATAGGTCTAAGAGTCAAAGAGATCACATAAACAAGACTAGTGCTGATAGAATTAAGAAGAAGAGAATGATCCAACATGGGAAGCAGGATACAGCAGACTCATAGAATGGCAGATGTCCTAAACAGCACTCTGGCCTCAGAATCAGCCCTTAAGGCATTCGGATCTGGCTCAAGAGCCCATGAGAGTATTTTATGCATGGAAAGCCAAGACACTCTGGCAAAAAACAAAAACAAAAACAAACAAACAAACAAAAAACTAAATGAAAGATCTCTGCGAGTGAGATCCCAGCGGAAAGAACGGGCCATCAAAGAAGGAGGTACCTTTCTCTGAAGGGAGAGAGAACTTCCACTTTGACTATGACCTTGTCTAAATAAGATTGGAGTCGGTGAACTCAAAAGGCTTCCATAGCCTTGGCAACTCATGACAAGAGCCTAGGGGGATTACTGACACCATAAACAAGAGTGTCAATTTGTTAAGTCAACAAGAGGAGTCACTGTTCACTTACTCCTCAAGGAGGATCTCTGTCCTTAATGTGTTGTACAATGTGAATTAATGCTATAACTAGTACTCAAACTTTGTACTCAAACTCAAATGTTGATGATATTGATTTTTCCAATCCATGAACATGGAAGATTTTTCCATTTTTTGGTATCCTCTCTTCTATTTCTTTCTTTAAAATTTTGTAATTCTCATCATAGAGCTCTTCGACCTCCTTGGTTAAGTTTATTCCAAGGTATTTGTTTTTGTATCTAGTTGTAGCTATTTGTAGCAGTTCTTTCTCAGCCATAGCATTGCCTGTGTATACAAAGGCTGCTGATTTTTGTGCAATGATTTTATATCCTGCTGCTTTGCCAAACTCTTCTATGAATTCCAATAGTCTCTTTTTGACAGGCAGAGTTAGACAGTGAGAGAGAGGCAGACAGAGAGAATAGGTCTTCCTTCCATTGGTTCACCCCCCAAAATGGCTGCCACGGCTGGCACACCACACTGATCTGAAGCCAGGAGCCAGGTGCTTCCTCCTGGTCTCCCATGTGGGTGCAGGCCCCAAGTACTTGGGCCATCCTCCACTGCCTTCCTGGGCCACAGCAGAGAGCTGGACTGGAAGAGGAGCAACTGAGACAGAATCCAGTGCCCCAACTGGGACTAGAACCTGGGGTGCCGGCGCCACAGGCGGAGGATTAGCCTAGTGAGCCACTGCGCTGACCCCTAATAGTCTCTTTTTTTTTAAACTTTTATTTCATGAATATAAATTTCCAAAGTACAGCTTATGGATTACAATGGCTTTTCCCTGCGATAACTTCCCTCCGACCCGCAACCCTCCCCTTTTCCACTCCCTCTCCCCTTTCCCACTCCCTCTCCCCTTCCATTCACATCAAGATTCATTTTCAATTTTCTTTATATACAGAAGATAAATTTAACATATATTAAGTAAAGATTTCAACAGTTTGCACCCACACCAAAACACAAAATGTAAAATACTGTTTGAGTACTAGCTATAGCATTAAATCACAATGTACAGCACATTTAGGACAGAGATCCTCCATGAGGAGTAAGTGCACAGTGACCCCTCTTGTTGACTTAACAAATTGACACTCTTGTTTATGGTGTCAGTAATCCCCCTAGGCTCTTGTCATGAGTTGCCAAGGCTATGGAAGCCTTTTGAGTTCACCAACTCTGATCTTCCCCAATAGTCTCTTAGTAGAGTTCCTTGGGTCCCCTAAATAAAGAATCATATCATCTGCAAAGAGGGATAGTTTGATTTCTTCCTTCCCAATTTGTATCCCTTTAATTTCTTTTTCTTGCCTAATGGCTCTGGCTAAAACTTCCTGTACTGTATTGAATAGCAATGGTGAGAGTGGACATCCCTGTCTGGTACTGGATCTCAGTGGAAATGCTTCCAACTTGCACCTGTGTGTGGCTCCTAGTTGTGACCGGGTGGATGTGTCTGATGGAGGGGAGTCATTGGGTGGTGGCTCACATCCTTTCTGCGCTGTGTCGGTCTGAGGAATTCCTCAAGGTCTTGAGGGGCTGCCCTGCTTCTTAAGGCCAGAGGGGTACAGACGGTCTCACCACTTCCCCCTCTGTATGCTCCTGGCACATGTGTGCCACAGCAAAACGATGACATGAAGCTCCCAAAGCTCCTGCACTGGGCCACATCTGAAAAGGCAACAAACCTACATGTGCAGAAGCCCTGTTAAGGGTGCCCAGATGACTGCTAACATTTAATGAATCCTTACAGTGTTCCATGTGTAGTACCAGCCAGTTTAGATGCATTAGTGATTTTTTAAAAAATATTTTAAAATGTATTTTATTTATACATTCAAGAGTCAGGGAGATACAGAGGACACACACACACACACACACCTAGACAGAGAGCTATCATCTGCTGGTTCTATCCCCAAATGCCCACAACAGCTGCAGGCCAGGAGCTGAGGCAAGAGAGCCAACAACTCAATCTGTGTCTCCAGAAGGACCCTACTACTTGAGCCGTCACTGCTACCTCTCAGGCAGTGCATTAGTAGGAATTGGAAGGAGAGTTGGGACTCAAACCCACGAACTCTAATATGGGTTTCTGATGTCCAAACTGGTATCTTAACCATTAGGCTATAAATATCCACCCCAAGAGCTTTAATGTATTTAGTTTCCAAAACAGCTTCATGTGACAGGCAATATTATTATCATCTTCATTTTACAGGTGGGAAAATTGAGCACAGAGATACTAATTAACCCACCCAAGGTTACAGAGATGAAGGAGGCAGAGGTGAGACCAGTAATAAACTTTGTATGCTGACAGAACAATTCACCATTACTCAGAAATGAATGCTTTAAATAATTACATGTGTAAAACTATTATTGTATTTTTGGTATTATTTTATTTATTTTCTTCTCCAAAAAAAGTCTCAAGAAATGATACCAAGTTACTTGTCACAAGATTCCAAATCCTATTAAGTTGGCAGGTACTACTGCCATCTTATTAAAGTGATCATTTTACGTGCATAACTGATCATAAAGATAGGAATAAGTGTCAAAGGGATTACATAAATAAGACCAGTGTCTGCTAATACTTACTGATAGAATTAAAAAGAGAGAATGATCCTACATGGGAAGCAGGATACACAGCAGACTCATAGAATGGCAAACGTGCTAAACAGCACTCTGGCCTCAGAACCAGTCAATAAGTCATTCAGATCTAGCTAAAAAGTCCATGAGAACATTTCAGGCACAGAAAGCCAAGACACTGTGGCAAAAAAATGGCCTACATGAAAGATCTCTGTCAGTGAGATCCCAGCGGAAAGAAGGGACCAACAAAAAAGGAGGTCTCTTTCTCTGAAGGGAAGAGAAAACATTCACCTGTCTAAATAAGGATGCAGTTTGTGAACTCAAAAGGATTCCATTGCCTTGGCAGCTCATGACAAAAGCCTCGGGTGATCATTGATGTCATAAATAAGAGTGTTAATTGTTAATCAACAACATTCACTTGACTTATGTACTGAACAGTTTTACATTTACCCTCAAGTGTCAACTAGGGCAATTTTAAAGCAACCTTTTTTTTTTTTTTTTGATGAACACACATTTCCTGATTTCTTGTGAGTTTCTATTAACTTGCACTGGTATTTTCTACTTATTTCTACCATAATATTCACACCACATTCATACCATAAAATTTTATATTGCAGCAAGTGTAAAAGCTCCAGTTAACTACCTATAAATTTGGTCCAAGGGACTCCATTACTTTATGAGTATCTTTCCACAATCTTCCTTTAAGGATAACCTCATTCTCAACTTTCCTCCTAGGCTGCAGGGGTTTCTGGGGCCCCCTCAGATGCATCCTAAATTGCATGAGATGCTGTGCCAGCTGTGTTGCAGTCATCACCATCCCTGGTCTACCTGCTGACCTCATTCATTCTTCAAAGACCAGCTCAAGCCTCATCCCCCACAGGACAGCACTTGAGTGCTCCCACAAAGGGCCCCGCCAAGCCCACCCTCCTCTCACCTGCATTACATCGTGATCTAATTCTGGACTGAATCTGTGCAGCCTGATGGAACTCCTAAGGTGTACACATGATTTTTGACACATATCATATAATCATTTTGAAAAACTGAACCAAAGGCCCATTCCAACCAAACTGTTAACAGTTACACTGAAACATAATAACTTCCAGTAAATTATGGAAATTCATAGGGTGATATGAGGTACTACTTATTAATTATGACATGTTAACAGAAGAAACCAGGAGCACTGATGACAAGCTTGCCAGCGGTTAAAGATGCCATTTCAGTTTCCTGATTAACATATGATTCCAGGATTACATAGATTACTAAAAAATCAATACAACAGTTTAAGACCTATTAAAATACCCCTAAGAAATTTAAAACCAAATACCTTGAAATGACACATCACACTATTTGACTTGTAAAGTAACAGAACACTGAGATAGTGTCAAAATTTAGGGGATTGGTTAAGGAGTAGAGACTTGAGAAATAGAAGATGGAGCCCTCCCAGTAGTTTCTCACATTGGTTGACTTGCAGTCTTATAAAAGCTGTTCTTTAGAGTAACGGCACCCGCTGAGGATAAAAATAAGTGCAATCTTATAATAACCCCGTAACATTCTCAACATTACTTTTACGAAAATGAAAATTCAATTAACCACTGCCATTTCGCTATGTACATACTGGCCGAAAGCTATTCATCTGGGATTGGGCAGACGGTTACACGAACAATCAAGAACACCCAGTGATGGGGTCTGATGTTGTGGGACAGTGGGTTGGGCAGGTGCTTGACACACTGGAGTGCTGATTCTTGAGTCATGGCTGCTCCGCTCCCCATTCAGCTTCCTGCTGATGTGCCTACGAAGGCAGTGGAAGTCAGCTCAAGTGTTTAGGCCCATGCCACCCACGTGGGAGACCAGGATGGAGTTCGTGGCTCCTGGCTGTCATAATCATTTAGGGGAGTGAACTAGCATATGGAATAGCTCTGCATCTCCCTCTCTCTGTTATTCTGTACTTCAAATAAATAAAATCAATCTTTTTTAAAAAAGAATACAGTGTTACAAAATATATCATCCTCATATGAGTAGTGGTAGCAGGGTGGAAAATTGAGAAAATATATTTTCTCTCTTTTTTTTTTTTCAATGATGACTCTAAAATGTTTTGTCTCATTGTCATTAGACATTTTTGAAGAACAGTCAATGAGCAAAGTGCAGCATTTGGGCAATATTTTCAAAGCAACATCCACAACTCGGATAACTGTTTTGTGGATAATGCAACCCTTGCCTGTTTTGAGTACGTGTGCGTGGTTTAGATATGTATGTGGATAAACAAGATTGTGGTGGAAAAAATTGCATTGGATATGCATGAAGCAACCATTGTTTATTTATCTCTTCCTGCTTAGTCTAAGCTTATAAAATGAAAAAAAAAATAAGAATCCATCCTGAATATATTACCATTACTAAGGTTTCTTTTTTTTTTTTTTTCATTACTAAGGTTTCTTTAAGCACTAAGTATGTATGTGTGTTGCACTGAGTGCCACAGTGAGTTGATCCACCATTAAAGCTGAACGAGGACAGGTACCACGTTTCTGAACACCAAGGAAGGAATCTGTGGACTCCGGGCTCATCTGCGCCCCAGCCCACGCTCTGCCTCCATGGCTGAGGAGGGGGTGCTGCTGTGCCAGGAACAGTCCTGGGTCTGTGATGGGATGTGATTTCCTGAGCAGCGGAGCCAAGGCCTGACCACACTGTCTGCCAGTGCCTCCTTCTCACTTCCATGTTTTCCTTTTGTGTCATCAGCTGCCATGTTCATGCCCAGTTTTTCTTTTCTTTTTTTTTAATGAATAAAACTCCAGTCAGGCTTGGTAGTCTAGGTCCCATCTAACTCTTGCTTCTCAATACAACATTCCTCCATCTCCTTTTTTCTTTAATTTGAGAGAGAGAGAGAGAGAGCGAGCGAGCCAGTGCACTCCCACCAATTCACTCCCCAAAGGCCTGCAACAGGGAAGCACTGGGGCTGAAGCCAAGAGCGGGAATTCAAGCTAGGTCTCCTATGTGGGTGGCAGTGACCCAACCTGAGCCAACCTCCCAGGGCTGCATTAGCAGGAAACTGGCATAAGGAGTGGAGCTGGCTGTCAAACCCAGGCATCAATCTGAGACACGGGTGTCCTGACTGGCATCTTAACCACCAGGCCCTGACCCACTTAACGTATCTCATAATTCAATGTGTCCATGAACTTTCTGAAGTACTGTCACGTTCACCTTGCTTCTTCACTAAGGTGTAAATCTCTTGAGGCTGGAGGTTGCAACTTTCGCATTCTTTGTGTAACCCACGGTGCGGAGGCCAGCGTGGAACACACGGCAGACAATTGGCTTATCCTGCATGCGTTGAGCACACACAGGTACATGCCAAATGATGTGCCAGACAATGAGGACAGGGTCCCCACACCCAGTAAACACAGGTGTAGTGGCAAAACTCGACAAGGCTAGTTGTGAGTAAAAGGACAGTAAAAAGACAAGCACTTCAAATTATGACGCATGAATGGCTTTCTGCATCTGTCTAGCCTTTCTTCACTGGAGGGACTTAAAAAGGGGCCAGGAGAACGGTGTCCTTAGTGGTTGAACTCATTATCTTAGCATTAATGCAGCGCACACTGAGTGCTGAAGACGGCCTTTGGCAAATCAATATGTAAATAAGAACAACTGGGGCCAATGCTGTGGCACAGTGGGTTAAAGCCCTGGCCTAAAGTGCTGACATCCCACATGGGCAGCCGGTTCTAGTCCCAGCTGCTCCTCTACTGATCAACTCTCTGCTGTGGCCTGGGATAGCAGTAGAAGATGGCCCAAGTCCTTGGGCCCCTGCACCCACATGGGAGACTTGGAAGAAGTTCCTGGCTCCTGGCTTCGGATTGGTGCAGCTCTAGCCTTTGTAGCCATCTGGGGAGTGAACCAGTGGATGGGAAGACCTCTCTCTCTCTGTGTAACTCTGACTTTCAAATAAATAAAATAAATCTTTAAAACAAAAAAAAAAAGGAAAAAATAAGAACAACTATACAACATGCAAACTGTGTTCTTGGGAATCTTAGTTCAGCTAGAGGAAGACGCAAGCAGTCGACAAGGCCAAGTTTTGAGGGTGGGAGGGGCCATCCCTTGGCGGGAAGAAGCACAAGGACACAGGGGACAGAGAGGAGGAAGTCAGGGGTCCTTGCTTGGGCAGAAATCTCCAAAAAGGTCTGTGAGACAGAAACGGATGTGGGAGGGACAGAGTGCCTTTTCTCCAGGAAGGATGTAGGACCAGCTGCTCTACTTTCAATCCAGCTCTCTGCTAATGGCCTGGGAAGGCAGGGGGAGATGGTTCAAGTGCTTGGGCCCCAGCCCCTATGTGGGAGACCTGGAGGAAACTCGTTGCTCCTGGCTTTGGATTGGTCCAGCTCTGGCCACTGAGGCCATCTGGAGAGTGAGCCAGCAGATAGAAGACCTCTCTGTCTCCCCCTCTCTCTGTCTGTAGCTCTGCCTCTTAAATAAATAAATGTTTTTAAACAAATGAACTTGCTTTGTGCAGTGAGAATGTTATGCTTAAAGTTGATTCAATTCAATCTATGTTTCATAATAAATGACAGAGAAAAATATGAGATTATTTTAAGAGGTGAAGGAAAAAAACCCTATACCTTCATGAATGATGTTCTGGTGCCAAAGTTAAAAAAAAAAAAACAAAACAATGAGAAAAGTGAGGATTTCAGAAGAAGCTTCTCAGGGACAACTTTGTCACTGTGCCTCTGAAAATCATAGTGTGCCTCACTCCCAAACTACATGGGTTGGCTCATTTAAGTCTGTGCCTAAGAAGAGGCTACTCCTTCTAGCGTCCCCAGAGAGAGCTGGAGATTTCAAATATTGTCTCAGAGTTACATAAAATCAGCAGTGATAAGGACAAAGTGCTCCCATCCTGAGGTATTTTTAGTGCCCTGTTCCTCTGAAAGGAGCAGGTGTCCTTGCAGGTGATCGGGCCCCTCAAGTAAGAGGAGCAACAAACCCGACACCTTCAGACTGGAGGTGCACTCTGGAAACAACAGGCTGCTTTGCTGACCATCACACTTTCCAAAGATTTGAGGTTTCCATGACATCTTCTCCAGGGAATTAAAAAAAAAAAGCTGTCTTACTTTATGACTCTTAACATGTATTTTCCATAAGGAAAACTGATTTGCATGAAAGTTGCTGTGCTGGGCTGCACTCCTGCTGCTGTCTGCGATGCTGGCATTCCATATGAGTGCAAGGTTCAAGTCCCAGCTGCTCCACATCCCATCCAGCTCCCTGCCAATGCGCCTGGGAAAGCGCGGAAGATGGTCCAAGTGCTTAGGCCCCTGCCACCCATGTGGGAAATCTGACGAAGTTTCTGGCTCCTGGCTTTACATGGCCTAACCCTGGCTGTTGTGGCCATTTGGGGACTGAACCAGCAGACAGAAGACCTCTCTCTCTCTCTCTCTCTGACGCTGCCATTCAAATCAGTTAATCAGTAAATCTTTAAAAAGAAGTTGCTGTGCAGCCCCTGTCCCGCCATCTTGGTGCAGTGATGGAGATTCACACTGGCCCTTCTGGTCCATGCCCCACATGCTGTCACAGCAAGCCTGCAGTGCTGTGCATACGTGTGACACAGCAGCACGATCTCCACCCCACTTTATTCTCACAATAAAAACATACTGACAAATAGTCAAAAGAACTGGGCCGCAACTTCCCCCCTCAAGTTCTTATGCTGGTTCAAAATTATCAGTGGGCTAAAACTAGACTGTGAAAGTTTTGTTAAGAACAAGGTACTATTGGGGCCGGCGCTGTGGCACAGCGGCTTAACGCCCTGGCCTGAAGTGCCTGCATCCCATATGGGCACTGGTTCGAGACCCGGCTGCTCCACTTCTGATCCAGCTCTCTGCTGTGGCCTGGGAAAGCAGTGGAAGAAGGCCCAAGATCTTGGGTCCCTGCACCCATGCGGGAGACCTGGAGGAGGCTCCTGGCTCCTGGCTTTGGATCGGCACAGCTCCAGCCACTGTGGCCAATTGAGTGAACCATTGGATAGAAGATCTCTCTCTCTCTCTCTCTCTCTCTCTCTCTCTCTCTCTCTCTCTCTCCCCCTCTCCCTCTCCTCTCTCTGTGTAGTTCTGACTTGCAAATAAATAAGTAAATCTTTAAAAAAAAAAAAGCACAAGGTCCTACAGCAGCCTCAGAAGATATTCTGAAGACTGACTTTGGAATTACCAGGGGAACAGAGGTACCTTTGTGGAGACAACCTCCCCCCTTCAGTAAATGACCAGAATTAGCATCGCAGAGGCACTGAGAAAGACATGGGTTACTTCTCTGCAAAACCTGCCAAAGCATAAAGTCCAGTGGAGTCACCATCACGTGAGCTCCCTATGGGGTCATCCACAAAGTGAGGCTCAGATCAACATTGTGATGGGAAAGGAAGGCTGGGGGGTCATTCTAGAGTCCAGGAGAACTGGAAATTGCATGTGGTGCTTGATCCTGGATTGGACTACTGACCAGAGTTACTATTATCATAATTTATTATTATTACTGCTACTATTTTCCTCCAATATTACCGGGACTCGGGGAAATCTGAGTAACATTACAGGCTATAAAGCAAATGCTGCTTGAATGTTAAATCATCTTATCTGGAAAGCTGCACTGTATTTGTGTGCACGGATCTCCTTGTCCTAAGGCAGATGGGATGAGCGGCTGTGGCCAGACACTGGTGAGTGTTAGTGCAGGCAGGAGGAGAGACCAGCTGTGGCCAGACATGAATGTGGGTTCGTGCAGATGCAATGTGGGCTCGTGCAGATGCAATGAGAGACCAGCTGTGGGATTGTGGCTAGATATGAGTGTGCGTTAGCATAGGTGGGACGAGAAATCAGCTGTGGCCAGACATGAGCACTTAAGAGTCAGGGTAGGGTTGGGGGGAGACATGGGGCATTTTTTTTTGTATCACTTTGCATTTGAGGTATAAATTAAAATTGTTTCAAAACAAAAAGCTAACATTCATTAGATATATCTTTTATGATAATATTTCAAAGAAAAACTGGAATTTAAAAAAGTCTTTATTGAGCTCTATGCTTGCTAAAATACTGAAATATTTTACTGTGATGAGGAAATTCCCTTTACCAGGATACAGATAAGCATAACGGTAATAAAAATAAATGACAGCTCCCAGGGGTGTCACACTGCCCTAAGAGCCAACACAGCCCTTGGAGAGTAGGTTTCTGTCAGAGGCCTTTGCTCTGACACACAGCCTGGAGCTGTTCCCACACAGACAGGAAAGTGCGGTCTTTATGAATTCAGGAGCTCGCCTTTTGAACCTCTCCTGATGGAAGCCACCAAACCATTCTTCACAGTCTGTGGAGGAAGCCTGGTGCCCTGGGCCGGCTGCACATGTCCTTCTCCACCCTGTGAGCCTCCCGCACCTGCCCTCAGCCTGCCTTAGCTGCCTGTTTGTGGGTCAGGAAGAGGCGGTCCACCTGTCCTTGGATATTCTCACCCTTGGCGGGAGGTTCAGTTCCACATGAAATTAGCTGGGTGAGTGCTTCAGTGGGCTCCTAAGTGTTCCCTTTTTAACCCCTCAAATGTGGCACCACACAGCAGCTGTACCTGTATTTGTTAAGTCTGAGTCCACTCCACATCTAACACTCAGTAAGTTTGCTGAACAATTACGAAGCAGCCGGAGCAGCCCCCGTGACCTCCCCTAGGACACTCACCCATCCTGTGCAGAGCCTCCTTCTTTACACTCTCAGCAGTCAGGGTCTCAAGGACTGCGTTAGCCAATGTGTCAAATAACAAATGCCTGAGAGAAGCTACTTAGGAAGGAAGGAGTGTTATTGTGGCTTATGGTTTTGGAGGTTCACAGTCCAAGATCAGGTGGCCTCATCGGCCTGGCCATCTGGTGAGGCTGCAGGGCAGCATCGTGGAGACGTGCAGAGGAGGGATCACCTGGAAGCCCAGGAGGCAGAGGAACTGGGAGGGTGCTCATTATCTGAGTCTCTGGGGCCTCACCTTACACAGTTCCATGGTTCCAACATGGAGCTCCACTCTTAACAACCTACTCAATCCAATCACTTCCCAAGGGCCTCACCTTCAGATGCCATAATTGGATTAAGTTTCCACCCTGAATCAACTGATAGTTAATCTAAAAGTTTGGGTACCAAGCCTTTAACATGTGGGCCTTTGGGAACCCCCAAAACTAATATATAAACCACAACAGGGACCTCAACGCTCCTCCACTGGAGCCTACTGCTCACACACTACCTGTTCCAGCCTTAGAGTGGGAAGGCACTGAGCCAGAGAGGCCAGGCTCCATCCCTGCCAATTGCCAGGACACCCCACAGATAGCCTGGGAACCACACAGACTCCCAAGTTCTTAACCTCCTCTGCCATCAGGACCTCGGCTGGAGCTGTTGGACCAGGTGGTCTCTCTCACTCACAGTCCATTTTCAACACATCTTTAAAGTCTGGGTTTTGTAATTCCTTATAGAATCAGTGTGGCCATCCTGAGTCTAAAATGAAAGCATGCACTCCCCAGAGATAAAATGAGAGCTGTGAATGAGAAAGACTACCTGGCCATTGCTGTGCTATGGTAGGTTAAGCCATTGCCTGCACTGCTGGCATCCCATATGGGTGCCAGTTCAAGTCCCGGCTGCTCCACTTACAATCCGGTTCCTGGCTAATGCACTAGAGAAGGCAGTCAATGATGGCCCAAGTGCTAGGTCCCCTGCACCCACGTGGGAGACTGGGATGAAACTCCTGGTTTCTGGCTTTGGCCTGGCCCAGCTCTGGCTGTTGTTGACATTTGGGGAGTGAACCAGTGAATGGAAAATCTCTCTCTCTGCCTCTTTCTCTCTGTAATTCTGTCTTTCAAATAAACAAGTAAATCTTTTTTTTTTTTTAAAGGAAAGACTACTGTTCATCAAAGGAGGAACCTTTTCTAGGATCTTAAAAAAAAGCTAGAAAACACAGCCTACAATTTTTACAAAATATTTTGTTTACAAAAATTCAAAAAGCTGACAATACTGGAGTTCAAGATGCTCCTCTGCTTCAAATCTCTGGACAGCATGAAGCAAGGGTGTGCTGGGTTGGGAGCACCAGCCAGGCTCTTGTTGGCACTCGGGGTGACACTGGACAGCAACTGTCGCCCCACAGAGTAGGGCAAGGAGTGCAGCAGGGGTCTGGCAGATGCAGGCTGGCCCCACATGGGCTCAGGGGCCCTGTGGCTCGGTAGGTCACAGAATCAGAAGTGTGGGATGACCGTGGGCAGAGAGGTAGGAAACAAAGAAAACATCAGTCAGTTGAAGTAAATATGCTGGAACCTGAAGGGGGAAGGCCCATCCTGTGGAGGGGAGGACGCCGCTGGTGAGAGACCGGGTGGGAAATGAGGTGCAGGTCAGTCATCCAGGTACTTGAACAACTCTTTGGGACCTGTGCCAGAGGAGGGCACAAAGCAGAATTCCTAAGCAGGTAGGGCCCAACGACGTTGGGAGACAATCAGGGGTGCCTGCCCTCAGGAAGGTTGTGAGGTGTGGGGATGACAGTTCTTGGCCTGGAAAGGAATACACTGTTGTAAATGCTGACTTGAGGAGCAAGCATTGTGGTACAGTGCAATAAATTGCCACCTGTTTTGCCAGTGTTCCATATGGGTACTGGTTTGTGTCTTAGCTGCTCCACTTCCAATTTAGCTCCCTGTTAATGGTCTGGGAAAGCAGCAAAAGGTGTCCCAAGTACCTTGGGTACTATCAGCTACATAGAAAACCCAGAAGAAGCTCCTGGTTCTTGGTTTCAGCCTGGTCCAGCCCTGGCACTTGTGATCAATTGGGGAGAGAACCAGTGGATAGAAGACTCTCTCTTTTTATCTCATTCTGCCTTTCAGATAAATAAACAAATCTTTAAAAAAATTTCAACTTGAGTCACAGTAGTTGTAGGGTTCAACTGGTTCTCCATGGGATCCAAAGAGTCCACAGGAGTTGGGTGCCCATGTTCCACTTCCAGGGTCTCTAGGCTGGATCAACTGAGACATGCAGAGCTCACAGGCTACTCTGGCCCAAGTTGATAACAGAGGACATGGCTGACTCTGTCTGGCTCCCACTTCTCTGTGCAGAGCAGGAATGTAGTACTGATTTTAAAGGTATACAACTCAATTATTAAGATACTGAATCCTTGCAACAAGCACATGGCTGGCTCCAGCATCTCCCCTTATGACCTGATTGCTGTCCAGGCCATATACTCAGAGATTCTGAGGGTGTCTCCTGAGCTCCCTGTTGTCTTCTTACCCCAGGAGATGCTCCACACATCCCCTGCCTCAGCCTCCTCAAAGGCACAGAGGTAGCACCCAGGCTAGGAGACCTGAAAAACTTGTATTACAACAAGGCCATGTATAGGGGTCGACATAGTAGTTGCAGTAGGTTAAGATACTGTTTGCAGCACTGGCATCCCATATGAGAGAAATAGTTCAAGTCCTGGCTGCTCTGCTGCTTCTTCTTTTTTAAGATTTATTTATTTGTTTGAAAGTCAGAGTTACACACACACAGAGAGAGAGAGAGAGAGAGAGAGAGGGAGAGAGAGAGAGGTCTTCCATCTGCTGGTTCACTCTCCAGATGGCGACAATGGCCAGAATGGCACCAATCCAAAGCCAGTAGACAGAAGCTTCTTCCAGGTCTCCCAGGCCACAGCAGAGAGCTGGATCAGAAGTGGAGCTGTCGGGACTCAAACCAGTGTCCCTAAGGGATGCATGCAGTGGCTTTACCCACTACACCACAGCACCGGCTCCTGCTTTGCTTCTGATCCAGCTCCTGCTAATGTGCCTGGGAAGGCAGTGGAAGATGGCCCAAGTGCTTGGACCAACCCTACACCTATATGGGAGTCCTGGATGGAGTTGCAGAGTCCTGGCTTTGGCCTGGCCCAGCCCTGGATATAAAGGCCATTTGAAAAGTGAACCAGTTAATGGGAAATCTTTCTCTCTCTCATTCTCTTCCTCTGTCACTCGGCCTTTCAAATAAATATGGGTTTCAATCTTTTTGCACCAAAATAAACTTGCCTTCTTTTTTAAAATTTTTATGTGATAGATAGACAAGTGAGAAAGAGAGACCGAGAGAAAGGTCTTCCTTCCATTGGTTCACCCCCAAATGGCTGCCACAGCCAGTGCTGCACCGATCCAAAGCCAGGAGCCAGGTACTTCTTCCTGGTCTTCCATGCGGGTGCAGGGCCCAAGCAATGGGAGTCATCCTCCACTGCCCTCCTGGGCCACAGCAGAGAGCTGGACTGGAAGAGGAGCAACCGGGACTAAACCCGGTGCCCATATGGGATGCCGGTGCCACAGGCGGAGGATTAACCAAGTGAGCCATGGGACTTCCCCCAAACTTGCCTTCTAATTGCATTTTCCCACTAACTTCTTTTAAAAATTTGTTTACTTACTTGAGAAGCAGAGAGACAGAGATTTCTCATCCACTGGTTCATTCTCCAAATGCCCACAGCAGCAAAGGCTGGGCTGTGGCTGGAGCTAGGAGTGGAAACTCAATCCAGGTTTCCCATATGAGTGCAGGCACCCAATCACTTGAACCACCACAAGTACCTCCCAGGATCTGCAGTAGCAGGAAGCTGGAGTCGGAAGCTGGAGTCAGAAGCTGGAGCCAGACAATGAATCCAGACACTTTGATACAGAGTGTAGTCTTGTCTTAACTAGCACCCTAATCAGTAAGGCCAAATATCCTCCACCAATTTTTCTGTAGTATCCTCTGCAGCTGCTCCACCATTTTTCAACAATGCTGGGGAGGTGGTACTCAGCACGGTGTAGCTTGGGCTCCCATGGGAGGAACTCACTCTGACCTCATTTCCATAGTGAGCTTCATGTTGATTACACACACACACACACACACACACACAAAGCCACTCTCTTAGATGACTGACACATATTCTAGAAATTCTTCACCTGCTCCGGAGGAGACTGGACCAAGCACATGGGCAGTTTGGGCTGAGATTGAGCACTGTGAGTCCTATGAGGTAGCACTGGCCACAGCAGGAACACTGCACAGATCAAGGTTACTTGCTCAAGGTCATTCCTTTAGGGAGTGGTGGATCCACGTCTTACATGGGCAACCTGGCTCTCTGGGACCTGGTTCCAGTCCACAGAGATATTCTTTGCCAGTTACCTAAGGGAATACTGTGTGTTAGCTGCACCAAATCCACTTGACACAGGCTACTCTCATTGGAGGGTGGTGGTCCCTGCCTCCTCCTCTGTGTATTTATGCTACAATGATGAAATGCCAGTTTGGAGCTCTCAGGCAGAAACCACACAGCACTGACTGCTTTTGCATTTCTTGTTTAGCCTCACTTACTGTCTTCCCCTTAGAAAAATCTAGGAATACACAATTGTAAAAGAGATAATATAGGGGCTGGAGCTGTGGCACAGTGGGTTAAAGCTCCAGCCTGCAACACCAGCATCCCATAAGGGTGCCAGTTCAAGTCCCGGCTGCTCCTCTTCCAATCTAGCTCCCTGCTGATGGCCTGGGAAAGCAGTGGAGGATGGCTGAAGTGCTTGGGCCCTGCACCCTTGTGGGAGACGCAGAAGAAGCTCTTGGCTCCTGGATTTAGATCAGCTCAGCTCTGGCCATTGCGGCCATTTAGGAAGTGAACCAGTGGATGGAAGACCTGACTCTCTCTGTCTCTACCTCTCTCTCTAACTCTTTCAAATAAACAAAATAAATAAATATTTTTTTAAAAAGAGCTAATGTAATATCTACATTTAAAGAGGAAAAGTCAAACAAGTGAGTAATTCAACTGAATTCAACAGTAGTTTTGCTTGTATTGTGCTAAGGGTTTTCCCTTTTTTCTTTTCTTTTCTTTCCTTCCTTTCTTCTTCTCTTTTTTTTTTTTTTGGTAGGGGATGAACCGTGTTTTTCCAGTTTCATAAATGATCAGTTGACTGATGTCAATGAGTACCACTGTGGCTCCCTAAGACCCATTCCCATCACTTAGTGTGTTGATATGCTGGGGGCTCTATGGCACACAGTCTGGCAAGAAACACATGGTGCCAACTAATGCTAGAGCCAAGTTCAGGGCCAGGATGATCTGCTGTGTTGGCTGCACTAATGACAATCAAAACTATAACCAGACAATGGTCAACTGAGTACTGGTAGCTAATACCAGTACTTTTCCTTTTGATTATGATTTACACATTGCACAGTCCTTCTGTATTTATTTCATTTGAAATAAAAATTTCACATATTATACTGGCCTTGCCCCCCAAAGTCTTATGTTATTCAGCTGCAAGTATCTTGTCAGTGAGTGAGTGAGGACACTGGATGCTTTGCTTCTGACACCTTGGTAAGAAGAGCCTTTCACACTTCTGTCTTGTGAAGGGAACACCTGTCTGTCACTTGCCTTGGAGCTTGAGGTCATGGACCTCATCACCTATCTATCGCTGCTCATCACAGCCAGGAACAAGAACAAGCACTAGACAAGGAAGCTGTCGGGTAATTCCCAGACCAGTCATTCTCACATGCAATGCCTATGCTCTTTAAGAGGCCTTGCAAACAAGTCTTCCCTCATCTCTGTCACATCTGAAAACTGACCTGCATCTGCACCTGTCCTCTGCACTCCCATGATCAACAGTCTGTTCCCTTTGTGTTCTGAGTCCCAGCCCCCTTCTCCCTCTCAGGGCAGGCTCTGCAGCAGCCACACTGTCGCTGTCTCTTCTTCATCAAACTACTCAGGCCATTTGCACATGGGCAGGCTTTGCCCCTTCCACCTCAACAGAAAACCTCTCTTGGCTTCTCTGAGCTGCCTGGCTTCTCAGCATTCCTTAAGACCCAAACCAATGGAGAGCCCAGACTGCCCTGCACCCCCTCCTCAAAACACCCCGCCTGGTGACCTTCAAGCTGCCACGGCCAAATTACTTCAGTGCCTGTGCCCTTCTTGACTTGTCTGCCTGCATTTGACATCTATTTATAAATCAGAGGAGGGAGAGGGGGAGAGAGAGAGCAAGAGAGAGAGAAACACAGAGTGTCAGACAAAGATCTCTCATCTGCTGGTTCACATCCCAAATCTGCAACCTGCAGTTAGGCCAGGCTGAAGCCAGGAGCTGGGAACTCAGTCTGAGTCTTTCACATGGGTAACAGAGACCAATGTTTGAGCATTTGCTTGCTGCCTGCCAGCAAGAAGCTGGAGTCAGGAGCCACAGCAAAGGTTCGGACCCAGTCACTCCGATGTGGAATGTGGGGATCTTACCCACTAGGCCAAAAGCCTATCCCTTCTTTCCTTCTTAAACAGCTCTTCCCAGGGCCCCCACAGCACCACTGTCCTACTTTCTCCTGATGGACAGCTCCCTGGATCCTTGACCCCTGGCCCTCTTCACACAGGTAGCCACTGAGTCTCCCTAAATGATCCTTTGCACCAGACCACCTCTGGGTCAGCCTTCCCACTGTGCTCCAAACCCACAAAGCCAACCAGCCCCTTGATATCCCTGCTTGGGAGTCCAAACAGCTGTGTGCAGTTGGCCAGAAAACAGCAACTCCTCTCACACCTTCCTCCCCTAACCTGCTGCCATCATTGATGCAGAGATCCATGCCCAACCACTCAGAGTCACTCTTGGTGACTCCATATCCACACCCACACAGCAGCCAGCCTGACTGGTTCTATTTCCAAAATAAACCCCAAAATAAACCCCACCCCACCTCAGCCCAGTCGTCCCCTTCTCTTCCATCTGGGTCACTAGGGTACCCTCCGGAGTGGTTCCACTCTTGCCCATTTCAATACGTCTTCGCCCCAGCCAGAGTGATCTTGGTATGAGACAATCACTTAATACACAGCTGTGTGTTGCTTAGCAACGGGACCGCTTCTGAGCAATGCACTGTTGGGTGATGTTCTAGAGAGTGGGCTTCCACAGACCTGGACGGCACAGGTGACCACACACTGGGGCTGTGTGGTCTGGACTGCTGCCCCTAGACTACCAGCCTGTACAGTATGCCTCTGCCCTGAATGCTGTAGGCCACTGTAACATAATGGTTGATATTTGTGTATCTACCCACAGAAAAGGCACAGGAAAAATGCTAGGCAATAAAAATTCTTCAGTTCTGTTATCAGCATGGAAGACCATGTTCAGAGACGTGGCCCACTGCTAACCAAAACGGACAACACCATTGCAGAGGATCCTGGAAGGGCTTTGGGTTATCAGCCCGAAGAGATCAGGTCTCTGGCTTGGTCTAACCTCTAACACTGAGGTCTCACTGGCAGGAGCTAGGTGAATCTGCCTTCTTTTTGTTACAACCAGAGTTTCATCAACTTCAGTTGAAATTCAAATTAAAGGCAGTACAATGAGAAAAAGAACAAAAGGGAATCTACCTTCTTGTTACCCCCAGGATCACACTCTTGGAGGAAATTCTGAAGACACTTCTAAGAAAAGTTATTCTTGTGATTTTTCCTTCTGAAATTAATTTTTAATAACAGAACACATTGGGTTCAAAAGCTATTTTGTACCTCTAGGAAAATAAGCTCAAGATCCTCAACTCATTGGCAGGTGATACTGACAGACTTTTTCAAAGATTCAGTCTGAAAAAAATTACTATTACAATACTTGATTCAGCTCAACTTTTATGTTTACAAAAGCACATATTCCTTCAAAAGAGGAAATTTCATCTGAATACGCCTAAGGTCTTTTCTTTTTTTAGATTTATTTATTTATCTGAAAGTCAGAGTTACACAGAGAGAGAAGGAGAGGCAGAGAGAGAGAGGTCTTCCATCCACTGGTTCACTCCACAAATGGCTGCAATGGCCAGGCCGAAGCCAGGAGCCAAGAGCTTCATCCAGGTCTCCCACATGGGTGGCAGGGGCCCAAGCACTTGGACCATCCTCTACTGCTTTTCCAGGCCATAGCAGAGAGCTGGATCAAACGTGGAGCAGCCGGATCTCAAACCGGTGCCCATAGGGATGCTGGCACTGCAGGTGGTGACTTTACCTGCTAGGGCAGAGCACTGGCCCGGCCCAGGGTCTTATGTAGAGAAATCAGGGATTTGGGGGCTGGTGCTGTGGTGCAGGGGGTTACTGCTCTGGCCTGAAGTGCCAGCATTCCATATGGGCTGCTCCACTTCCGATCCAGCTCTCTGCTATGGCCTGGGAAAGCAGTAGAAGATGGCCCAAGTCCTTGGACCCCTGCACCTGCATGGGAGATGGATGGAGGTTCTGGGTCCTGGCTTTGGCCTGGCCCAGCCTTATTTGTGGAGTGAACCAGTGCAGGGAATCTCTCTTTCTGTCTTTCCTTCTTTCTCTATAACTGTGCCTTTCAAATAAATAAATAAACCTTTTTTTAAAAAAAAGCAAGATAAACAAGGCATTGAAAACTGGAAAACATTAAAATAACAGTAGCATTTTAGAAGGAATACTGTATATTAATATTTATATTTATTTAAGTCTGAACTATATTATAAGTAAAACATACTCTTATTTGTTAAGAACAGACATATGAAATAATAGAATGTTAGGCTTTAAAAAAAACACAAGTAACTACCCTCCCTGGGCAGAGCACTGTTCCTGAGAGAGGATTATAACTGCATTTGCATCTGCTGGTACCAACTTCTCCTTTGGTCTACTGATACTAAAAGATGGTTTTCTGAAAATCACTTTTAAGGCCGGCGCCGTGGCTCAATAGGCTAATCCTCCACCTTGCGGCGCCGGCACACCGGGTTCTAGTCCCGGTCGGGGCGCCGGATTCTGTCCCGGTTGCCCCTCTTCCAGGCCAGCTCTCTGCTATGGCCAGGGAGTGCAGTGGAGGATGGCCCAGGTGCTTGGGCCCTGCACCCCATGGGAGACCAGGAAAAGCACCTGGCTCCTGGCTCCTGCCATCGGATCAGCGCGGTGCGCCGGCTGCAGCGGCGGCCATTGGAGGGTGAACCAACGGCAAAGGAAGACCTTTCTCTCTGTCTCTCTCTCTCACTGTCCACTCTGCCTGTCAAAAAAAAAAAAAAAAAAAAAAAAGAAAATCACTTTTAAAGACTCTTACCATGTCTATATGAAAATACATGTATGCAAAGGAAACAGTTCCCCAAGCTTTATTTATTAATTAAAAATATTTGTGATTTAGCTCAAACACTACTTTCACAAGCAAGGCTCTTTGGATTCCTTGGATAATACATGTGAGAGTTACTGACCGCTTCTGAATTCTTGATTGATTATGAGAGCCCTCATCACCCGTGAGTTTGTCAAGTACAGAAGAAAAACAACATGGGACTGGTTAATAACTCTTAACCTTAATTTCTCACTACATGCTAAGAATAATTTCCCTAAACATATGGAGATTTTATGATTACTTTTAGGCAGACATGATAGAACACACCGGAGGACTTGAATTTTGTCTCTAAATGTTTAAATTGCGGGCTGAATGGGACGCCACTGCTGGTATCAGCCAGGATTGTAGTTTCGAGTGATTTCTTCAACATGCAAAAGTATCATAGCAAAACAGGAGGACATCGTCCTGCTGTGGGACCTGTGGGACCCGTGGGACCCACCTGCCACAACAGCCCCTTGACCCTCTGTGAGCTGCCCAATTTACGACACAGTTCAGTAAAACCAGTGAGCTCGCCGGGCCAGATGTCCGAGCCCCTTCTTCCTTCTTCCTGCGCACGCCCTAACTCCTTTACGGACATTCTAGAGATGTCATTGGCTATGCTGGAATACTTTTCAGAAGCAAAACTTACACCAGAGCATGCAAATAAAAGCTTTTTTTTTAAAGTAGTTTTTATCTATCGTCCCAACACAGATTCCACAGGATGACATAGTGCTCTGTCAAGAAGAAGGAGCAGGTGCGAGCAGGTGACATGGGCCCTCAGTCAGGGCAGTGCAAGACCGCTCTGTCTTACACACAGGTTTTTGCAAGAACTTCCCTTCAAAGACAGGATTCTGAGCAGGAACCACCATGCCAAGCGCACAAACTCTGAAGCACTGTCACTGACAAGCCCATTCCCTGCAAGAGCACAGGCGCAGACACACACATGGTTACCAATGCAACTGTGACAGCCTCCTGAGGAACCTGACAGATCCTTTCCTTTGAAACACGCTCTATCAAATGCTCCAGTAATAATATTTCAAGAAGTCTATGTCCATCAAAGGAGAGAAAGCAAATACCGGGATGACCTTTTGCCTAAGCCACACTGCCACCCACCCGGAGAGAAAGCAGGCCTTGGGCATGCAGGTGTGATCCCAAGTGCACCTTCACATGACACATGACATTCAGGAGAGGCCAGTGCTCTTGTGACACATGCGCATCTGAACAGGAAACTGAATTCTGTTCTGTTATTCCTTGAGAGGCAACTATACCCCGTCAATGTCCTTCTCATGGAATTCCTACTGTTGTTATCTGGGAAGCTGCCTGTAACTTTAACAACACATACAGGAAAAAGCATTCTCACATTTCTTAAAGGTATGCTGTCTTCTTATCAGCCTCACCCACACATTCATACAAGCATTTCTTAGAGTCCCGCTGTCTTCAATATTTCAAACCAAGACAAGTATTTCAGAATAGAGGAAATACTGCTCTTAAGCCGTCAGAGAGCCAGATTTCAAAGACAGTTCATAATGAATTAACACCTGATTCTCAACGAGCAAGTCGTTAAAAATAGTTCCATCTGTCACTGTTTAAAGTATTTTGGAAAGGACTGACCTACCTACCTGCAAATACTCAGAATCAGCGACAGGTGCGATGCTCTTGATGTAATCTGATCGAAACTGGTTTTCCGGGTTGGCCAGTGGAACTGGGGGTCTAATGGTGCTCATCGCCGAAACTATTGTCTGAAACAGAGTGAAGAAAAGAAAGGTGGATAAACATAGTGCTTGGGCTCTATGGACGCTACTCTAAGATGTATTCACTTCTGTCTCCACAGTTTTAGGGTGCAGAGTGCTTCAACTTCCTAGGAAGCAACCATTACGAAAGGTGCTTACCACAATCGCGTCTTTAACATCTTTCCGGATGTCCAACATTGTCTGTTTCTTTTCCTTGAGTTGAAAGAGAATTGGTATTAATATAAATTTCCCCTTAGCACTGATCTGAATCAACTGAGTAGGATTTTAAGTTTCCCACTGTGGAGTGGGGCTAGACTGGTTCACAGATGGTTTCCACCACCCCAAGACAACAGCTGTGCAGTTTTTATCTGGGAAAGGAAAATACTGCCCCTTTCTAAACTGAACTCAAAACAAACTTCAATGTCTGCTTTCCAACAGTCATTTTATAATCGATAGCTTTAAATAAGTTACTTCAACTTTATGCAAGTTTCTTCAAAAGGCGGAAAAATTGCTAAGAATACTCCATATAAGTACAACTTCAGTTATATTTGTAAATACGTTTACTTCAATCTCTCCTGTATGTTGTTACATACACACTGAAGTAGACTCAAGCTAATGATATGATGGAGGAAAGTGTATATTGAGGTGCAGTCACTCTCCATGTCCACAGTCAGAACCTGTGGATCAAGAACATTTGGGGGAAAAACACTGGGTCTGTACTGAACCCGTACCACCTTTCCCCCTTGTCATCATTCCGTCCTCAGTAAGCAGCTACGCACAGGGCGTTTCCACTGTGTTAATACTGGACGTCATCCAGAGGTGCCTTCAAGTGGGCAGGAGGAGGCGCGTGGGTTCTGTTCAAATAGCGCAGTGTTTTACGTAAGAAACTTCAGCAAACCCACATCTGAGGGGTCCAGGAACCCATCGCCATCGGCACTGGGGAAAAACTGCATTGATGGTGGGCTCAGAGCAGTACCAGTATTGCAAACCAATAGCATAAGAATATCGAATAAATTGTATTTTGTTAGTCAAGATTTTTTTTTTTTGGACAGAGTGGATAGTGAGAGAGAGAGACAGACAGAAAGGTCTTCCTTTACCGTTGGTTCACCACCCAATGGCTGCTGCTGATCTGAAGCCAGGAGCCAGGTGCTTATCCTGGTCTCCCATGCGAGTGCAGGGCCCAAGCACTTGGGCCATCCTCCACTGCACTCCTGGGCCAAAGCAGAGAGCTGGACTGGAAGAGGAGCGACCGGGACAGAATCCGGCGCCCGGACCGGGACTAGAACCCGGTGTGCTGGCGCCGCAGGCAGAGGATTAGCCTATTGAGCCGCGGCGCCAGCCAAGATACTTTTTTTAACCGAGATATTGTCAGAAGAAGAGTTTGCCTGGGTACGTTAAATTCAGCAGCAGATTAGTATTCTCCCTCACCTACCCCCGCCCCATCCAATGAACTGTTCAGCCACATTGATATACAGATCCTCATTTGTTTGACGATAGTGCTTTTCCCGGACTCACCAGCCCCTACAGACAGACAGACAGACAGAATGTTGTGATGTGCGTCCTGACATTGTTGCCCACCCTGCTCGCCCTGAAACCTGACCAAGCGAGTTTTCCCCTAAACAGGGGGCTATCGCGTCCTCGCCGCTCCTGGCTGCAGGAGCTCAGCCCCGCACCGTTGGGGCTCGGCCAGCCCTGCCCGCTCTGCCCCGGCTTGTCCTGTTCCCAGCGGAGAGAGCTCTGAGGGTGCCGCGGGCTCCGCCGGGCTGCAGCCGCCGCGCGCCCTTACCCAGCAGCAGCAGGCGGTGGGTGAGTCGCTTTGTAAGCCAGGCGCTCTTTCTGCAACTGCTTCTCCATCTTTTTGTTGGCCTCGCATCGTTCTTTTTCATCGACACCCTGGTCTTCTGTCATCTTGCTGTTGCCCAATAACCCCATGCCTGCCCGCTGAGACTGACTTCTGCACTGTTAGGAATGCGTACAGAAAGCACCAGAGAGGCGCAGCGATTTGTGCATCTGGCACCGATTCCTTCCTCCCCGCTGCTGAAAGAACGGCCTCGTCTCTCGGTGTTTTCTGATGGAAACCGACGTTTCTTCTCCCACCCACGGCCCGCTGCAAACTCCCAAGTGAAAAGGATGCAAGGAAGACGCGCCGAGGGAAAAAATGCTTTTTAAAAGACTATTAAAAATCTGCAGGACAAACACTGTACAATGAGCGGAGATGGAAAGGCGCGGGGGTCCGGCTCCATTGGCAATAGGAGTGCAGCACGGTGCCCTGGGCTCTTGCCGCGTCCCTGCGCCTCGCTCAGTATGGCCCAGTGGGGGACCCTGAGGGGGCAGCGCAGAAGGACTGAGCGCGCCACCGGGTCCCACCGGGGTGACTACCGGCACCTGCAGGGCCGGCTTATGTCCCGCTCTGCCTCTGCCATCGGACCGCGTTCCCTCAGGGGTCAGGGCTTACGCGGCGGAAGAAGGGGAATGGAAAGGGGCTGGGGTTCCGAGGCGGCCGCACCGCTAGTCCCGGGGCCCTCTGACTCCCCAACAGAGCCCGGCGGGCAGAAGGAAGGACAAGGGGGGCGCTAACACGCTGCGCGCGTGGGGTCCCGAGCCCGCCGCCTGCTCCTGCCACCTCGGCTGCGTGGCTCCCTCGCACCACGCACCGGGGAGAGTGCAGTGGGCGTGCGCTCATCGCTTTCGCCTGGGATCGTGCACATTGTATCAGGGAGGAGGCTCCCAGAGGCGCCCCACTCGCACCGCCTTTGTTCCCTCGAGGATCGCTCTATCCCTGGAGACGCAGCAGCCCACCCACGCCGCCGCCTCCCTCGCCGCCTGTCTACCTCCAGCCCCTGTTCCTCCTCTGCTGCTCTTCCTGACACCTTCTCTAGAAGACACTGTGGCCTCCAGCTTAGCCTTGTGGCAGAGGAGCGAGCGAGGGCGGGAGACTGCCACCTGTTGGCGTTCCCTGTGGCTGAGGCCGAGACCCCTCCCTTCCTGGCAGGCAGGGCAGGCAAAGAGGTCCCTGGGCCCGCGTCTGGGCAGCGGTGGAGACCACGGTTCCTGCGCACTCAGCTGCTGCAAGGTCATGGTCTCTAGCTGGGCGGGCCCTGTGCTCCAACCCCCACCCTCCACCCTGGCCTGGCTTTCTCAAGCCTTGGTTCAGTTGTATTTTCGAGACCCCCACTTTTCTCTAAACTTTCATGTTCAGCCTCACTTGGCCTTCTCGCCCCCAGCGGCGCTGCCCCACGCTTGGCTTCTCCGTCGCAGGTCACAGACTCCGGCCCTGCCTCCCCAGGACTCACCCCCCTCCCGCCCCTGCCACTGTCTCCCATTGCCACCTCCTCCTTCAGCCTCTGCCCTTTCTACCGGCTTGGGTCTCTCACGAGTATAAACACATTCAATCCTGTCCCGTTTTAAGCCAACAAAACCTTCCCCCTCGGGCCATGTCCGCTTCCTCCACGGTTGCCCTCCTGCCCACTGCGGTGCAGAGTTAAACAGGGCACCTGACGCTGCCTGGCCTGCACATCGTACTCCCTGTTCATACCTCATCCCCCTACAGCCTGCCTTTGGCTCATGCCTCCCATAGAACATTCTTTCACCAGCATCCTCCATGCCCTCCTAGGGCCTACAAGGTCTCAAGGAATCTTGGTCTCTACTGCCGTTGACTTCTCCCTGGGGGTTCAACTCCTTTTTGAGACTGGGTGCCTTTGGCTACCTCCACACTGCCCTTGGGGGCTCCTGGCTCACCTCTGGCTAGGGTAGCTCAGTGCCTGGGTCACCCAGCACAGCCTCTCTCCCCTGGCACATGTTTCGGGTGGGCCGACTGTACCCTCCACAACCTGACCACACAAGTCTAAACCGTGGCCCATCAGGTCACCAGCCCAATGCCCCCAAGGGGCCTCAACTTGCCAAGCATGGTTCCAGCCCTGTTGGAAGTACATGGGGAGTGAACCAGTGGCTGGAAGCTATCTACTTTTCTGACTCGCTCTGTCAAATAAATAAAATAATTTGAAAAAGTGGATGTTTTCATGGGATTTGTCTTGTCCTCTTCTTTCTGGCAATTTGTATAAATCACGGCATTGAAAAAAGGGACAGGTATTTGGTTTAGTGGTTAAGATGCCCTCAGTCCACAAAGGAGAACCTGGGTTCGCTACCGAACTCTAACCCTCGAGTCCCACTTCCTGCTAATGAAGTTCCTGAGAGGCAGTGGGGATGGCTTAAGTGGTGGCTCCCTGCCACCCACACGGGAGACCAAGGCTGAGTTCCTCCCTCCCAGCTTCAGCCTGGTCCAGGCCTGGACATTGCAATAACCCTAGAAAACAGGCACTATTATCACTATTATTTTAAGAGGTTGAGTTTGAGGGGTGTCTTTACATACACCCTTGCAATCTGGTTGTGACAATTGCACAGTACCTGCAGTGTGTACCTCAACATCCCACTCAACCCTAAAACATGAAAGTGCTTTCCAGGGCTGGAGTTTGGGCACAGAGAGTTAAGCCAGTGCCTGCAATACCAGCATCCCATAGCAAGTGCTGGTTTTAGTCCTTGCTGCTTTGCTCCGGATCCAGTTTACTGTTAATGTGCCTGGGAAAGCATCGGATGATGGCCCAAGCATTAGGGCCCCTGCCACCCACATGGGAGACCCGGATGAATTCCTGGCTCCTAGCTGTGGCCTGGCTTACCTCCAGCTATTGCAGCCATTGAGGGAGTGAACCAGATGATGGAAGATCTCTTTTTCTCCCTGTCTCCCTTACCCTCCGTCATTCTGCCTTTCAAGTTAATCAGTCAACAAATCTTTTAAAAATGTGCTTTCCTTATATAGTGGGCTTCAAAGAGTTTAGGGAAAAAAGAAATCAAATGACAATTTGAATTTCCCATGAACTTTTTGAGGCCCCCCTTGTATAATAATGAAAATACTTCTTATGGAAAAAGCAAAGTCAACCTTTTTCTTTTTTAAAGTTTCTTTTATTTGTTTTTTATTGGAAAAGGAGAGAGAGACCATCCATCTGCTCCCCAAATGCCTGAAATACCCAGGGCTGGATCAGGCTGAAGCCAGGAGCCCAGAATTCCATCCAGGTCTCCCACATTGGTGGCAGGGATTCAAGTACTTGAGCCAACATCTGGCCTCTCTGGGTGTGCATTAGCAGGAAGCTGGGTCAGAAGTGGAGCAAAGACTTGAACCCAGGTCCACTGATACAGGCATATACAGGCATCATGAGCAGTGTCTTAACTACTGTGCACAACGCAACTCAAGCCAGTGTTTATTATCAAGCAGGAACTCCAGACACTAAAAACATTTTTTTTAAAACTCGGCCGGTGCCGCGGCTCACCAGGCTAATCCTCCACCTAGCCGCGCCTGCACACGGGGTTCTAGTCCCGGTCAGAGTGCCGGATTCTTTCCCGGTTGCCCTTCTTCCAGGCCAGCTCTCTGCTGTGGCCTGGGATGGCAGTGGAGGATGGCCCAAGTGCTTGGGCCCTGCACCCCATGGGAGACCAGGATAAGTACCTGGCTCCTGCCTTCGGATCAGCATGGTGTGCCGTCCGCAGCGCGCCAGCTGCAGCGGCCATTGGAGGGTGAACCAACGGCAAAAGGAAGACCTTTCTGTCTCTCTCTCACTATCCACTCTGCCTGTCAAAAACAAACAAACAAACAAACAAACAAAAAAACTCACTCACCTGGCCTTTTCTTAGAAGTCTGGTCTTAGAAAGAAAGTGATTCAGGGGTTGGTGCTGTGACTCAGTAAGTTAATCCACCTGTGGCGCCGGCATCCCATATGGGTACCCGTTCTAGTCCTGGCTGCTCATCTTCCAATCCAGCTCTCTGCTATGGCCTAGGAAAGCAGTAGAAGATGACCCAAGCCCTTGGACCCCTGTACCCGCACTGGAGACCTGGAAGAAGCTCCTAGATCCTGGCTTCCAATCAGTGCAGCTCCAGCCATTGCAGCCATTTGGGGAGTGAACTAGCAAATGGAAGACCTCTCTGTCTCCCCTTCCCACTGCCTGTAATGCTATATCTTAAATAAATAAACAAAAATCTAAAAGAATTGTTAAAAAAAGACTATTTTAAAAGAGAGAGAGAGAAAGTGATTCTTATTGAGGCCAGTGTTGTGGTGCAATGGTTAAAACCATTGTCTGCAGTGCCGGCATCCCATATGGGTTCCGGTTCAAGTCCTGGGTGCTCCACTTCTGATCCAACTCCTTGCTAATAATATTCCTGAGAAAGCAGCAGAGGGTGGTCCAAACACAGAAGATGGTCCAAATGCTTGGGCCCTACACCCACGTGGGAGACCTGGAAGAAGCTCCTGGTTCCTGGCTTTGGATTGGCCCAGCTCCAGCTGTTGTGGCCATTTTAAGAGTGAATCAGTGGATGGAATTTCTCTCTCTCTCTCTTTCTCTGTCTCTCTGTAACTCTGTTTTTCAAATAAATAAATCTAAAAAAGTTATTTTTATTATATTGGGGGTGGGAGGGTACAATGAGGAAGGAAGAACAAGTAGAAACTTCTGGACATTCTTGGGCTATGGGCCCAGTGGCCTCCTGAGGCTCTGCCCCAAGGGTTGCTGGGTTAGGAGGCATTGTACTGGGTGCTCCCTTGATGTCTGAGAAGGACAGTGGCCCGGGGCTGCAGAGGGCCAGCTCACCAGTCAGGAACCTGACCTGAGTCAAGCTGCCAACAGCCGTGTCTCTCCAGAAGATGGGATACGTACCCGGCCCCACTGACCGCCCTTGCCTCCAAGCCCAGGTCCCAGGTCCCAAGAATGTGAACCAAGAAAGGCTGCCATGGGACTCACTGAAGTGGGTCCTTCACTGTAGCTCTGGCCGGGGTTGAAGGAGGAGGTGTTCTGATCGCCAGTGTCCCAGGAGCCCCTACCAGGCCAGTCCTCCGGACCTGCTCCTCTGAACTGTGCGCTGGCCAAGGAGACAGGCCAGCCCTTTCCACTGGCCACAGGCAGCAGGAACATCATGCTAAAGTCCAGGAGGTCACTGAGCTCCTTGTTCAAGCCCATGAGTGCTATTATCTGGGGCTGTTTCATTCTCCAGTGGTTCCAGTCAGTGCAGGGACCAGGGCAGGCTCCTTAGACCTGCAGGGCATTGTTGGGCTCCCAGCTCCTAGAGTGCAGCAGCATGTAGCAGGGCCTCCCGGGACAAAGTGGCAACGCAGCCAAGACCCCAAGAGTCACACGTGGGCAGCAGGGCCCGGGCCTTTTCCCCCATGTGGCCAGCCGGGGTGCTGTGCCAGTGGTGCCCACCACCTTGCATCAAGTCCATCCAGCTCCAACCTGCTAAGCCCGTGGCCACTGACACTGCTTCAGATTCCTGGTGTGGGAGCAGCCCTGAGCCACCTACCCAGGCCAGTCTAGCCTGTGCTTCTATGTGAAAAAGTAAGTAACAAAACCTGTCCCCAATACAATGCCACACTGTACTTCCCCTCAGGTTTTCTACAAGGAGTTAATATCCAGACTACACAATTATCTCAAAAAACCCAGGGCTAAAAAATACAAAACAAAACAAAACAAAAAACCAGAAAAAACAACAACTTTTCATCTAGGCTGAAGAACTTAACATACTCATCTCAAAGGAAGACATGCACATGTCCAATAGTTACATAAAAAAATTCTCCACATCATTAATCAAGAGAAAAATGCAAGTTAAAACCAGAATAAGATTATCATCTCACTCTAGTTAGAGTGACTACCATGGAGAAAACAAAAAATAACAAAGGGTGGCATGGATTTCAAGACAGGTGAAATTTTTAGTGTATTTGTGGGAAGGCAAATTAGCACAACCATTATGGAAAACAGTATGGGAGTCTCTCTAGCAAAAAAGAACTGAGTAAAATCCCGCAGTTCCATTACTGGGTATGTGTTCAAAGGTTATGACTTCAGTGCGTCAAAAGGATATTTCCATTCCATGTTGACGGCAGTGCTACTCACGATAGCTGAAATATGGAATCAGCCTATTACTGTGATTCAGCAACTGGATGTATAAAGTATGATATATCCACAAAAGGCATCAAGCAATGAAATGTCACCTAGGCTAGCACCGCGGCTCACTTGACTAACCCTCCACCTGCGATGCTGGCACCCCAGGTTCTAGTTCCGGTTGAGGCGCCAGATTCTGTCCCAGTTGCTCCTCTTCCAGTCCAGCTCTCTGCTGTGGCCCGGGAAGGCAGTGAAGGATGGCCCCAGGTGCTTGGGCCCTGCACCTGCATGGGAGACCAAGAGAAGCACCTGGCTCCTGGCTTTGGATCGGCACAGTGCCAGCCATAGCGGCCATTTGGGGGGTGAACCAACAGAAGGAAGACCTTTCTCTCTCTCTCATTGTCTAACTGCCTGTCCAAAAAAAAAAAAAAAAAAAAAGAAATGCCACCTAGAACATAATTAAATAATTGTGAAGAATGAAGAGCATCAATACTTCCAGATGGCCGCTCCTAAATGATTAAGTATTACAACTTTCTTTTCAAGAACTAGCCCTCTCTAACCTGACTGCCATCCTGTTTCCTCAAGAATATTTTATGTATATTTAGAAGTAGAATAAACTAGGTAATATTGCCTCCACTTTCATATGCAAATGCAATTTAATTAAATTTTTTAAAAAAATTTAGTTAGCATTATCATTAAGTCTTAATGCTAAAATTGAGTAAAATAGGAATGAATATGGCTTACATTGGAAAAATCATTTACTGTGTGATAGAAGCACCAAAACCATTTGTAAATTCAATCTGCCGGAGCTGGAAACAAGGAGTAATGCAGGAGGGCTGTTATCCATCATTTAATAATAGATTCCTAACATGTCATCATCAACCCCTTCTTCGATGGAAATGCAAGTAAGAAAAAATGTTAAAATGGAAATTCTGGGGCCAGTGACATGGCATAATTGGTAGGGCCACCACCTACAGTGCCGCCATCCCATATGGATGCTGGTTTGAGTCCTGGTTGCTCCATTTCTGATCCAGCTCTCTGCTACGGCCTGGGAAAGCAGAAGAGGATGGTCCAAGTCCTTGGGCCCCTACACCCACCTGGGAGACCTGAGGGAAGCTCCTGGCTCCTGATGCAGTTCCAGCTGTTGTGGCCATGTGGAGAGTGAACCAGCAGATGCAAGACTTCTCTCTTTCTCTGAATCTGCCTCTCTTGTAACTCTGCCTTTCAAATAAATTAATAAATACTAAAAACAAAGCCTGGAATTCTTATTCTCCATGATATTCATAGACTTTTTGCCTTACAAAGCCTACTGTTAGAGTTATCCTACTATGCCTATGTGAAATTGAGTGTAAGCCAACCTACTTGAGGATTAAGGCCAACTCTCAACAGACCATACCTTCCATTTTCTAAACCACATAAAAATTTCAACATTAAAATATTTTAAAATATACAATGGCTACCCTTAATTCAAGCAAGCAAACAGTATATACATTACATACCTCTCAATGCATACTAACCTCTGTATCTATGGTTTCAAAGTTATCACAATAGCTTAAATATAATTTTATGACATCAGGGCCATAGCAAAAAAATCTCAAGATGTTTTAATCATTTAAGTAAATATTTATCTTTGCCCTTAATATGCTTTCTCTCTAATGCTTCTACAACAGGTAAATCTTTAAAAGGGACTCTATGCCAATGGTTTTCATTCTATTTCAAATTGTATCCACAGGGTAGAACTCCAAATGAGATATATTTTCTTTCCTAGCAGCGGAGTCTGGAACTGTTCTGTATACAGTAAGCAAACTAAATGTTTGCCAGTAGTGATTGGAAATCTGTGACAGATGTTGCTCCCCCTCTTCATGGAGGAACGACACTAGACCCTGCGCTGTTCTTTTGTCTGCTCGGCCCTTCCTGGGTTTGCTGCTGGTCCTTCCACCTCCGTGGAAGGGCGGCTCCCCCTGCCACTTTCCCCACTTCCGCGGGGGAGCAGCACACCGCCGGCTGGCTCTCTCGGGGGCTGCTCAGGTGTTCTTTCAGGTGTTCCCCTTAGATGTTCCTTCAGATAGATGTTCCTGGTGCATGTTGTCTCTTTCCTCCTTTATAGTCCTCTTCCACCAATCCCAACTCTGCTACCCACACGCCGAGTACGCTGCTCTCCTCCAATCAGGAGCAGGATCAGCTCCTGCAGGTTATTGGTCGAACTGGAGGCAGCTGTGTAGAAGTTGTTTACTCCTCTCCCAGCACCATATTGTGGGAGAGCAGATGCATAGAATAAGTCTTAATTCGAGTAACTTAGTCTAGTCCGAGTTGCTCCCCACAACAGATATCAATGCAGACCAGACAACCCAGAACGAACGAGAATGGTATGGCAAAACTCTTGGTTCTTTTTCAGACAACCTAACTCAGTGCTACAAATGAGGGAAATGAGCCATAGTAGGTCTACCTTACTTAGCTGCAGTAGGAAGAGGCTTCATGACTGTCACCCAAGGTTTACTGCACTTTGTGAGAAAGAAGGAAGCAGTTTCAAAATCAGAGCCATTAATCTACATTTTCTCCAAGTGAAATACCATGTTGATATTTTAGAACCTAACATTATTTAGTTACACAATTCTGACATCAAACACCATGAAGTTTGATTTGAATTTAATGCGTGACTGCATTGCTTAATTGATTCATTTAAGCACATATTCAGGCCTATCATGTAACTACCTTTAGCAGGCAAGAGAGATTCAAAGATAAATCTGACACGTGGTCTTTGCCCAAAATGCTTACTTTGCAGTACACTGAAAAAGCATAGAGGCAAATTCAACACTCTGTGTTAACCGATGCTCTTGAAAATTGTGTTTTTAATTAAGAGTGCTATTTTAAATCTCACGCATGATGTAGCTCACCAACATCCATGCTTAGTTTTATTACTTAGAAGCATGTAGTCTAAACAGGTCTGCTTGTTTTTAAAAAATGATCCTTATCTCCTCCCATACTTCCTTAAAAAAAAACAAAAACAACTTCTCCAAAGGCTTCCTGATATTCATTATGTACAGCAGTATCCCATAAACAAGTCCTGAATGCAACTTGTGCAGCCAAAACAATCCATGGGGGAGCAAATATATCTGACTTCTCCTCAGAAACCACACAAGGAAAAACTGAGTGGAGAAAAATATTTTAAGCATGGAGAGAAAAAACTACCAACATGAAATTTGGTATCCTGAGACTTGTCTTTCTAAAGTGAAGAAGATATAAATGTTTGGCAGGCAAAAATTGTACATTTTGTTGCCAGATGACTATCTTGCAAGAAATGTTAACAGTTTTCTGGAGAGGAAGAAAATCATACAGGTCAGAAACTTGGATCTACATAAAAAGGAAGAACATGAGAGAAGACAAGAAAAATAGCAGTAAAATATAAATTTTATTTTTCTTATTCTTAATTTACTAATAGGATTGCTGAAAATAATGATAGCAACACATTAGATTATATATGATTTTAAGCTATATATGCAATACACACAAAAATGTCATGCATAATATTCATATATATTCATATTTACATATTACATGTGTATATATTTTTCTATCACTGCAAGGAAAATATGCGTGTGGGTTGAAGGAATGAGAGGAGATGGGGAATATTTTGTTATTATGAGGCACTCACAGCATCTAGGAAGCAGAATATTTGAAAATGGACTGAGATTAACTGTAAATGCATGTTGCAAACTCCATGACAACTACTAAACAAATAACATTTAAAATGTTACAAAATGGAGCAGGCATATAGTCCAGTGGTTGGGACACAAGCATCCTGAATATCTGAGTTTAATCCTTGCCTGCGGCTCCTGAATCTGATCTCTCTCTCTTTTTTAAAATGATTTCTTTGAAAAGAGGGGTGGGAGAGACAGAGAGAAAGAGAGAAAGAGAGAGCGAGAGAGACATTCCATCACTGGTTCTTCCATCTGCTGGTGAGGCTGAGGCCGAGGCTGGGCTGCAGAGTCTGAAGGAAAGTATGTCTAATGAGGTGGAACAGGCGTAAAGTGAGGGCAATAGGGAGTCCAAGGAGAAGGAGGCCAAGATCGAAGCCTCCAAGGTGGTTGAGTCTGATGTACTGCCCAGCAGGGAAGGTGAGGCCATGGTGAAGAGTTGGCAGGTGAGGCACAGGTGGAGGACTCAAAGGAGGGTAAGGCTGCAGTGGAGAAACAGGACAAGAAGACTGGTGTGGAGGACTAGGAGGGACGTGAGGCTATTACTGAGGTCCAAAGGAAAGGCTTGGGTTGAGAACCAGATGAAGGCTAGGCTTAGGTGGATGACTATAGAGAGGGTAGAAACTGGACGGAAGACCAGAGAGAAAGCGATCCTTAGGTGGGGGATCACCAGAAGGGTTATCCCAGGGATGAGCCACGAAAGGAAGGTGAGGACAGTGTCAAGAAATAGAAAGAATGCGAGGCTGGCATAGAGAACGAGGAGGGTGGGGGTGGCATTGGTGATGAGAAGGAGGGAGAGGCTGGCACTGAGGATGAGAAGGAAGTTGGAAGTCACAGTGGCATATAAGCAGTGCACAGCCAGGATGGAGGCCCACAAGGAAGATGAAGCTGGTGTACCATAGAAAGTTGGAGTTATGGCAGATTTGGTGGATGAAACCCATGTGAAGGGCTAGAAGAGTGAGGCTATAGTGGAACAACAGAAGGAGAGTAAGATTGGAGTGGCATGGAGGACCAGGAGGAGGGCGAGGCTCGTACCGAGGACCAGGGGAGGGTGAGGCTGGTTTTCAGGGCCAGGAGAGTGAGATCTGGCTGGAGGGTCAGAAGGAAAGTGATTCTACTATGGTAGCCAGAAGGAAGCTGAACCCATTGTGAATTGCAAAGGGTGGGAGGCCAGGATGTAGGCCCAAAAAAGAGGTTGAGGCTGGTGTAGAGTCCCACAGACAGGTTGAGGATATGGTAGAAAACTGTGGGGATGAAACGGATGTGGAAGTCTGGAAGAAGGGTGAAGTTGTGGTGGGGAAACAAGGGAAATACAACGGAGGTGGAAGATGAGGATAAGGTGTGGCTGTTTTTGTGGATCAGAGGTAGAGTGAGGCTGGCCTTGACAAGCGGGTGAGGCTGGTGTGCAGGACCAACCAAGATGATGAGGCTGGTATGAAGGTGGGGAGGAAAGTGAGTCCAATGTGGTGGGCCAGTAGGAATGGGAGGATATACAGAGAGGACAGAGTGGGAGGCAAGTATGTAGGCCCTCAAGTAGGTTGAAGCTAACATAGAGTAGGAGGGATGGTGGTGCAATGGTGGAAACTGGGTGGATGAGGGTCTCGTAGATGACTAGAAGTGTAAGGCTGCAACGGAGAAAACAGAAGCAGAATGAAGGCATACACAGATTACAACATTTTTAATGACAGATTAGAGTACGTGATGCAGTTGGGAACCAAATCCTGGTTTGAAATCCAAATTCCATACATGACCAAGCACCAGTTTCGATTCAGTTTCCTGCTAATGCACACACATGGAGGCAGTAGATGTTGACTCAATCATCTGGTTCCCTTCCTCCAACGTGGGAGGCTTGGACTGAGTTCCCGGCTCCTAGCTTTGGCCTGGCCCAGCCCCAGCAGTTGCAGGCAGTCGAGCAGTGAAGCAGCAGAGGAAAGGAACTCTGTTGGGATTGCTTTACCGAGCAGGTCTGACCGAAGTGATCTTCCCAAAAGATCTCCAATGTTTTAGAAATGGGCCTGATATGACCTGGCACTATGGCACGGTCAGTTAAGCCGCAGCCCACAATGCCAGCATCCCACGTGAGCACAGGTTCGAGTCCCAATGCTCCACTTCATTCCATCTCCCTGCTAATCTGCCAGTGAAAGCAGTTGATGAGGCCTAAGTGTTTGGGTCCATGCACCGCTTTGGGAGACCCGGATGCAGTTCCAGGCTTCTGCCTTTGGCCTGGCCTAACGCTTTCCATTGTGGCCATTTGGGGAGTGAAATAGCAGATGGAAGATCTCCCTGTCAACTCTGCCTTTCAAATAAACAAATCTTTAATAAGATGGACCTACAAGACCTTGTTCCCCGGGACCAAAAGTTTCATGAGAAGCCAGATTCAGTATTTCCCGATACCGATCAGCAAGTAAGTGGTATGTATGCTGAGGAAGTACTTAGTTCTATTTAATCACCTCCTTTCTGAGGATTTCATTAACAAAGACTTATACTACATCCTTCTAATAATACCAATAAAGAGAAGTTTT